GAATAATGGTTCCCCAACAATGTTGAAGCGCTTGAAACGGCTGACATCCCCATATCGAATGACATTCTCAATCTGTTTGGCGAACCCTTCGTCTTTGAGCCCAATACCGAAACCATTGCCAGGCCATTGTCAATCGAACCCTCATTCATTCATATTTGAGTTGAGGGCTGACTCCTCCAACGAACTTCTGACCCTAGAACCCCTGGTTACTGATATAGTGCAATGCTGCAAGGCCTGTATGAATCTTGAGAGTTGAAGGAAAATCACTATCTACCGGACCCGAATTACAAGCTAGAACACAGGTGGCCCAAAAGCATTTTTGCGGCGCTCGTGCTCGTGCTCTCGGAAAGCAGCGGCGCGCAAGTGCTCTGTGCAAGTTGTTCTACGCAAGTGCTCTGCGCGAGCGCGCTGCGCAAGTTGCTCAGCACATGCTGCTCTGTGCAAGTTGCCCTTCGCAAGTGCTCTGCGGAGGTGTGCTGCCCAGGTTCTTCCAGGGCGCCGGGTCCCGGCAAGCTCGGCGCCCGGGTCCCGGCACTTCATCCCGGCAAGCTCGGCGCCGGGTCCCGGCAACCAATTTCTTCAGGGCGCCGGGTCCCGGCACTTCAAGCGCCGGGTCCCGGCAAGCAAGTTCTTCCAGGGCGCCGGGTCCCGGCAAGCTAGGCGGGCCCCGGCAAGCCAGGCCGGGCGCTCCCGCGCTCCGGAGCGCGAGAGCGCGCGCGCACGCAGCAGTCCAGCGTCCCGAGGGGCGTGGAAGAGCACAACGTCACCTTGGCGCGCGCGTTCGAGGGTTCGTGAACTTCTGGGAAAACGACGCGGGCTAGAAGATCCACTTGTTGGCCAACCCGGGGCAGGACGTGGCCCATCGGCGCAGCGAGGCAGGAGGACAGCCTCCTGGAGTCGCAGATGCAGCTGGGCAGCCTGCAGTACCCGCACAACCCCATGAAGGGAGCCTCGGAGCAGTTCCACTTCCTCTCGGTCCTTGCGGGGACGTACGACGGCATGGTGCGCAACATCGACATCGGCCGCGCGGGCTACCTGCGCCACAGCTTCACTGCCGGCTTCCCGACCGAGCGCGTGCCCAAGATGCCACCCGCTCGGGCGACCTTGCTCGGTTCACCTTCAAGGGACCGGACGGCACAATGACGGACCTGTTCATCCACCTGGTGGCCTACCAGCTGGTGACGCTCTCCGGCACGGGCGTCTCGGTGCTCGACTAAATCAAAAAAAAACCCGCTGTCCTTTTTAGCCTTTTTCGGCGTTGAGTGACAGCGCCAAAAAGACTAGCAAAAACTCCAAAAATCCCGCTGTTGTTCTTAGCCATTTTTGGCTAGAGACGACACTACGAAAAATTAACAAAAAAAGCCAGCTGTCGTTCTTAGCCGTGTCGGCGTTGAGTGAAAGTAAAACCACTAAAATCACGAACAAATGGACTTGTTCCAGGCTCCTCGGCGAGGAAGCCAGAACGGAGAAGCCTAGTCCGGGATGCTCAGCCGCTCCGCAAGCTCTGCCATGGCCGCACGTGCAATCTCGTCGCACAGCGCAGCAGGAACGCTGTAGAGCAGCTTGCGTGACTGCCGGCTGACCTTCTCGTACTGCCCTCTGCCTCGCACTGGCTGCCGGGCTTGCACAGCCCTCGACTCGGCCTTCAGCGCATGTTGGTCCACAGCCGGGGTCTGCTTCCTGCCGTACTTGCAGTAGGTCACGTCCACCCAGGGCAGGCGCTCCATGAACGGACGGACGGGTCTTCAGCAGCCCGGAGCACCAGCGCGTCGCCCTCCCGAAGCTGTCGAGGGCGCGTCGTCAGCGCACGGCTGTATTCCGTGCAGACCGGGCTGGCCCAGACCATGTCGAAGTGCCCCGACGGGAACGTCGTGTAGTCCCAGCTCCGGATGTCGCACAGGATCGTGGGCTCAAATTTCGACACGATGTCCAGGGAGCGCCGCCTCGAAGGCCCTGCCGACCGACTTCGTGCCGCAGAAAAGCTCGAGGAGTCTCGGCATTTTTAAAGAGCAAGATCACCGCGAGTGCGACGGCGATGGCGCAGGCTCGCGCGCTCATAGGACCGGACTTTTTTCTCCACGGGATAAAAAAGGAGCCGAACTTTGCAACCATGAAGCTGGCACTCGGGCTGGACGTTCAGACCAATGCCAAGGGGGGGAAATTCAAGTCCATCGAGGACTCCCATCAGGGCGCGCTGGTGTGCAAGGTTGACGTGGAGGTGCTGTGGGAGCCCGGCAACTTCCAGGACGACGGGGCCAAGAGGGTCGGTGGAGCAGGGGGATCGACAACATGATCGTGTTCCAGAAGCCCTTCCCGGGCGCCTCCCGCACCGAGCTCGAGAGCCAGCTCCAGCGCGCCGTCAAGGTGAGCGCCAAGGGCAAGCACGTCAAGTGCAAGATCGACTTTGGAGGCCCGGCACGTGTGGCTGATGAGCAGGCAGTGGGGCGTGCTGTTCGAGGGCCTAGGCTGCCTCCAGTAAATCGGAGCTGCTCCAGCTCATCTGGGTCCTCCTGCTCAAACCCCGGAAGTAGAAGTGGGTGCTTAGTGGAAGGCTCTGGATAGAGGTTCTCCCTCGCGATCGGCAGCTTCTCAGTGCTTGCAAGCATCTCTTCTTTTCCAAGGATGTTGCCAACTCAAAACAGATGACTGTGTGACAATAATCCGCTATTTCTCAACTAAGTGTCTTTCCGGGTCCGGTGTCAAAGCTTCCCTTGCGGGCACGTCCTCGGAGCCCTTGCTGCCAACCATCGCCGCCAGGCTAGTGCGATCGCCTTGGCCAGGCGGGCGTGGCCAGGACGCCAATCAAGTGAAGTACTCAGTACTCACGTTTGCAGCAGAGTCACCTGCCAAAGTTTCGGGGCCCTCGCATTCCCGAACATCCGGTTGCTCCTCAGCCACAAGTTGGCCCCGCTAAGTGCCAAATTTTACGTCGACGTTGGTTATTTGCTTCACAGCGGCATCCGGGCTGTAGGAGTATTCGGAGCTGTAGCCATCATCGCAGTCATAATCGGAGTCACCCTCGTCATCAAGATTTGCGGGGTTGGAGCAAGTAGACCCGCCTCAGATTCAACATGTTCCGTTGGAAGTGTCATGTTCCGAAGGGTACGTTGCTTGGCATGCAAGGCGGCAACCCCATTCAGCAAAGTGACGGGGGTCAGCCGGCAAAGGGATCCCTGCTTCCATGTAAATCTCCCGCATTCCCCACTCTCTCGGGAAGTGTCCACGTCGCGCGGACCGGGTAAACATGGACACCAGCCGCTTCAAGATCCAAGCCTGGTGCTTGCACTTGGAGCCTGAGATAGCACGCACAAGAAAGAAGGGTTCAGAAATGGTCTGAAACAAGTACTTGATTCGATATCGGCAAAACATGCGGCCGAAAAACTGGGCACGTCAGGCTTCGCTCTGGGGCGAGCAAGCCGGAAAAAAGCTTGCACATTCTCTGTGATAACCTCAACCGTTGGTCGCGTTCCTAGGTACTTCAAAATGGGAATGATCGCCTGGGAGTTGTTCACCACATCGGTCCTTGTTATGAAGTCCCTGGGAATCAATGTGAGATGGTCCTGGGCAGCCCGACTGACGAGCACGCGGTTGTTCAGCCAGCTTTGCACCACAAGGGCGGCCATGCACCTTGAGCCTCACATATCATTGGGACATGTGCAGGCGTTGGGAGCAACACTTAGACCAAAAGCAAAGTCTCAAACACAGGCCAGCTGCACGGTAGCAGGCTCTCGCACGGTGCCCATCAAACGTGCCTGCGCCGCAGGTCAGTCCGCCTTCATCGCCCACCTGCGCTGCCATGCACAAACACACAGACCTTGGCGGGGGAGCTACTTCAGCCCGCTTCAGCCGGGCGGCTGTAAAAAACGCTCAATTCGGCAAAGATCAGCTCGGGGCCAAAATTTAAGGTACGAACCTGAAATTATGCTACGTATTCCCAGTTTAAGCAACGAACATAAGGGGGGCAGAAATTAATGCTACAACGGAGGCTGCAGGCTGTAGTCTATTTTAGTAGGGGACCCCTCCCAACCAAAAAAAGAAACGGTACAAGTTGGCACGATCTTGGGGGACATAAATTTTGGAGTTTTCCGACCGAAGAGAGCACTGCCCGGTCCACCGACTCCGATCTCTTTCTTTTTTTCTTCAAATTGCAGCTCTTTGGCACCACGCCCTTGGGGCCATGGGGCAATGCGGGCGACTGCGCCGATTTTTCTCTTCTCGTTTTCGGGGCTTGCAGTCTTTGTATGAACTCCTCGACACCTCCCGTCCGAAATGTCAGAAACAAAAACTCGGACTGTGAGATTGGGACAAGGTGCCAAATGGCCAGACGGCTTCCTAGGAAAGATTGTCTTCAAGTACTCTCCAAATTTTCACATGGAACTCCGCAAAACCCCCATTCAAGCGGAATCTCGATGGAATCGGAGGTGCCTGGTTGCAGTCTTATAGGCACGAGCCCTTGGACCAGAAACACCGACCGATTCAAGGCTAGCAAGACAGAGAAACCCTACGGGCTTTGGCTGACATCCCTAACCTCTCTTTGTTTCTGCCACTTGCCTTCTGCCTTTCCACCCCCGTTTTCATAGGTTAAAAAAGGAAGAAGAACATGGCGCCCAATCTGAAGGTCCAGGTTTCGTCCAGGGACTTAGGGAGTATAAGTATAAGGTTAGGTACGGTTAGGGAACAAATTCTGCTGCACCGCAGCTTTGTTCGGGTTTGCCTGACCAGGATCCTCAGAGTCTGCATCGGGAGATCAGGAAAGGATGAGCGCTACAGTCAGTTGGCACACCTGACTCACCTGAACCCCTGCCCTTATTTCCTCCAATTGAATTCGGAATCCAAAGACAAACCTCATGTAAGACGCCACAAGGTAAGCTCTCTAAGAAAGAGGGTATACCCTTCTTTTAGGGCGAGGGCGCAATTCATATCTCACAGCCAACACACACACACACACACACGTGCGTCAAAATAGTTTCGGAACCCCGGAAGTGGGTGATTTCTCCTTGGTTTCCCATCAAGCCGTCGAGCACACACCCAAAGGAGGGTCCATCCATGCAAGCCCCGTACTACCCGTCGAAACTTCGCGCTGCTCTTCAGCGCTGCTCTTCAGCGCTGCGCCTGAGATTTTCGCGCAAATGGAGCCCTTGGGAGGGATTCATTGGTTCAATGGGCGGCCTTTCTTGCGCACGTCTGGGTGCGATCACAATGTGGGCGTGAGGCCCTGATTTGGAACATGGGATGTGGGGTTCTGGTGGGCCCTGATTTCGGAGTTGTGTGTCAGCGACATGTACATGTTGGATGGCAGATTAAGCCGGATTCAATCAGACCTGATTCATCTTGGATATCCACCTTGGATATCCACTATGAGCTAAGAACATCAGCGTGATTCCTGAGTCAGGAAATCGATGAGCAACCCATACTCTTCTCTGCTTAAAAGCAGATCATCATACGATGTCAGGACAGTGCCAACGCCTCAACGTGTCCTTTCAAGGGAGGCCAAGGCCGGACTGTTCACAAAATGCCATGATTGCAATGGCCATCCATCCACGCTCCAACAGCTTTTTATGGACCCCCCCCCCCTCCCCCCCAAAACAAAAAGAAAACAAAAAGAACGAGCAGCTTTGGAGGCGTCTCGTCCTGAACTCAGCTGAATGCTGACCAGGTACCCACAAAAATTCAATACATTCATACACACAAATAAACATACGCACAAAACTTAAGCACAAAAACAACACACAACATGAACGCATAGATAAGACAATCAGCAAACAACTCAAACCAAAACATGGCAACTACAAAAACACTGCGACGCACCCAAGCTAGTTCAGCCACAAACATGAAACTGCTGCAGCACGCCCTTATTGAACACGGGTCCTGGTGTCCGCGCATCACCCAACCAAGGAATGCACTGGCAACCAATGATTGCACCACGAGGAAGGCATCTAAAGCAAACATGCCATGTTGCCAAGCATGTCTGCCACTCAAACAACCCTGTCCACATGGAACCTGAGTGTGGGGTCCTGGTTTGGACGATGTTCCTTTAAAAGGGCACCCCGTTGCCCATGTGTTGCTCCAGTATTTGGCCATGGGTCAACATCCCGTACCCCTAGACTAAAATGGGTGGTGCACCTACCCCAAAATGGTACCATTGGTTTTGACCCACAGCCATTTCAGTAGAATCGTGCTTTCAACAGAAATAATGAGGGAATTCTCACAAGGTTCGGAGTGGCTGAGCTGGAAACAACGGATGGACATTGGCGCGTTTCTTCCTCCAAATTGGTGGTTTGGACCATAATTTGGGCTTCGAATCCCTAAACCACCAATCCAAACCACCAACTACTGTGGATGGACGAAATCCTGCACCACCTAAGAAACCATGGAATGATGATTCCCCTGTAAATACCAACAAACCATACTTTCATCATGGCTTCCAAGAGGTGAGGATCTTGTACATCCACAGTAGGGCCATGATCACCCTTTCCGAGGCCCCTCCATCAGTTACCCAACTCGACGCCCGGAACGGGTCTGCCTGGCGTCCGTCCCGGCGCGTGCGAGGGCCAGTCCTGAGCCGATGTGAAACCTGCGACCCAAGAAATCATTCATTCAGGAGGCCTCTGGCTTGAAAATGGGAACCTGGACCCTCAAACTACACCTTAAACACGGGAGATATGGCCATCTTGCCCTCAACATTATGAGGCGATGTCCCATTTTTGAGGGTCGTTTCGCGTAGGTCCATTGTTGCTTGGTCCGTCGTCATTCGGAGCGCCTAATCACCTATCATTATGAACACCTTGAACAAAACGAGGACTTCTCAGAAATACCCCTCAGACCAATGAATGTTCACACCGACATCTCAACAAACGACCGAAGCAAGACATGATTCGCACGTACCGGCATTTTACGGAACCGTGACCATTCAACCGCCCAAAAAAGCGCCGGCCTTCTGCGAAGTGAGCTGGTAGGAGCAGTGACGCCTGCCTAAAGATCGAAAGAGACGGACGTGATCTTTGCGCAGCTGCAAGCTACTGTGGGTGGACAAAATGCTGCACCACTTTGAAACCATGGAAAACCATTGTTTGTAAGAAATTTTAGGGGAATCATGAATTCCAGGGTTCCTTATCGGTGCAGGACTTCGTCCAACCACAGTAACTCTGACCAAATAGATAGGCTCCGCAGTAATTCGGAGCGACTTGGTTGCTGTTGATCCGTCTGCAAAATGTTTAACTTTCTGCTGGTCCAATTCACCTGGTTCAACCAAAAATTGTTAAAATCCAAAGATCCGCTACCAAATACTAGGTCCTCCAGTAGAGAGGTTAGAACAAGCAAAAAAGGGTGAGAAAGGGCACTACTGGGGGGACCTAGAATAGCCATAAAGTTGAGGCGGATCCAAGTCTTTAAACTCTCCAACCAAAGTGCAGCACCGTGCAAAGGACCCTGCTAGAAGTGTCACGCGGTTCGCTAGTTTCCGGACTAACATGCTCTTGAAGTTGAATACATCTCAATGTCAAAGCAAGGATCAAGCAAGAATGCGCCCACCACAGTCCTGAGTGACCCTAAGTAGGGAGTTACGCTAAATCTCCCTCACAAGCAATTTCTAGATACCCGCAATGGGCTCTAGCCCTGAATTCCTTGTTCTTTTTTTATGGGAAGTTTGATCTGAACACGGAACCGCTCGGTTTACCCCCGAATCCAATTGGACCCGCTGGGTTTACCCTGAAACTGTACGCAGGTTTCCCTATCCCAGAGGGTCCCTTGGTGTACAACACCAAGTTTCACTATGTGTTCCTTGGAAAGGTCTCCCGAGCCTCTGCGGAGTGGCTCAAAAAACCGGTACCAAAATGGCTTGCCCTGGTAAGTGGTTAAACATGGGGACCAAAACCTGCGGTTTGCCCCTCCGATCGTTTAAATTTGAGAACCACACCCACATACATCGATGTACGCGAAGTACCCTAAAGCCCCACCCATGGGGTTCAAGCCAACAAGAGGGACAAAGGGTGGTTCACATACCATTGTTTACCTAAGACCTGGCATCCAAATTGTACATGTCCTTACCATTCTTTTAATGGGGGTACGGAACCCTAGGGCCCCAGTCTTCCAGGGTACCTTCCCCATTCTTTCCAGGGATCCTTCTTTCTAGAATTCCTCCGGAAATCCAGGGAAAACGGACCTGTTTTTAAAAAAGAACGATGGTTGAAAAGAATGGAAAAGGAATCAACCCCTCGAGCAATTGGCTTCAGGGCCAGTCACTTCTCAACGAGCAGTCGGGCTTGGCCATCAACCCCTAGAAGTCTCTTCTCATTTGCGTATCAAACAATTAACCACCAGAAAACCGCAGGTTTTGGTCCATGCTTCCGTTTACCAGGATTCCATTTTGGGTACATATTTTTGACCCACAGCTATTTTGTCCATGGCTTCACATCGTTTTTGGCCGCTCCGCCGATCCGCCGATAAGCGCCGATCCGCCGGTTCGGTTTGGGTCCGTGCCACACTGGCGCCGGCCACTGGGAGCGCATGACCTGCCGCTGCGTCCCCACCAAAATGGGCGGTTTTCCGGGCGGGGTCCGTTTGAAACCAACCCCAAAAGAGGGTTCCTTTAAACCCACCCCAAGAAATGGGGCGGTTCTCCTGGCGGTCTCTTTACCCAGAGGGTCCCTTGGTACATTTTGAGGATGGCTTCTGGGAGCTAAAAAGGGGTCTAAGTACCTGCTTAGAGGGTACTTGGACCCTCTGAGTTAAAACCAAACCCAAAAAAGTGGGCGCCTAAAAAAGAAAGAAAAAGAAAAACAACAGCCCGTGGGGGTTGATAGTTTTTTTTGGCCCAGAGCTTTGACCAGTGACCTTGTCCCATGTGGTTGAAATATCATAGTGGTGTTGCAACCAGCACATGGGTGTGACGCTTCAAGGCACTCGGACCCTTTGGTTAGTCTCATTTTGCACAGCAACGGGAAACTAACAAAAACAAACATGGCGGGGGGGGGGGTATTTTTACACATACAGGACGTCTCGGTTCTATGAAACACATACCCCATGGTGTCCACCAACCCTCCAAGCACTACCCTCATCAAATATATGAAACAACGTGTATATTTACCCTCATGGTGCCATAGTGCCCTGTTTATCCCAATGAAACCCTTGGGTCCCGGTGCAGTAGTGCTCGAGGGGCTTCAACCAAGAAACTGGCACAAGAGCGAGGTGGCCAGCAGGGAGGCCATTGGTCAAAAACAACAAGGAAACAAACAAAGAAAAACGAAAGACAGAACACTGACAGAACTATGGAAGCAAGGAAATAAATCAACAAGTAATAAATAATCCAGCTTCAGGGCAAGTCAGTCAAGGGTTCATGCCGATGCTCTGCACATCCGGCAAAGCCAAGCTACCATAATTGGTTGGGCACCCCAATTTTGACACATCCCCATTTGGCACGGTAGCATTTTGGGTTCAAACGACACACGGAGCCATCATGAACTGGGAATCCATCCACTAAGGGACGACCCCTCTAACACAGTTCCTGCGAGGATTGGCGAAGTCTAAACTTCTTGTTTACCACTAAAATAATTAGTCTTCCCAAAAAGCTTAAAGTCCAGGAACTCAGGGAGTCAGATACACAGGGGTATATCAACCCCGGGTTTTTTCCATGACCTGGAGCAATGAAAAAAGAGCGACTTGCCACCCCGATCCAAGCCGAGCCTCTTCGACGGAGGGCCTCCACTTGGGACACGGCCTGGGTTTTTCTAAAGATCTGATGCGGTCCCTGGCATTCAGTTCTCAATATGTCACCATTGTTTACCTAGGGATTGTCATCATCTAAATCGGGGTGCCAAGACCATTCGTTTAAACGGGGTTGAACTCTAGGGTGAGGATTGATAGAATTGCATTTGAGATGGTGGTGGCTCATCCAGCATTGTTTATATCGGGCCTCATGCGTCCCAAGTGGTTCGACATGGATTTTCTCCACCAGTATGTTTGGTGAACACTTGTTCAAACACTTGCATGTTTCAGGAAGGTAATCTTGTCCTTCCAGTTGCTACGTGTTGCTCGTTTGATCCGGGCTTCCCACTAACTCCATTTCTGCAAGTGAGCCAAAAGTGAACATTCATTGGCGAGAAAGAAAAAAACACTGTTTCTCAGATGGCGAACCAAAGTCCCTGGTGTTTGCAGGTGCTAGCAACTGGAGAGAGAAACCGGGCCCTTTGAATCGCGCAGTCTGCATGTTCTATCCCAAATCCAACCTCCAAGGTCAAACCGCGTTGCAAGAAAAAAAGGACCACCTTTCTTCTTTGTCTTAGCAACTGACTTGTTTTCTGTTACAAGATCGAACAGACAGGTTGCTCAAGATACAGCACCGCTCGCGAATGCTATCGGCAGCCAGACAAATGGTTTGGTAGCCTTGCGTAAAGCCGTGGGGCCTAAACAGCATCCATTTCCTGGTTGCAAATAGCTGACCTGTTTTCCTTTTTCTGGTGTCGTTATGATGTGACACCTTCAAACAGGATTAGCTGGTTTACCCCTCATTTACACCCAAAAATTTACACTAAAAGATGAGACGAGTCCTCTAAACCTGATGACCTTTTTCAGGTTTAATCTGCAAAAGTGTACCCGTTGCCTCCTTATCTGAGTTTCCCCTGAAGGAGTAAGACACGTGTACCTTGTAAACCAACTCATGGTGGAAAACCAACCGTTCTGATGGATACTTTCTCGCTTCGTCTCGCAGAAGTTGGAGCCAAGTGTTTGAAAGGGTCCGGTCTTACCTCAAAAATGCGGATGTGTTCAGAATCTGTTGACCAATTCCCCAACCCCAAACCGCAACTTCCATTTGCTTTGTGGCCCGCTGGGGAAAAAGACACACATGTTCAGTAGTGATATGGAGTTCCTTGGTTTCCAGAGGACACCACGCACACATACTGAGCAAATGCAAGGCAAATTTACATGACTTCGGTACTTTTTTATGTAGGCTCCATGAAGGCTCACCCCGCACTGGGCACCCGAGCTGGCTCGCGAGGCCTTTGCCGCTGAAGGAGCGTGTCTTTTGTGCGGGGGTATCCTTTTGAGGTTGGTTTGAAGGGAAGCCAAAGGGAAGCCAACATTTTTGGTGGTCCCCCGATCTTGTTTCACAACCCACATGTCAACCAGCTCTTTGGGCGCTTGACTGGCAGAGACTTGTCGTCTGCAGGTCCGTGAAAATGCGGAAAAACAACAGCAGATAAACAGGACGCGTCCACACATCAGAGTGCACTGCGCAACACAGAGCATGACACAATATTATCAAGACATACACTGCATGTGCGTCATCGGGGGATTCCTGCTGAACATTTCACTGGCCCCCGCAAAATCACAGGGTAATTCAAAGTGCCATCGCTGAACCCGATGCCAAACGAGAAGCAAACAACTTCAGCCTGAAACAAAATGGCGCATGTTCTGTCCCGGGCTAGCTAGCACTTCTCTCGTGGGCTCCCCAAGAACACTTGATGTCAGTTGTTGGAACTTGTGTACTGATTGTTCTGATCTCTCCAAATAATGTCCGCGGTACAAATCATCCCAAAAGGAAAGTTACACATTCGCCCCTAAGGGGATGCTTAAACCAACAACAGAAGAACCATAGGGCATTCAGAGGGCACGCAGTCATCTACACCTCAACAAAGTGCTTTTGACGCTGACTCTTTCCCAGGTGGCTTTGACCAGACAGGTAATGAAAGCTATCTCTTTCATACAGAATCAGCCGGTCGGAGCAGCAAAGCACTGCACCCATACGTGCATTCTGTGCTTGATCATTTGTGTACAAAGGCTTCGGAAATTCGTGCAAAGTGACTCCAACAAATCCAAAGGCCCAACCAGAAAAAAATATGGTTGTGTAAATGTGCTCCTTGTGATGCCAATCAATTCCCATTCCATGACTACGCCAACTCGCGGGGCCTGGAGGCAGGGAGGGACACCAAATCAGGCCTTGTTGAGGGCTCAATAAAAGCTAATTTGCGTTCGCCCCCTTCCTCCAGGCCCCAGGATTAGCAGTGTAAAGGGGTATCATTCGTATCACGGAACGTGGCCTCGAAACACATTTGACTGCCCCTTATTTCAATGGCCGGGGTATTTTCCTCTAATCCAAAGGGGTCCGACATGGAACAGCTCCAAGCCCCCCATTCCGCTTTTAAAAAAATTTGGCCCGAGGCATTTCCCACACCTTCTGATTGCTAAGCAAAGCTTAGGTAGAAGAACTCCAGCTAGTGCTTTCGTGAGGGGCCGCCCAACAGTGCTGAGTTGGTGCTCTCGAGCCTCGTTCGGGCTCTCCCGTTGCCGTTCGGGCCGTCGGCCGGCAAGCGCGGCAAACTGCAACGGGAGGCTCACAACGAGGCCCCGAAACACGCAGATTCGCCACGGGAGTCGCCTCAAAGTGCTGATTTGTACTCGTGAGCCTCGCGGGCTCCCGTTGCCGTTTCGGCCGTCAGCCGGCAAGGCCCGAAACACGCAGATTCGCCACGGGAGCCGCCCAAAAGTGCTGATTTGGGGCTCTCGGGCCTCGTTCGGGTTGCCGTTTGAAGCGCCACAGTGGTTCAAGCAAGCAGCGTGAGTGCCGTTGCCGTTTTGGGCCGTCGACCAGCAAGCGCGCAAAACTGCAACGGGAGGCCGAGCCGCCCAAAAGTGCTGATTTGGTGCTGTCGAGCCTCGTTTGGGCTCTCCCGTTGCCGTTCGGGCCGTCGGCCGGCAAGCGCGGCAAACTGCAACGGAAGGCTCACAACAAGGCCCGAAACGCACGGTCTGACGAGAGCCGGCGAAAAGCGCTGATTTGGTCCGAACGAGGCTCGAGAGCCCCAAATCAGCACTTTTCGGGCGGCTCCCGTGGCGAATCTGCATGTTTCGGGCGCCTCCCGTTGCAGTTTTGCGCGCTTGCCGGCCGACGGCCCGAAACGGCAACGGGAGAGCTCTAACGCTCGCGAGCACCAAATCAGCACTTTGAGGCCTCCCGTAGCGAATCTGCGTGTTTCGGGGGCCTCGTTGTGAGCCTCCCGTTGCAGTTTGCCGCGCTTGCCGGCCGACGGCCCGAACGGCAACGGGAGAGCCCGAACGAGGCTCGAGAGCACAAAATAATCAGCACTTAAACTTTTGCAATTGAATCTGGTCCAAATGAATGTGATTTGGGTTTGGGACTTTGGGGTATATCAAATCTTTTTGGTTGGGGTTGGGACTAAGGGGTAGTAACCTCAACCCCTCACGCCCCTGCGGGGGCAGCAGCTGCAGCAGCTGCAGCACCGGACCAGTGCACCGTTGCGCGCGCCTCGCCAGCACATAGGGGTGGTCAAAATGGCATCAATGTCAATCCAACTAGAATTCAAATGGCATCAATGTCAATCCAACTAGAATGATTCAACATGATGGTCAGCTTGATCAAGTTCATTGACAGGACCAAATGGAATTCCGATGAGCAAGGTGCACATGTTTTCTCCTCACTCCTCATCGTCATCATCCACAGGTGAAACAGCACCAACAATCTCCGTTGGCTGGTAAGCCGGAGAAGCTGTCAGGCCATTGTAAAGGCGAGCCGCACTGTGTCGCCATCTCACGCACCGTGGTCATGTAGCCCGTCTGGGTGCTCTTGTTCTTCATGATGGGCATCTCCTCAGCGCTTTTCTTGTCACCGCCTTTCACCATCTTCTCCTTCACGGCCTTGGCACTCTTCTCAGTGACCTTGACATCGCAGCCACTCTTCGTCTTGTCCTTCACATTGTAGATGTTCTTCTTGTCGTCCTTCACATCGTAGCTGCTCTTGTCCTGGTACTTCACATCGTGGCTGGTCTTCTTGTCGTCCTTCACATTGTAGCTGCTCTGCTTGTCCTGGTACTTCACATCGTAGCTGGTCTTCTTGTCCTTCACGCAGCTGCTCTGATTGACCTGGTCCTTCACATCGTGGCTGGTCTTCTTCTTCACATAGCTGCTCTCCTTGTCCTTCTCGTCGAAGATGTCCTTCTTGTCCTGCACGTCGTAGGTTCTCTTCTTCTTCACATCGCAGCTCTTATTGTTGTCGTCATAGATGCGCTTCTTGTCCTTCACGCCACTGCTCTTCTCATCGGTGGCCCATTGGACATTCTTCTCCATGCCCTTGCCCACATTGACATCCTTCTGACCCAGACCCTTCCCTTTCGTCTTTCCAGCACCCTTCGCCTTCTCAGCGCCCTTTGCTTTCATCTTCTCACCACCCTTCACCGCTTGGCCACCCTTCTCATCGCTCTGGGCACCCTTCTGCGTGAAGAAGCTTCGCATTTTGACCTTCTCCTTCTCGCACTTCTCCACCTGGTTCTCACCGCTGTTCATGAGGCGTGCCACAGACCCTGTCATCTTCACCATGGACTTCTTGGCCGTCTGCTCTTCCATCTCCTGATCGCGCTGGTCCTCATCCACCTCCACATCTGTCAAGTCCGGGTCCAGCTCCAACTTGTCGCCCTTCCCAGCTTGCAGAGCCTTGGCCCTGGGCTGGACGATCTTGCCCTTGTCTTTGCCCTTTATGCCCTGCTGCTTGCGGGCAGCAGCCCACACATCATGGCTCCAGCCCACCACATTGGTGGCCTTCGCCTTTGCCTTCGCCCCGACCATGCCCGTCGTGTTCACATCCTCGTCCAGCTCCCCAGCTGATGTTCTGTTTCTCGTTGTCCTAGGCTCCTCCACCGCAGTGCCCTCCTCATAGCCGGCCATCCAAGCATCTTGAAGCCAGGCCTCACCAAGCCAGTTCTCGAAGGCTGTCCTGCACCACTCCTCCCACCAGTCCTGAGGCCAGGCAAACACAGGGGAGACAAGATGATTCAGGACAGGAGCAGGTTGACATTAAAACAAAGAAAATGAAATGTCATTTTGAGCTGGGCTGCCATGTTGCCCTCCTGGTAAAGGTGAGGGGGCGGCGGTGCAGGTGGCGGCTGGGGCTGGAGCCCCAACCCCAACCGCTGTCTCAAGCTGGCTAAAGCACCATGTGAGACAGGAGGGGGCGGGAGAGGCGGACGAGGTGGCACCACTCGCCTGCTCATGAGGCCAGACTACTTGCTTGACCTGGAAAAAACCTGTGAAATGCAAACAGTTCAGCACCACATCCAACAAGACGAGATAAGACAAGCCAATCACAGACTCCATGCCATGTGCAACCGTGTGTGAATCAGATTCAAGTCCAAATTGAAATGATGGTTCTTTCAGACAGGCAGCTCAACACCCAGGCTTTGTTTTCCGATTGGCGGCCAATCAGATCCCACATACAGACTATAGACTTAGACTCGCAGATGTCTAAGAAGCAACGCCCATCAACACCTTGACACTCAGCCACCTTCATCTTTACCAAAAAGATCAAACAGCAACTGGGGCCAATGGGTAAGCCAGGTTCACAATGTTCCCCTTTTCCATAGGCAAATCAATAAGTTTCAAACTGCCAAGCTTGCAAGGTGCCATTGTAAGGGCAACTATGTGCTATTCTGCAACACCAGAACCTTTTGATCTGGCAATGTTAAATCCTGCACAGCCACACACACTGGCCGCACTGGCTGCATCCCATTCAATGTCGGCTCATCCACCGGTTCGGCGGCAGCAGCTTCGCTGCTTGGCTTTGGCTCATTTTGACCCCTTGGTCCTCATCCACAGGGCTGAAGGCCACAGAGTTCTCCTGTTCACAAACTGGGTGTAAGATGGGCATTGTTTGAACACAGGAACCATCAAAATGTGGATTCAAAGCATAGTCAAAACATGACTTTTAACAAACAGAAGCACGAGTCCTTTTCAATCTTCCAAGCACCTGATGGATCCTGGGTCACCTTGTGGTAGCAGACTTTGACATTCCCGGGCTGTTTCTTCTTGAGGTCATGCAACATTTCCGCAAAGGTGTGCAGCTTCCCATCCACCATGCAGTAGTTTTCAGGGGCACAGTCAAACACCACTTCCTTATCCTCATTGAGCGGGGCATCTGGCAAGACATGGCGAAACTTGCCCTTTCCAAAGCCAGAAAGGACAGCACCAGCAGCCACTGTCACCTGGCGAATGGGCTTCCAGCGACTGACATAACAATCTTTAAGTTCTTATGTTGCAAACTTCTCACCAACCTAGCAACATCAAACTTGTGACAAAATGTAAGGCAGGAGGCTTGATGGCCACTGGCATTCTTCAAGTATGGGCCAGCAGCAGCTACAATGAGCAATGGTGGATTGTCTGTCTTGACCCCTGTTGGCAACCTTGCATTGACAATCGGCACCTCCGCAAGCTTGGAGCCAGTTGGCGCATCTTCAACAGGAAGCATATGTGATGTCAGGTCCACAACGGCTTTCCTTTTCACCGGGGTTGTAGTTGCCCCCACAGGATTTGCACTGGCACCGGGGTCAAGGGTTGTTCCATTTCGAGGGTGCCGTTCCTCAAAATCCTGCACAAAGGCTGCCCAGCCATCTTTCCCCTTCCATTTCTCAATTTCAGACTGTGGCAGCTGGATGCCATTGATGTCACCATTGGCCTCAGGGAGCAATTAGTTCATCATTAGTTTGGCGCAGTCCCAATCAAACAGCAAACAGCTTATTAATGAGCTTCAGCAAACACCAAATCAAAACCCCAATCCTTGGTCCACACACATCGCTTCAGCTGGGGTGGCTCTGGCTTGGCAGCAGTGTGCTCTTTGGGCGGGTCATCCGGCAACCTGCAATGAAGGGGCAGGAGGACAATTTAACAGTGTTTCATTCTAATGACCAACTATTTGAAAACATTCCTGTCCTGGTCATGCTCGGCACTTTGAATTCACCCTTCTGAGGTCCATTGTGAAAAAGGCATCAAACCATTCTTGATGGGAAGAATCGGGAAATATCGGAGCATATCGCATGGGGGTCTTGCTGCTCGAGCTGATATCAATGAAGGCTTCCAGAAAGTTGCCCACAAGCGGGGTAGTGTCCACCACCATGAGCGCAGTCTGAACATCAAAGCTAACCCCATCCTGGACACTTTAACTGGACTCAGCAAAAAGTAGATTGACACATAATAAGAAATGAGACAAGGAAGTATCAACACAGGCATTTGACTAAGTGCATGTCAGATTCAACTGCTGATTGAAGTAGCTTCAGGGCTGCATCATGTCCAATTTGCGCATATTTCAAAGCACTGTGCAAACTCGTGTTGTCAGAGGGCAAAGCCTCCGGATCCAAACTCTCGGGTGTAATCATTTGCTTTGCGGGGAGTTGCTTGGCTTCAGCAAGGTTCCGGCGGTACTTCAGCAAAGAACTTGTCTTCCATAGCCAGTTTGAGGGCTCTTGTGAAGTCACTAAAGGTGGAGAGACAACACGGCCAGTGTAAGCAAGTGGACGCTGGTCACGTTGGTCCTTTGTTGTGACAAAGGCACGAATGTACTAGACACAAGAAAAATTGCAAACAACATGTTTCAGGCAGTGGCAAGGCAAACACCAAAAAGGTACTTGTTGAAGTAAGTAGCCACCTTGCTTTTCACATCAAAAAGCAGTTGGAAGGGCAAGTCCACATTGCAGCTGAGGTTGGATAGGGTCTTCAAGAGGGCATGTTCTTCTAAGAACATGTTTCCAGTAGGCTTGTAGGTGAACTGCGGCATGATCAACAAGCAAACCGAGTGTTGTCCATGCGTTGACGAAATCACATGACCCAAAAGCTTCCATGTAGAGGTTGTCACATCCACCTTCAGCAAGGAGGGTGCAGCATAGTTGACCACAAAGAGGAGGGCCTGACTAGGTTAAACATGCAAAGCATTCACCCCATACTGCTACCCTGACCTATATACATCTAATCACAGATGAGCACAGCACACCGAGGTAAACATAGTCAGAGAAAAATGCCAGTTTGGGTCAGGCACCACCTTGGTGCACTTGATTGATTGCATCCATGTCTCCACATAGCTCTCCAAATCCTTGAGCATCTGGAGCGCAGAGCCAGAGTCAAACTTCGAGGGCCAAGCATTGGGGCAAACCTTGCAGCAGTGACAGGACCCAACCAAAAACACAGCTTGTTCTTTGAAGCAAACCATAGACAAAACATAACTTAAGAAACAAATGAATGTTGCAGCAGCAAGTGACATTTGCTTCCCACCATTTGCTGATTGCTTCCCGCGCAGTTTTTAACTGCTTGTCAACCCATGAGTCCTGCAAATGCATCATTCTCACCTGATAGTTGGAGATCTTCTCTTGAAACACCTGGAGACACTGCTCGTCATACCCAATCTCTTCCAGAACCATTTTGTACTGGGCAGCATCCAAGGCCACCGACGCATCCTGCAAGGAAGAGTCCGTAGCCCCAGCAGATTTCTTCTGGGCTGCAGGTGCCAACTCATTGAGGATCTCCATAATGCCTGCAAGGGTTTTTTGCAAAATGGTAGCACATCGGCCAGATACTTTTAGAAGGGGAAGTTACTGTAGCACAACATTTCAAAAGGGCAATTCTTGCCAAGGGACACCCATTACTGCGAGGAGACCAGGCATCTTCCTGCTTCTGGCAGGCAACCCCCAGTTCCATTTCCAGGGTTAGGTCACCAGCAGCAAGCCGGGCCAGGAACCTGAAGACACAAAGCTTCAATAGGCACACGCAGGATGGGGCTTTGCAAAGGATATGTTAATATGGTTTGCCAAGAAGCTTGTCCTTCAAGGGCTTTTCCACGTTGGGCACTGTCATGGAGAGCTCCTCAACCAATGCACCTGATTGGTCAAGAAATTAAATGACTCAATCAAGAAACAAATAAAGACACACATAATAGATAAATAAATAAACATAATAAATAAATAAACATAATAAATAAATAATAATAATAATAATAATAATAATAATAAATAATAATACATAAATAAATAATAACTAAATAATAATAAATAAATAAACACATAAATATAAAAGCAAAACATCAAAGCCACTAAATGAAAGCAAGAGGGCAAGCCAGTGCAGCAACTTCCGCCTTCTCTTCAAGCTGTTGTTTGGGCAGCTTCTTTCTTTGGGCAGCAGGGGCACTGTCAAACTGAGCACGCACCATTTGGAAGAGGAGCTGGAGGCTGTTAGCTGTATTTTTGAGCCTGGTACTCCAAGGTGAACTCTTTGCCGTTTTTGCTGACTTCGCATTGTACTTCAAGCTGATCTTTTTCGAAGACAGGCAATCATCCGAATAGGGGCAATCTCACAGGGCTCCAAATGAATCACAACAGAAGCAACGCACACACCAATCCCTTGACAACCAAGACAAAAACTGATCTCTTGAAATCAGTTTATTTGTCAAAGCATATTGACATTGGCCAAGCAACTCTCCCAGCCATGCACACTCACCGCATCCAGGATCAGCACACGGCAGGGCTCCGGGAGTTCCAGGATGTTCTTGACAGCTTGCTGTTTGTGGCCAACTATCTTGTCCTGCTTGGCCACATCCTCATTCCTGTTCAGAAACATACTTTGCAGACACCAGGTTGGGTCCCTTGAGTATCAGACACCAAAACTCAAAGACTTCTCAGTCACACTCATAACTTCAGGCTGAAATTGTGAGGCAAGCTTCCAGGCCCGAATCAATGATTGAGGATCACTGTGACCCCAAGCAGCCATGTTCATCAGGCTAAACACCCATGAGATCGCACTTGGCGCTTTGCGGATGCTGCCCCTTGAAGACAGCTTCATGTTGAAGAACCTCAATGCTAGTTTCACAGCTGCACCAACACAATTTTGCAACATGGGGTTTCAAATTCCAGTTGTTTGCTAAGAAGAAACAACAATGTTGCTGCCACTGGTCAAGTCACAATTCCGATTGCCGATCCTGAAGACGAACATGTTTGCACTTGATGGCCTGAAGCCCCCGAAGCAAAGATTCTGGCACCTACAGGCAGGGGCAAAACCCTTTCCCTTTTCATAGGTAATAATCAGAAGTCTCAGACTTATTAAGTTCAACACTCACCCAGAAAAGCCCTTACCCACCTCCAAGTTCAGCTTGTCCAGTGCCACAACTGCAGCTATTGCTGTAGTCACCCTGGCTGCACCCTTCAGGAACCAGACCGAGCCATCCTTGATGTTGCCACTCATCTGCAGCTGGTTTGCCTGCAGGGGCAACACATCCCACTTCCCTGTTTGCACTAATGCCCAGCAAAAAGCCTTGCACATAAGGGCTGTCAATAAAGAACAAGTTACTGTGACTGCAGAAACAGCAAAAGTTGTTATTTCATGTTACAGTTGTTGCAACAATAAGCAGGACATGGCAATTTCAACACCAGGCCGGCAACCGAATAAGCACTGGCTCTCCCACTGAGACAAACCCATCAACTTTGAAGTTCTCAATGAGCTTGACTGCGACATCCAATGTTGGAGGTTCACGGAGGCTGGCTTCATTCTCCATGTCAAAATGCCAAGGGAGAACGCAAAATGCAGGCTGTGTATCTTGCTGGCCTGGCATGTTAACCCAGTAGCTAACAAAGATAATATCTGTTATGTTCTTGCTTGAGGGTAAAACAAAGTACCAACATTGAACAAAACAGTGGAAAACATGTGCCTGCCAGGCAAGCTGGCATAGGGTATGTGTCCACATAGGAGATGTCCTCACGTGGTTTTAAGTGAGCCTTCAAGATGCCCGCAATGGACTCACATCTCTGTGCCCGAATAGGAAAGGTGATGTGAAGATACTGGCGGGGACCTCCACAGCCTCAACAGTGGGTCAAAGCATAGTTGACATTCCACCAGTTTGGCACTGGGAAATCTATAACTCACAAGCAACTAAATAATAGGACTTACCAAAGATCAGACAAAGGGCGGCGAATCTCTTCAATCACTTTGTCATAAGCCTGGTCCGATTGCTTTTCAAGCTGCATCAACGCCTCTGTAGTTGCAGTTGGCACCTCTGACCCCAAAGCCAGACTGGCTGCATCCTCAGGAACGCTGGGCGAAGGTGGGTCCAGACCACGCTGCTGCTCCTAGGCACAGGCAGGGAGAAGGGCACCTAATCACAGATACCAAATCTTTCACTTAGTAAGGATCATGGACAGAAAACATGAACCTTGACTTGTCATTGTCCAATCAATATGTTGCTAGAAACTCAGAAGGGTTCTGCCCTGAAATAGTCTTGCTGCAAAAGCTTTGTATTTGGGACAAGGTGCCAGGGAATTGAGCATGTCGATTTCAGTCATTGCATCATCCTCACAAACATGACCAGGAGGCAGATCTGGACCAAACAATTGGTCCTCCTCACCACCACTGTGAGAATCCATTGAGTATCAATCACTAACCATGAATGTTGAGCCAAAACTTTGAGATCATCCGCAAAGTCAATCACTGCTTTCCTTGCAAATCCACTACAGGGTTTGGGATCCTGATTTATGAGGAAATCAGCTGAAATCCTGCGAAGTTGCTTGATGACTCCTGAATCCTTCTAACTCACACACAGCAAACAACTGCCCGAAATCAAAGGATACCCACTGTCAAATACAAGTTAGCCGGATTTCAGATGAAATCCTCAGATGTTGGGGCATCACAAAAAGCTCACAACTAGCCAGGATTTTCCCAAGTTCATTGATCCAAAGGGATAAGTTTACATGCGGTTGAATGCGGTTACGAATTATAACGATTTCAGACGAAATCCTGACAAAATGCGACCAACATCAACCGCAAATCGCAGCATCACTTAGCCCTCACTTTGAAAAGGGACATCCAAAAAGCGCATTTTCAATCTCTTCTGATTGTCAGGCAATTTGGCTAAGGAATGCCCTGCACATTGCTTCCACCATCGGGGCTGGGTACTGTTGTGCAGCCTCCGACCTTTTGAGGCCATGCTCACTGCCCTCAATTCTTTGGTGGCAATGTGAGCCATCACAAAATCGGCCATTCAAGGCCCTGAAAACACAATCGCTATTTGTAAGCACCTTTGTACGCTTCCTCATTGGCACACCGCTTGGCGAGACAAGTCCCAGCATGCACTGGTCAAAGTGCGCCATTTGGACATTGCTCTTGCCCATGATGTTGAGTACCTTATTGGTGCAGAAACCAGGAAGGAAATTGGCCCCCTGCAAAATTATGCGCCGGCCCTCAAAGAACTAAAGAATTGGACAGCTTGCTAGAGAATTGAAGTCAAAGTTTCAGAAGCTCGCTCCCAGGCAAGAGATCCAGAAGGATGCTCAAAGGCAAAGAAGTTGCCAATACTAATCTGGAACCCAGCCAGCCACATGGAAAAGTCAATGTGGTTCAAGGCTTCTTTCAAGCTTATGTTTCTTCGCACTTTGTTCACAATGCGTTTCCAATTGGAATGCATGAGTTGGCACACAAATGTGCAGGGCGGTGAAAGCATAAGGGCTTTTGGCTGGAATATCATGACATCTTGCAGCAAAAGTCTCTGATACGAGGTCTCACATAGGTCAAAAAAATGCTTCAAGTCATAGCTTCTTCGAGATGTCCCACCCAAAGAACGAATGACAGGTCCAAGCCTAGGAACACTGTAAATCTCCCACAGAGAACATTGCAGATCTGGCTTGCACACAGGCGGGTTGGAAATAAAATCGTTCAAGTCCTCATAGGGCATCTCCACACAAGATGCAATTTGCTTTGCAGCCTCCTTGAGGTTGGGGTCATCACACAACAGGCCATCACCAGGGCTCTCAGTCATGGGTTCGACATGCACCCCCAGCCCTGTAGATGAATCTGGCACATCAGGCAAAATGTGGGAATCGCCCAAATCATCTGGTGGAAGCTCTGCAGGTGCATCCAAAGAAGACCCAGATGGCCGATCCTCCTTCTGCAACTTGGTTGCAGGCCGACCAGGCTCAGGGCGCCGTTTGTTCTTTTTTGCTCTCACCTTCTGTGCAGCACGATTTGCTTTCTTTGCTCCCCGCCCAGACCTACAAACAGAAGGCTGAGATGGAACAACCACCTCCCCATAATCATCTTCCGGAAGCTCCACATCCATGGCAACAGAAAGCTACACAATGTGTTGCACAGTTTGTCTATCAAGTATGATTGACCTGACAGAATCACATGGGAGCATGGCTACTTATCATTTGAGGACCCTGCCCAAACCAGCTATCATTGATCTTGAGCACCACACACACAACACTTGCAAGTGTGGCCTCCACAGCAACTGAAGGCAATCAAAGCGCATTGCTGCAGGGCTTGCCACATGTAAGGCTCCCCCGCTCTTGACAACTGACACATCTTTTTCAACCACATGGCAGGCTCTCCCACATCCCAGGCATTCAGGCTTGCTAAGCACAGTGTCTTAGCATGCACACCCCAAACTGGACAGAATTAGCTGACAGCTAATTCATGAAAACCCCTCACCCGGTCAGTACTTACCTTGCAGCTGACAAAGCCCGGCCACGCCCACGGCCACGCCCACGGCCCCTGTTGCGTCCAGGCTCTTTTGGAAGCATAGCTTTTTTGCCCCTGCCTTTCCCTCGCCCCCTGCCCTTACCAGGATTGTTGTCCACCCCCGGTTCCATCTTGTTCATGAACATCTTGCAAGCCTGATCTAAGTCATGTGTTGACCCACATAGCCTCCAGAACTCCCTTTCAAGCCCGTCTTTCCAGTACCTCACATCCATGCACTGGTAGAATCTCTCGCGGCGCTCCAGGAAGGTAGCCTTGCCACCCTCATCCTGCGGCTGCTTCCTGCCTGCAAAGGTGGCACGGGTGGGCCATGGGGGGCGTTCCTCCGGCACTTGTTGCGCAGCATCAAGAACTGCAGGAACTGCAGGAACTGTGTCAGGACCCTTGCTGGATTGCCCTTGAAACACATTGGCAGCCTCCATGGATTCAGTTGCTTGTTCCACAACTTCAACCTTGCGCTTGCGGCCCCTCTTCTTTGGCTCCGGGTTGGGAAAGTCACCTTGTTGCACTTTGACTTCTCGGATTGGTCCAGGGGCAAACTTCTCCCACCTCAGAAGAGGGCAAGGGCAAGGAAAAACCAGCTCGTTAGTTTTCACAAATGTTCATCCTTTCACACAGAAACAACAAGCTAATGTCACAAAGACTGCAAGTAGGAGAGCGAATGCAATTAATGTATTGCCAATAGAAAAGCAAGCAGCCCAGGTGGGCTTGGGGTAATACCAAGCTCTCTGATCTTGGCACTGAACCACCATGTTGGATGTTCCACAGAAGGCCACGATTGACGTGTGTTGTTGTCCTTTGCTAAATTCAAAATGCACACCTGCCACCTACAAGTGATAAATTTAAAGCTCCTAGATCTTTGGTGTCAGGATGAAACTATCACAAGGTCCAAGTAAAATCAAAATGGGAGGGCAAGGCTCAATCCATTGCCGTAGTGATGTAGCAGCACGATGCAAACACCACGGCTCCTTCTCCACCACCATGGCTGTACGCAGAAACCTCAAATAATTGTGTTTGAGTAACAGTCTCAACTTGCCATTCTAGAACACAATTGCCTGAACACAGGAGTCAACCTGTACCCCAAAAGGTACCCTTTGATTTAACCAAAGTGGCTCCTTCTTGGCTCGGTCTTGCAAGATGTTCCGGGGCATAGCCTGCAGATCTTCCTTCAAGTATGAACTGAAGCTCTCTGGCAGGAAGACCAAGGGGGCTTGGCTTAAAGACACACTGTTCACCAGGTGCTTCACCAACATCACACAGTCCGCATCCGACATGCTGTAGGACTCCTTAAATGAACTCACCATCCCCCCGCACGGTCCACCCCAAGCCAACCCCAAGCTCAAGACCACACAGACATTTGTTACTTCTGGGGTCAAGAAAATTAGCAAACACACAAGCACACACTAAGTCAGCCAAAGCATCACCAGGGATTTCAATGGGCTTCCAAGCTGTCTCCTTGTGGTCATCATAGAGTGGCAAGTCCTCAAACAGAAAGGCCCAAAGTCATAGACTGACATGTTTGGGCAAAATAGTTCAATTTGTGTCAATGTCCAGGGAAAAACAGGACCAGGAATAGAATACCACATCACAAATCACATGAAACGCAGCTTGCTTTAGTGGGCTAAGCTTCAGAGCGCCGAATGAAGCGCCAACAATGGTTCACATCATGGTCAGCTTCTTTTCCACGTGGAGCTGGAACAAGCCCACCAACATTCACACCATACTGCTCATAGTACTTCTTGTAGTCCAGGGATCCAGACATCAGCTCCACCTTGAGAATTCGGTTTCTAACCGGCCGGACATTCTCCTGGATGATGCGCACAAAGTCCTGGGCAACCCAACCCAAGGCCAAAGAGAAGAGATGGCTTACAGCCCTAAGGGAGAGATGGTTCAGAACCCCACACTTGCAAGCAGACTTGCTTTCAGCGGGCCTTGGGGTTCATGGGGCACAAAGCTCCTGAAAAAAGCCAATGTTTCAAGATTGCAGTTTAAAGTTGGCATTTAAGTCATCAAACAGTACCAGAATTCAAATCCAGTCCTCCGGCGCTTGAATCACCTGCTGTGATGTAAAGGATCCAGCCACTGTTCCCAGTCGCTGGTCTAGGGGGCCATGCGTGTGCCCCACTTCTCCAAATATGTGGGTAACACTCCGAAACCTAGCTTGCGTTGTTGGCCCAAGTAAAAAGAGCCAGGTGATATTTTCACCAAAGTGTTATTACACCAAAGAAAATAACACCTTCCACACACTAGATTTGAAAAACAAGAGGTCACACATACAAATGCCAAATTCATGCACAGGACCGATTTTGGGTGACGGCTGTTGCACTGATCTTGGCAAGCTGCTGGTTCTTGCCCTCCCTGACACAATTGTCAGTCTGACAGGGTTCAAAACAAAGGAACAACATTAAATTCAAGCAGCAGCCAGGGATAAATCAGATTGTCTCAGGATTTCAAAGCTTTTTCTCCAACACCCCACCTCAACCACTAGGTGTTCTGGCATTGGCAAGCCTCGAGAGTCCAGCTCAGCCTCAACCCAGTCCAAGCACTTCATGAGAACAGTCGCCTCCGCATTCGAATCTTTGGCCATGTCCGGCTCCAACAGCAAGTAGCCTTCTAGGACCTCATTCAGTGGGAGGATCTTTCCAACCCCAAACTCAAAGACCCACAGGGACCCTTAAGCAAAGTCCACAATAGAACTTGACACATTGCTAAAATGATCAAGGAACCCCCCATGCAATGCAGCCAACACAATGCATTTGCGGTCGCCACAAAGAGGCCAGATTTTTCGCATTCTCTAAGTTCCTTGGGTACTTTGTCTTCGACTGATCTAAGCCATCAATGTCCACCTTGAGCACCGATGCACAGCCTGTTTGTTTCCCAGACGTTGCAGATTCTGACAGCACATTGAGGCGCCCTTGGATCAACCTGTATTGTTTGACGTTGCGGATGTGAGCACCCTGCTTTCCTTCCAGCTCAGCCTTCTCAGCCTCATTGTTGGCTGCCCGGCAGCGCGCTGAAAATTCTGCACAAGTAGTACACCTTTGTAGGGCACTGGGGGCAAACATCAGTAGTGAGGTGAAATGCACAGAGGTTGAGTTGAGGACAAGTGCACCCTGGGGTTTCAGAAATGTTACCAGCCCTCCCACCTGGCATGTGTAGATATCTTCCGCATCTTAAGCACAGCTTTCCATTTGAGCTCATACACATCCCTGAAGGTTCGGCTACTTGCAATCTCAACCGATGGCACCGCTGCCCCTTCACACCACATCTCATAGAGCTGGAAGAAGGACTCAATGGTCATGTGGTTAATGTGTCTGGTTTGAACACCTTGGACACTTTCAAGCTGGTTTCACAAAATTCAATCTTTTAGTTTCATTCCACTCTCAATCAATGGGGTAAGAAAAGCACAACATACCAGAAGACAAACATCCATGTTCAGGCAGGACACATTCAGCGCCATCAGCAGGGGAGATAAGCCCACAAGCAGCAGGCAGGTTCCCCTTGGCAAACACAGCCTCGCTGAAAGCCTCGCTGCCACCAAGGAAGGTTGAAGGCAGCTCAGACGGCGCATCACCTGCCGGAGGCAAGTTGGCATAGCGGTAGCAGGGAAATCAAACACTTAGTGCTAGCAGCAAAGCTAATAGTTTCAGAACAACACAATACAATTAGCCAAGTTAACCTTGCAAATCAACCACTAAGCCACCTGGGAGGAAGATGCCACTCATAGTCAGGGCAGCACCATCTAATGACTCCATGGACGGCGTCTCCGCAAGGGTTTCTGCCTTGGGTGCATCACATCATTGAAGATAAGCTTCTATAAGAGGGCAAGCTGGAAACATAGCAGGCCCACCCACCCCACAAACATTTAATTTGCTAAATATAAACATGTACAATATGTGATATGCAAAGTGTCTAAGTTCCAATAGAAGTAGTTCATGAAGGCATCCACACTGGAAGACTTCACCGGCTGCTTGCCATTGTACTTCCTCATGTCTTGCGGCGCTTGGTTGTTCTCAAGTCCCGGCAGCAGCCGAAAGACCTGATGGCTTATGGTACCAAGACACTAAACCAGACAGCTACAGGCTACAGAGGAAGAACAAGGCAAACGACAGTTCTTGTAATGCACAATTGAAAGCTTGCTCATCTCACCAGGAAGCCCTTTTCTCGTTGACACCCAAAAGGGCACAGAACGCAGCCAGGCAAACTGGAAACCGGCAAAGCATGTAGTCCAGCACAACCGCCTTTCCACCAGCAGGTTGCTCAGGGGGTTCCTGAGCTGGACATCAAGCACCTGCCAAACCTTTAGCAACAGGTCCATTTAGATTTAATTGCCCCAGTCAACCCAACGCAAACACTTGCCCGAATTGATGCTTGAGATGTTGGTCTCAACTCATGATTTGCTGCTTGGTGGATTCTTGGCAGGACGTTTGTCCCAACTCAATCAGCATTGCAGCAGTTGCCCCCATCAGCTACATGCCGGGTGTTTCTTTGGTTTTGCACAACATGTTAAGCAGCACGCAAATCCACTTGGGTGAAACTTCTTCACATGTGGGACACATAGGCACTCTGTTATTCCCAAACACTGATTATAAGCATCTTTTTTAGAAAAGCACAGGTGATACACAAAACCAGAATCGCAGGCACCAAATCTAATGGTATCATGGGGAGGGCTAACCCAGTCACAGTAGGCAACTTGAGAATCTGAGCATAAAACAATGATAATAACAAGCAGCTCACAACACACTGAGTCATTCAAACAGGACACTTCTGGAGAGCCCTTTCGCTGTAGCCGGTTCAGAATGCCCATCAGGAACTGATTCACCTCTTCCTGCGAAAGCACTTTCATCTTGGTCCGAATGTCCTGCAGGTTTTGTCAAACAACTGACTTGCTGTGTTGATCAACCCCAATGAGCTAAGTTCAACAAAAAGGCTTTGTGCCCAAACAGTACTGACTTATGACCCAAAGATCCTCCAGGTTCTCCACCCTGAGTGCATTTGCCCGGAACTCGTGCACGCACAGCTTCTTGCAGCACTTGTAGAGCTTCTCACCCGACCTGGGATATGTTGCTGCTTTAACCATGAATGCAATGACTTCAGCATGGACAAAAAAAACAAAAAGAAGCCTTGTTAAAGCCAGACACATCAAGTCAAGGGACGATGGATCAGGTAACCGTTGCTTGCGAAGAGGGGGCGTTTCAGCTGCATCTGGCACTGCTTGGTGAGTCAACAATAGAAGATCAGGGGCCAACACAATGTCCGGGCCCGCCGAGTCATCCGGGGGCAGCTCCATGGCAGTTCGGGCTAGGCACCAGCAACAAAGTCTTGGTTTGGCTGAGATTCCCAAACACTGTCCAGTCTAGGGTGAACAAACTTAAGGCATTAGGTTTCCCTGATCAATGTCAACGTTGTCCCAAATCCATGCTATGCTAAAACCCCATTGTTGAGCCAAGGCAAACCATGCCAAGCTGAGTTCCCAGCGCTAGCCACTCCCACACCCAGCACTCAGGCCTGCAAAGGTCCTGCGCACCAGCAACTGGAGCTGCCACAAACCTGGGCAGGCCAGCCACATTCCCTATGACAACTACCAACTACCCACACATTGCCAGACTCATGACTCAGACACCTGGTTGCGTGTGGCCTGGTTGTTGAACATTGACATAAGCTAAACCCTGCAAAGTGACACAGCCATTCTAACTTGCATCCAAGTGACACAGCTGCAAAGACCAGCCAATCACAGGCAGCACAGCAGCACCTCAACAACAGATTCAGAAGCAGTTCACTTGAAGCTAGCCAACAGCTAGGACCTACTGGTTGAACATTGGACATCACAGGATTGAGCAATGCTTCAAAAGCACAATGGACAACCACAAGCCAGACTCAGGAAGCAGCTCAAGGGAAAATTGTCCAACCATTATGTTTTGACCCTTGAAATGTCCAGGCACATGTTTCACCACCTTTCACTTTCTGGACCTGGATTAATGTGGACAATTGGTTTGCTTTGCTGGGGAAAACGAGCTTGGAATGCAAAGGCACCCTTGGATAACACTTGCCCTCAACACTTGCCCTCAACACTTGCCCTCAACACTTGCCCTCAACACTTGCCCTCAACACTTGCCCTCAACACTTGCCCTCAACACTTGGCATTGTGGCTGGAAAACGCAGGCAAGGCGCAGCGCAAGCTGCCACAGCCACAGCGGGCAGCTGCTGCAGCTGCTGCCACCGCAGACCCACCAGGGCCCACCCACCAGGGCCCCACACAGCCCCACCCAGCCCATAGGATGCCCCTCACACCTCCCTTCTGACCATTCTGCTATTTTGCACATCCCCCCAAATCAACCATGAAAGAATTCATCACCCCAAATCAATGAAAATATCCCCACAATCAATCGCAAAAGTTTACTTTTGGGCGCGTGAATCTGCGTGCTTCGGGCCTCGTTCCGGGCCTCCCGTTGCAGTTTTGCGCGCTTGCTGGTCGACGGCCCAAAACGGCAACGGCACTCGTGTGCGCTCATGCTGCTTCGGCAGGCGTGGCGCGGCCCAGGCTCGAGCCGTGGACCTTTGCGCAAAAGCCGCTTGCTTGAACCCCGGGCTCCGTGGCGAATCTGCGTGTTTTGGGGCCTCCCGTTGCAGTTTTGCGCTGCCACGGGAGCCGCCCAAAAGTGCTGATGTTGCCGTTCGGGCCGTCGGCCGGCAAGCGCGGCAAACTGCAACGAGAGGCTCACAACGAGGCCCGAAACGCACGGATTGGCGACGGGAGCCGCCGAAAAGCGCTGATTTGGTGCTCTGGGCCATTGGCCGGCAAGCGCGCAAAACTGCAACGGGAGGCGGTTTTCTGGAGCCTCGTTCGGGCTCTCCGCGCGCAAAACTGCAACGGATGGCCCAGAACAAGGCTCGAAACACGCAGAGTCGCCACGGGAGCCGCCCAAAAGTGCTTGCCGTTTCGGGCCGTCGGCCGGCAAGCGCGCAAAACTGCAACGGGAGGCCCAGAACGAGGCCCGAAACACGCAGATTCGCCACGGTAGCCGTTTTGGGCCGTCGGCCGGCAAGCGCGCAAAACTGCAACGGCTGGCCCCGAAACACGCAGGTTCGCCACGGGAGCCGCCCAAAAGTGCTGATTTGGTGCTCTCGAGCCTCGGGGGCCTCCAAATTTTGAGACAAAGTCAAATACAAGGAGGAGGTTGCAACATAAAACCCAAGTGGAGCTTGAAGGAACTTGGGGGGGCGGGAGGTGCTTGGATTCTCAACCAAATGGGTTATCATCACCACGGTTGCAAGTGAAATAGCTGGAGATGAACACGGGGGATTTACACCAAGCAATTTTGAGGACATTCCTTTTTAGATTCAACACCAGATAGGGAGAAAAGGTTGGCCGGACGCATGGTTGCGAACAAGTGGGTTGGGGGTTGCGGTGGGAGGACACGGTGAAGAGGTCGGTTCTGATGAAAGGTATGTTTGGGTACCAACAACACACCCAGCCGTTCGGGCCGTCGGCCGGCAAGCGCGGCAAACTGCAACGGGAGGCTCACAACGACGCCCGAAACGCACGGATTGGCGATTGGTGCTCTGGAGCCTCGTTCGGGCTCTCCCGTTGCCGTTTTGGGCCGTCGGCCGGCAAGCGCGCAAAACTGCAACGGGAGGCGGTGCTCTGCATGGAGCCTCGTTCGGGCTCTCCCGTTGCCGTCGGCCGGCGAGCGCGCAAAACTGCAACGGGAGACCCAGAACGAGGCCCAAAACACGCAGATTCGCCACGGGAGCCGCCCAAAAGTGCTGATTTGGTGCTCCGGAGCAGTCAGCCACCGGGCGCATTTCTTTTGCGCAGAAAAGTTGCAACGGTACAGGCTGTAGCGTTTCAAATCGGTCAGCTTTACAGGCAAGTCCAAGGCCCCCATTCCGCTTTTAATTTTTTTTGGCCCGAGGCATTTGGGCCCGTCCCCCCCACACCCCCTGATTGCTAAGCAAAGCCTAGGTAGAAGAACTCCAGCTAGTGCTTTCGTGATCTTCCAAACAGAAACCAAACAAAACCCCCATCTTCCAAACAGATCGCGGCTGATCTGGCCCATGGTTGGCGGAAATGTGCTTGTTGAGGATGCCACTTTCAGCTTGGCTTGAAATAAAATGGTGGGTACCATTTTCATGCGGGATTCTCTGCAACAAGCGACCACCCTTCTCAGGGTCCACACACACAAGCCAAAAGGACTCCCTAAAAAGGGGAACCTTTTTTTTCACCCTCCAAACCTTTTTGTGTCAACCCTTCCCTGTTTTTTTCAACCCCTCACCCTTTCTATGTAACCCTCCCCCCGTCTTTTTTAACCCTCCCCCCTTCTTTTTGAACCCTCCCTCCTTTCTTTCTGACCCTCCACCTTGTCGTTGGTTATGTTTGGTTTAGGGTGGTTTCGAGTTGGTCTGTGGTGGGTGTAGGGTGGGCGTTGTAGGGTTGGTGTAGGGTTCATTTAGGGTGGCTTGGCTTGAGGTGGTTAGGGTTGAATAAGAGATGTTCATGGTGTGCTTAAAGCTCGTTTAGCGTGATTTAGGGGCTGGCTTAGGATGGTGTAGTGTGGATGTAGGGTGGGTTTGGGGGTTGGTTTGGGCGTGGCTGGTTGAAGATTAAATTTAGACATATTGAGGGTTGGCAAGATTTGGCTTAGAGCGGGCCTACGGTTGGTTGGGTTGGGTGTGGGGTGGGCTTAGGTTGTTTTAGGTGAGGTTTAGGGTGGGATTTTGATCGGCGTGGGCTTGGTGTAGGTTGGTTTAACCCGGGCCAAGGGTGAGAAAAACAAGGTTGACGGGTGAAAAAAAGCAAGCTCGCGGGTGAAAAAACAAGGTCGGTAGTTAAACACAAGGCGGAGGAGGGTGAACAAAAACAAGGTGAGGAGTTGAAAAGAAAGGATTTCTCAGGGTTAGACAAACAAGGTTCCTGTAGACGGTTCCCAAGTAGGGTTTGAGGGTTGAAAAAAAGGAAGGGTTAAATAAATAAGTTTGGAGGGTGAAGAAAAAAAGGGAGCCCTCCCTAAAATGTCACAGATCCGCACGGAACAAAAACGAACAAAACCCCCATTAGGGTCGACGCATACACACCGAAAGGAAACCCAGCGAACCCCCCCCCCCCCCCAAACTTCTCCAGTGCTACATGGATTTCCTCCATCCACACACACACACAAGCACCTCACGCGAAAACCCACGCGAAAACCACACAAGTCCGCGATCGCTGAGAGCCATGGCCCAACTTCTCGAGGCGAAGCCTCGCGATGCAAAAATTATCCCGGATCCAGTCACCGGGTGGTTTGTATCCATGGAACCCGCAAAATCCCGACATTCTTGAAACCCGCTCCTTCTGGGGAAATGGGGGTGGATCAAAAAATCCGTTACATGGGATATTGAGGAAAAAGCAAAACCTGAATTTTCCACAAATTGCCCGTGGGATAGTGGGTCACCAGCCATTGTCCTTTGTTAAAGGCTGGTTCCCTGGGTACCCACCGTACAGGAAAATGGAATCGCTGGGTGGTCTATGCAATTGATCCCAGGCAAGCCCAATCACTGCTTCCTAATAATGCAGGTCCCCCTAATCATAAAACTTGGTTTTGAGAATCCCAAATCATTTAAGTCCCGGAATACTACTTTTAGAATAGGCCAATACTAAGCCTATTCTAAAGTAGGGATTTTCCCGGCCCGTGGTCAAATCCAGTCCTATTAGGGGATCCTTTGTACCTTCAATCCTGCAAAGAACCCATTGTCTGAAAGAAAGAACGCCCAGAATACAACTTTCTGAGTCGGAGCTTGTGAAGGGAACCTTCCGCGAGGTAGCTTCCGCGAGGGAACTCGCGTGCCTGGCTTGCTAGCATACGTGCTTGGCAAAAACCACCCCGCAAGCGAACGTCACCACTCTCTGGCTGTCTCCTGGCCTTTCTCTTCTTCTCTCTCCACACAAAGAATTTAGGACTTACCAATTATTTGTCTCCCAGGGCTCTCCGAAAACGAACAGAGGGCCCCCTGACAATAAACATGTTTTTTCCCAGGGGGCCAGTTTGTTACTAGGGGGGGACCGTTTTATTCTTAGGGGGACACGATTGTGTGGGTAACCCTTCCATCCATTGTCCTGCCAAGTTGTTTTTCTTTGTCGGGTGGCAAGCTTTGGGTTACCCACCTTTACCAGGTAAATTGATTCACTGGGGTAGGTAACCAAGGGCTTGCCACCATGTACTCAATTGAGTGGGTACCCTTTTTGGGGTTGAAGGGAAACTGAAAGGAAAAGCATCCTTTGCATCCCCCTGCTTTGACACATGCCCAGTGGGCAACCTTGCAACGTTAACATCTTCGCCGTAATTCAACATCCACTGGTATATTCAACATGTTCATGCAAATCAGAATGAAGACACACACACACACACCAGTTCCTGTTCTCGATGAGGAACTGCCTCATTACCTCAAACCGCCTCACGAACATTTGCGAACACACCTGAATCCTCTGAAACTAGGGACGCACTGGCTTCTAATTAATAATTTACGCCCTGATGTTAGTCTGCACCTCCACGTTCTTACGTGACCAGAGCTGTGTCACAAAACGGCTCGTTTAAAATTGGCAAATGCGTGCTGGTTGCAATATGCCTTTGGTGTCCGGATCGCGCATCACAAAGAAAAGGACCGCTGCTCAGTCGCAAAGCATTCCAAAAATCGCATTCACTTGACAGTCACTTGATACATACAACGGCGGAACGAAAAACAACTTGCGCCACCAGTGTTCCTTTCCAAACAAAACGTTAGCAAGGCGCTGGCTTGTAGTGCAACCAATGTGTGAACCATTAAGCGCGTCTTGCTGCCCAAACGATCACAAGTGGAAACCCACTCCAGACAACTGATTGTTTTCCGTCGCTGGCCTGATGCACCGGAAACCAGTAGCAAAGAAACACACCATCACGAAGGATTCCAAGTTCCCGATACCCCCAACAAAACTCCAAACCCGCCAAGCAAATTCTTACCACTTGACTTTGGACTCAAAATCTGCCACATGAGATATCAATGCTATTTCGCGATGGTTGATGACAATTATAAGTCTAAGAAATGTTCCCAGACGCCAAGAGCCAGCAGCATTCTAATTCCAATCGTTAAGGTTGAGACATGTTGCAGACTCTCGAGGACACCCATTTTCCTTGTAAGGTTCAGTCGTAAGTGAAAGATTCCGATGGGCAAATTGTGCCACACATCCAACATCAGGAATCGCTGGCTATTCTGATGTACTTTAACTCATTGTTTTACGCCTCAAATCCTGAAGTACCAAGGAACCCTCCGGGTGAGGCAAAGGACCTTCATTTCGAGCTGGTCACGATTTTTGCGCTTGCGTTTCTGGACGGGGTATTCTAATTTTGGGGCTGGCTCTAAAGGGCGACCGAAAGCAGCAACGAAGCCATCTCGGGGTTCAAAACCTCCTGTGTGTCTGTGTTTCTTTAGGGGACCCCCAGAATTGTTTATCCTTTTGGCTTTCCTTGAAGCCTTGGTGTTCAACAGGAACTGGGTTTCAAATTCTAATCCATCAATCCAAACCACTAGTTCAGGGGAAGCTGAATTGAGCACCCAACTACCCTCTCAAAAGACACTCATTTTGACAATGTATCCCTTGGGCTTTCCTGGCAAACCACTAGCACTCGGTTGCTTTCTGCTCCCCTGCTAAAAGTTTCGCTTTTAGTGCTTCAACGGAAAACCCATCAGTTGGCAAACAGTTAAAGTCCTAACATCCAATCAAAATGCACCAAAGAGCACATTGGGAACCAACCACCCTCCCAAAAAAAGACCATGTATCCCTTTGGGCTTTCCCGGAAAGCCACAAGCACGTTGAGAACCAACTCCCCCCCCCAAAAAAAAGAGCCGACGATGTTGATCTAGACTCGAACCCCGTGCCTGGCTCCGAGCACTGCGGCTCGAGCTTGACCTATGCCGCTTAGGTTGTCTTTTGCTTTTCAAAAATCCTCACTTCCCATCGACTGGACTGACCGAAACAAGTCCAAACTTTTGGGAATGCCACTAAAATGGGGTCTTCCCACTCAAATGGCTTCCTTCTGGATTCCTTTTGTTGGTTTTTCGTTATTCTGGGTTGGGTTTCTCTTGGCGCTACTATGATTGCTTCCTTTGGGGTGCCTGTGAAACATCATCCAAAACGGGGTCGAACCGTCTCCTTAACCCCCCTTTCCGACAGCAAGCATACTTATCTGCCCCTCTGTAGGGGTTTTACTCTGATGTTGGTTTCCCTAAATGATAAATGGCTGTGGCTCAAAAAAGTGTACCCAAATGGCCCCTTGGTAAATGGAACCAAAGACTAAAACCTGCGTGACCCCCAGGCGAAGCGAGGGGACAAGCAAAACACGAGGTATACAAGTCAGGACACCCTTCAGTGTAGGTGCCTGGAGTCTCCGGATCTGACCATTTTTTAGAAATGGTCTTTACCCGAAATAGTGGGGTCATGGACCCATTTTTAAAAGAAAGGGTCCTGGAGACTCAGGTGGCTAGGTATGGTGTACGGATTGAAGTGGCAGCTGCTTTACGACATGAGGCAGAGCATCGCAAAACGCAATCATGTCTCGAAACAACCAACTTGGCTGAAGTGTGTTGTTTCTCACAACGAGGGGTCCCCCTGTTCACTTAAAAACAAACCAAAAAGGGAGTTCCCAAAAAAAGCCGCCCTCCCCCCCCGCCCCCCCCCCGCATTCGGGTTCTTTTTTGAGACCCGTTGCCTAATTTCATGTAGCGCCTCAAGAGATCGCAACATGCTGTCCGCACTCATTATAAGCCTTGAGTTGGCTTCTGGGCATTCCACTGCCACTCCGCTTTTGGTTGCTTAGCGGGCCCCCACTGTCGATCCCCCTGCCTTTTGGGCCCATAAACCAAAAGGCATGAAGGTGAAAAGACGGCCCTCGGCCCTTTGATGGGTGAGCTTAGATCACGCAAGTCATATGCTTCATCTGTGCGCATATACATATGTTGCTTGCGCGCAAGTATAGAACCGCTGCAACCAGATTGCCAAATAAAAAACCACGTCAGCTAACAAGCCATCAGTAGTTACGCAAGCACGAATGCATGGCTGGTACTGCAGGGGTTTTAATATCCATGCCAAAACCAATACTGTTTGGGTCCCCTGTTCTTGACACACACACACACACGCGCACAGATTCTGAGGATGGACAAAAACAACTTTGCACCAGTTCAGTAAGTGGTTTATCACGGTGTTCAACTAAGACATCTACAAGCTGTGCCTGGAGTCTATAGGAAGAGCTATGCTTGGAGGCTCAAAGTACCTTTTCTCACAAACATGAAGGACCACAACAATGAGTTGCACCGAAAAGGAGTCTGCATGCTTCAACTCTAAACTCAGTATTTGCAAATGCTTCGTTTCATCAACCCAACTCTGGAATGGGGAAAGGAGGGAACTGACCATGGCAATCTTTCCTTCTAAGGTGGATGCGGGGTTCCTTGTATCAAAACCAGGAGACATCTCTTCGAACAGGTTTGCCGATCCTCGCCCTCAAAACCGTCCCAAGGGCGCCTTTGCGTGACGGCAGCTGGCGTATCCGGGGGTTCCGGCATCTCCTGGCGGCGAAAAAAACAAAACGGACGAGATGCCAACTGGGTGTGGCTGACAAGGAACCTTAATCTTCACAACCCTTGGTATGGTTGCAACAAAACCTTTTATTTGGAGCCCCCTACTAAAAACAAACAGAACCAGAACCAGTAAACAAAAATAAAAAAAAATATGCCAAGAACCGTGAAGGAATGGGTGACTTGCAAGTGGTTTCCCGTAAGAATTTCACCCAACACGAACTCTAAGCATTCCCTTGCCAATCCCGGCTCGGAAGTGGAAGGTCCAGAACCAGACCTCCAGTGGGGTCCGGCAAGTCCGTGTTGGCAGAGTGCATGGGAACCACCGAAGAGAAAAGGAAAACAATGCGCTCGGGGATGAAAAATCGCGACAAATCATGGACAAGTCATAAAGCATGGCCTTGAATCCGGTTCTGGAGATCCTTGATGGTTTTTTCCGCGTCTAAGATGGGAAGTCCCGTCCGAAAAAGGTCAACCGCGTTCGGGAACATGAGCGCTCTTTAAGGGGTGTGTGGACAACAATTCTGTCGACATGATCTTGTCTTGCTACAAACCAATGCTCGAACCGATCACTCTACTTTATATACTTGCCAGCCCCAACTAGATGTTAGGGGGAGTGTTGGCGGGGGAGGGCTGGACATCACGTCACTGAGCCGTGGCTCTGCGAAGGCGGAGGTTGTCTACACTTCCAGGTCGCAGCATTCTTCCAAGACAAGGTGCCTGGAGTCTCCGGATCTGACCCGAATCAAAAATGGGCTGATGACCAGCCATGATTTTGGGTAATGACCAACCATGTTCAAAAAGTCATGGAGACTCCAGGTACAAGGGCAGTTCCTGTTGGACATTGAACATGTACCTCGTCAGTGGTGCTCAACTCCACCAAACCAGATGAACAGTTGTATACCAGGCATCCAAGCCGTCAGCACAGGCAGTGCTAGACATCTGTGCACACACACATGGGAACAAGGATATTTGGCTGAAATCTAACAACCTGGACCCTCAAAATACCCTTACAGATGGAAGACTGCCAGAATTTTGTGTAATTTCCATGTTTTCAGCGCAGTTTTTTCGGGTCCACGAACTCTCCCACCTGAAACAAGGGACCCAAAGAAAGCGCATTTGGCCCGAAAACGGGCCAGCCGGAACCTCTGGGCGTGTGGTTTTGGAGTTCTCCAAGGATTATCCAACCGAAGCCATGAGGCCTTTACCTTCACATGCAGCAGACCTTTCCCGTTATAGACTTTGAGAGGAAATGTGGGTGCGTTTTTTTGGGGGACCCCACAAAATGGTGGGTTTCCTTTTGATTGTCCTTTAAATCCACGAAGGGCTGCATTTTTTATTTATTTTTAAGACCCATGTGCCTTCCAGGTGCCAAAGGAACCAAGTTGACATGCAAGTGTACGGCTCTCCAAAAAGAAAAGTGGAACCCTCGTAAACCTTTGTGACGATTCTGCCGCATTTATTTCAGCCCGTTCCATAGGAAACGGGACACCGGCGAATTCGGACCTCGTCTGGCTCGTCTTCTCGTTCGTCTGCCAGTGGCAGCAATCTGTCAGCCTGGCATGCGTCTCGTCCTCCCTTTTGAGCTTCAACGACAGAGGGGGTTCAAATCCCCAAAGCGCCAACCCAAACCACCACGTATGGGTTACCCGAATGGAGGACCCGCATTTTAGAAAAACCAACTCCTCCCCCCAATTTGGGGAAGGGGTGTGTCTTTATGCTTGGCACCTTTGCCAGGGTGCAGGGAAAGCAACAAGGAAAGCCCGCCGGCGCTTAAACCACAAGCCCATGTGGAAACCGTACAAATTGAACACACCCCAGCATGAGAGACGCGCATGCAGACTCAACCACTACATGGCCCTTGTAGTATCTTCACGCAGGGATTCTCATAATCCGGGAACGGCTGGACCTGTGCAACGACCAGTTGCTTGTTTCAAGGGAACTGCCTTGTAACCATCTAATTCTGACAGAAGTGGGAAACCAAACCTTACTTCCCACAATATTACTCGGCTCCCAAACACGCCAAATGACTATCCGCATCCTTATAATGACAACCATTCAACAAATTGTACCCGATTCTGAAACTCATATCACTCATTCATGAAGGTTGTCCTCTGAAAGGATGCCCTGCTTTGGACTTCTCATTGCCCCAGTACAGTTTCCGCGATCGAATCGACGGGTGAAAGAAACTCTGCCCACCGTAGCAGAGGCTTGTGAGAGGAGGGTGTCCATCTGGTGGATGATCTGCCTCAGAACACAGTGGGTCCCTGCTTCCAATGTGTGTGAGTTGGCTCCCGGTTAGGCGCTGGATGCCCCGCGCTAAGTAGGCCTGCTCCTCATAAGTCTGCACCCACCCCTAAAGACAAAGAAGCATAAGAAGTAGGCGCTCCACCATGAGTCAGCAGCACTTCTCTCCTTGACGAGCCGAAACATTGACTTGGAAATCAAACATTTGTTGGGCCCCGTACAGCACTAGGTGGTGTCTCCTGTGTCTCATTTCTCACGTCCGAATCCCTCTGACCTGGCAAGGATGTCTTCATTTGTCTTTGTTACAGTCTCCCCAAAAGGGGGCCGATTTGTAAAACAAATCTTGTTTTTCGGGATGCAAACCAATGTAACTCCCACTTGTACCATAGCACAAATACTGTTTAGACAGCTAATACGTACCCTTGCTTATGCATAGATGTATATGTGTGCCTCTGGTTTAAAAAGCCCATGCTGCACTGCTGTTGCCTTCCACAAACTACGGAATTTACAGAGCGTGCTCGCGAGATTCCATCATCGTCACGAACGCAACTGCTCCCTGTCCATGTTTTCGAGGCGGCGGCCGGTACGACATCATCACTCCCAGCATGGATTCCAGCCTCAGCCCAGGTTGGGTTGGAAGGTTACTCGGCGGTTGTGGGTTGGCTGGTTGGTTCGCCCAGTACCTAGTACCTTCGCACCTGAAGCCGTTCTGGGCACGTTGGTTGAAAAAGTACAGCGCACGAGCTCAAGGGCAGAGCCCTCTGACCTAAGCCATGCCCAACTACAACATGGGTCATGAATCGCGCCCAACGCCCTGCAAATAGCCAAGAGAGCGGCCATCACTCTGCTTCTGCAAGGCGGCCCTGCCAAACCCCTCGAACCAAGCATGTACAACCAGATGTGCAAAACCCCCCCCCTCCACTTTTCTTAGCTGCTGGCAGCCAACTTCAAGTGGAGAAACCTGCACCCCGGAACCTAGGATCTGTAAGTCGCTTTTAATCTTCTTCAAAGGGAAGGGATGTGTCAGACGCTACTCACAACTTTGCATACATGCGACACAAAACCTGAGATCTGCGCGTATTCTACCAGCATCATCTTGGACAGGGCAACCGAATCGTTAAACAATGAGATGCTAACAACATTGACCTATGAAACGACCCTGATCTTTCCTCTGATACAAACACGGAATCCACGGGTAACTGATCAAACTGAAGGTGGACACTATCTGGGCAAAATATACTCTCCCAGCAACTAACATGGAAGTGCACAGACCCCCTTTCCAAGAGGAAAGTTGTCTTTCTACAGGGGTCTGTGCACTTCCATGTTAGTTGGTGGGAGGGTGGTTCACCCACAGTGGTCCCTATATTGGCCCTTAAACATCACCCTTACAAAACACTCACCTCTGGGCCAAACAGAGGATGCTCAAAACCATCAAACGGGGAAACATAGTCACAATATGGAACCCTAACCCACCAAACAAAAAACTACGCAAGTAAGGGACCCCTATGAAAGGAATCTTGAATTTGGGGTTTTGTGGTAACTGAGTGACTTCGCTGCAATTTGCACAGAACCGATCGATCCGTTTTTCAACCAAACTGACCTAACAGGCCTGAGCTGACTGGGGCCACGGGCCCTTGCCGGTCCGCGTGGAGACTCTCACCGTTGTCCTGATCCCAATCGCTGTCCCTGTGGGCAATGGACGTCTTACTTGGTGTCTCGTGAGTTGGACTCTTGGATGGTGCACTTTTTGCTTCCCGAATGGAAGTCCCCAGAAACAAAAACACGAAAACATGCCTAATCGTTGGCCTCTTTGGGGCATTCATAGCCCCCGAAAGAAGACACAGACTCCCGCCCCAAAAAAAACAAATCAAAAAAGCGTGGAACTGTGTTGGCCCCTTTGAAGGACAGATTCTGCCGTCTTTCAAGAGGAATCTGCGCGAACCAGCGCAAGGCGAAGGGATAATTGCGCATGACTGCTACCCCCGATGTGGCATGTTGATTGAATGTGTCGAAGTGATGGTGCTTGCTACGATGGCATAACCGGGACACTTTCGTCTCAATCAACAAACCGAAACCAAACAGACAACCAACAAACCGAACAAACAAACAGAAAGATACCGATACCAACAAACTGCAGAGAGACTCCACGCGCCCGGGCCGGCCTCATCAAGGAGCGACACCAAGGCGGTCATCATCCACCTTTGCCTCACAGCCTCAGGATGTTCCATGACATGGAAGCGGGCTATACTCGCTTGGTGTACCTGGAGTCTCCTTCTTACCCAAATCAAAAATGGTTGGTCATTACCCAAAATACCCATGTTTTAAACGGTCAGAAGGAGACTCCAGGTACTTGAAGAGCGTACCCCAAGTGTACCGAGACATGCAGACCATGGTGGAATAACAATTGCAGGACATGGCTTGGTTTCAACATTGGAAGAATCATGATAGAAACCACCACTATAGCCTTGGCTGCCCTCAGATCGCACTGCTAAAAGTTTTTAACCTGTGGGGCCAACGCGGGGATGGCGAGCCAAGTAGCCAGGCCCCTTCCCACTGCACATACAGCCACTTCAGATTTTGGCGGCTTTGATGGTTCAGGCTCTCAACGGGCCAAATCAACCAAGCAGCCTCCAATTGGAACGGGATCGCAAACTTCCAGCCCAGTCACCCGGGCACGAAGAAAAGTAAGAAGGAAACAATCCATCAACAAACAAACAGTCAATGACAAGCAGAAGGTGTAGGTGTGTGTTGACGAATCCAAACATTGCAAGTTGTATCATTCAAACATAGACAAGACTCAACTGAAGCCATTCGGGCATTTTTTGAGAGAAAACCTGGTCCAATATGCTCAAGAGCCGACCTGGTCCCACACACAAACTGCTAGGCCAATCGGTTCCAGCAGTGGGTAATGGCCATGGTTACAAGGTGGGTCTGCTTCAAGATTGGGGGGGGGGGGGGCTTGAAAATTATGCTCCTCATGTTCCCTGTAACGCCACTTTTTTTTTGGGAGACCGAGCCTCAACAAAAAGACGAGCCCAGGTTGGACAACAGGAGTTGGCTGACTTGACCTCCGAGATCCCATCAGATGCAACCAGCTGCAGTTGGCTCAATATGGCTCAGGTTTGATGCCACTAAAGAGCCGAAGAGCGAAGGGGCATTCAAATTGATGGATCCTCGAATCAATGGATAGATTCAATTCATTTATGGGCGTGGCTCAAACAGTAAGTACCCATTTTTCTCGCGAGCAATCAGAATCAAACTAAAACCTGCAGCCCATATCCTGGAAATCTCTTCAACGTTGACCCATACCCAATATGTCCAGAACTGGACGTAAGATCTTGATCAGGTAAAGGACCTTCATGCTTTAAATCGGCAGACCCGCGAGGCAGCAAACTGGGAAGATCATCAGTCCGCTTGTGCGGCCGGGCAGTTTAGAGACGCAAGCCCTTGAAATACTCATACCCCGACGTCTCCATTCTAGGAAACGGTTTGGATGCGGTTTTTGTGGATCCACCCTTGTAGGATAGCAAAAGAGTGCTAAAAGAGTATTAAACAAGGAAGAACTAGCCAAGCAACATGGGGAAACCACAGAAAGCGCATCCAATCCGTTTGCTGGATCCATGACCCTTTGAACTGACCCCGTCTTGGGCAGAGCCCAAGTTAAATTGTCAGCTCCGGCGACTCGAGCTGCTCATGGATAAACTCGTGCACAAGTTGGTAGATAGTGCAGCCCAGTTGTCATAGGGCTTCCTCCATCCCCACTGGCACATGGTTTTGTCCACCCGTAGGAAGCTCTTGTATTTCAAGGATTCCAAGGAGTCTAGTTACGACTTCTCAGGGAGAAAGCCTTAGTCACCCAATCGGGTCGAATCAAGCTTCAACTGGACAAGACTGTGTTTGGACAATCTCGTAACCAACGACTCATTTAGGATCCGCACTTTTTGGACTATGATGTCGCAGAGACAAAATCCATCGCCCGGTTGGGGTGGATCCTGGCTCCGGCATTTGGCTTCGAGCCTGGAGGTTGCGCCCCAGCACCCCCAAGATGTTCACCATATCCTCGGCGAGTGACTTGGCTCGCTTTTGCCGATCCGGCAACGCTTTCACAGGCTTCGGAAGATTTGCCTCGTGGCGGTGTCGAACCATGACCGTGTCCTATGAAAACCTTGGGGCTCGGACTTATGCCCCACTCCCGATCTGGACTTTGCAGGGAGCCTCAAAAAATTCGACCCACCCCGTTCGCGGCTTTCAGGCACGTGTCATTCGCCCCCCCCCCAGAGACCTGGTGGCCGTGGGACCCCCCACCTGTCTCCGGATCTGACCCGAATCAAAAATGGTTGGTCAGTATACCCAAAATAGTGGTTGGTCATGGCCTTTAAACATGGGTCCATGACCAACCATGATTTTGGGTAATGACCAACAGTTTTTAAAGGGTCAGAAGGAGACTCCATGTTTAAAGGCCATGACCAACCAGGATTTTGGGTGACCAAGCATTTTTGATTCGGGTCAGATCCGGAGACTCCAGGCAGCTCCAAAAAGACGGGGCGAAACGGAAGCCAACGGGACGGCTTGGCATTCCGCCTGCTTCCCATTAGGGCTCCAAGGGACGAAACACCGAAACCAAACCAAGAGAACAAAAACGCGTCGTTCAAAACGTTTTTCTGCGACAAGAACTCGTTCGGCGTCTCCAAGTTCTCGAGGAATTCCATTGGAAATTGGATGCCTCCTTGGTGGCTTCCTCAGCCACCAGGCGGCCGAAAAATTCCTTTCGAACTCTCCTCTCATCCCTGTCCCTTTGTCCCATCTCTTCGCTCCGGAGTCCTGTCTTAATCAGGGGCTTGATGGTTCGTCTCTCGGTGTCTTCTGGGCGTACTGCGTGACAATGCGGAATGTCTTCCATGATCCAAGCAACACGTTTCGTGCATACGCGACACCACAAAGAGGCATGCAGGCAACAAACCAGAGGGTCCAAGTACCCTCTAAGGAGGCAGAAGCCATCCGGAGGTACCAAGAAACCCTCTTAAAACACGACAGCAACCTGGAGTCTCCTTCTGACCCTTTAAAAATGGGGTCATTACCCAAAATCATGGTTGGTCATGGACCCATGTTTAAAGGCCATGACCAACCACTATTTTGGGTACTGACCAACCATTTTTGATTCGGGTCAGATCCGGAAACTCCAACGACAACCCCCCCCCCCCCGCAGCACTGGGCATCCGGGCCGCAGCCGCCGCCAGCGGTCCATCCGCGCGAACCTCAGTGGGCTCGAGGGACGCGCTGCTGAGACGGCCGTCACGCCAAAAAAACCTCCCGTATTGACACCTAGGTCCTCCAGTAGAGAGGATAGGATAAGGGTACCCGATGTCTATTTATTGTTTCATGTAGTCCATTTTTATAGGGGAACCAACCACTATTTTCTGGGCTGCCAGTTTTCCGATTCCCCGGCTAAGAGTGAATAACTTTTAGTGGGTTAAACGGAAGCTACCACTAAACACTAAAATAATCTAAAAAGCTAAGGGGATGGGTGAGAAAGGCCACCAAGGATTGATTCCCCCTCTTGGGTTTGGGACTTCGCCCCATTTTGAATGCCTAAGGTTTGGACTCTTCATATTTACTGAACCAACAAGAAATTCATTGCTTAGACTCTGCTTCGTGTTTACTCAACCCTTGGTTGACGTTGGAAGGGGAGCAAGAATTTAAATGTTTGCAGTTAAGTGGGGATTTCAACCACTAAGCCACAATAAGATAAAGTTTAAACTGTGTCCCAACAACAACCATGTTGGGTTTGGGATATTGAACAGAATATGAGTCCCTAAGGAGACGTGGAGGGAAGTCAGGCTCGTAGGTTTCACCAAGACCAAAATCCAGGGTGAAACTAAGTAAGAATTCCTTGCGGGTAAGTCAGGCTGAATAAACCATCAGGAATTGCGCCATCCATTTGCACCCAGTTGTAGGTTCCAAAGCCAACCACAACAGCCAGCAGAGCTTGCGAACAAGCGCAAAGGTTGCTGGTGGTTGTGCTGGACCCCACACACACACAAAGGATGTCGCCTGCTGAAACGGGCAGGGAGGTTAAAAGGGAAGGCCAGCTGTTTGTGGCGGGGAGGGAAGGGCAGGTCGCGGACCAAACCGAGGAAACAAATACAATCGTTTAAGCATAATTTCACACACACACACACGCACGCACGCACGCACGCACGCACGCACGCACGCACGCACGCACGCACGCACGCACGCACGCATTCATTCACGCACGCACGCACGCACGCACGCACGCACGCACGCACGCACGCACGCACGCACGCACGCACGCACACCCACACACACACACACACACACACACACACATGGGCGAGCAAATGTATGTCACGATGGCTTCCATCAAAGAGTTTTAAGCAACGCGGGCTCAGGCTGGCAAACCAAAACGCGCTCAATACCATGCTCCCGACTCCAATGCCAACCCTTGGGTTGCATCCAACAGGTTGAAATTCAATTTTCATGCAGTGCTATGATCCCCAAACTAGAGGTTGAAGCCCTGCATGGCATCAAACATGAAAACAACCAACGATGGTTGCACACTTTCAGGCAGGTTCACTTGGTGTGCTTCCTTCTAACATACCCGAACGGGGGATCCTAGATTCTGGAAATGCAACATCAAACCCTGTTGAGAATGCCAGTTACCGCTCACAAACAACATCAAAGGACCTGTTCAGCAAGCCAGATCATGCTTCTGGCGCTCAGTTGACCAATGATATTCTTCCAAAGCCCCTGTCTTTAGGCAGACTCGTGTCTCTAGATTCTTTGCATCGAGGGGACCATCAATATGCAGGTGATGTTTAAAACCACCCCAAGCGGTTGTAACGGAGAGCCCTTCTGAACATAGGTGTCCTTTTTGGAAAGTAGATGGCCCTGCTAGATGATCGAACCACCGGGTAAAACAGGACCCTCTATTGTTTAACCAAGCCAACAAAAAAGGACACCTATGCTTCTGAACCCAACACCCCCTTTGTTTTCCAGGAGCACGGACCGCCGGAAGCTCATCTTCATCTAACTCTTCCAACTTGCCCAGAAAGAACGGCTCCGCCTCTCGAAGGCCAATGGAATGAACCAAGGGTGTGTGGTTTTCCTTTCTTAATCGGCCCCATGGTGCCGTTGCTGGTTTCAATTAAAAACCAACCCCAAAGGAGGGGTATGTGTTGAAATAGGGAGTCCCAAAGTGGCTCGGCGCGTTCTCTTGTCCCTTCAAACCAGACCCAACAAGGGTACCCTCAAAGGCAACGGACAAAGATGATCAAACCTCATGGGACGACGATTGCTGGGGACAATGCTGAATCGCACCTTGAGAGCATCCCAAAAGCCCCTCAATTTGTCCTGGGTCGAACTCGCTTGCTATAAGGGCTTGAAGAAATAAAAACGGGGGTGTGGGGTATGGTCAACCCAATTTTAGTCACGATTCCAGGAGAATCTATTTGTCATCATCAACTTACCCCCAATTGAGCAGGGTTCTAAACCCAGTTGCCGAAGATAACTCTCAATTCCCTTTTGCCAAGGCTTTCGCGTCGCTTTCGCATCGATTGAGAAATGGGTTTGAAGTGCATGTTCACTTTCGCACGTGCAGGAAAACTGCGGAAGCGCACAAGCTTGGGGCGATTGAAGCCGACACATGGGGAGAGGCTAAGCAGCTTCGCGGGGCTTCCGCGGAACCTCGGGCGGCGTTTTGCGAAGCCGAGCGGTCTTTTTTCGCGGCCTAAGACAAATCCAACGTTTCAATTGCAGTGGCGGGCACCTTCAAGTTTCAATCGGGCTTCAAATCCCAGCTGTGGGCACCAATCCAAACCCCAGCGGGTTCTCCCCCATTATATAAAAGACTGGTTGACGCAATTGAGATGATGCCAATAGGCAACCAATGGTGTTTATATGAACCCAACCATTGTTTCAAAGGATTAAAACTCCAGGTGGATAGCTTTGTTTTGTCTTTTTTTCTCAGATGCCCAGTGGCCATGGGAAAAAAAGAAAAGAAAAGGATACCTGGTTGCTTGGTTTAAAGGCTAAAGGGGAGCCTTTCCCAAAAAAGCTGAAAACAGTTGGTGCCACTGGGCCGCTGGGATATGAAGCCCTCTTGTTTTGAGTTAGACAAACAAACAAGCGGGGATATTCCGATCCAGCTTGGATATATGCCTGGTGACGTTGGAAGGGGAGCAAAAAAATAAGTGTTAGCAGGTAAGTGGGGATTTCCCTCTAAACCACCACGAGCAAAAATGAAATGTAAAATGTTTCCCAACAACAACCATGTATGTGGGGATTCCCTTGGCGCCATTTCCCATATCAAACTTCGTCAAGGTGTCTTCGCGGGAATCCTCCCGTCTCCCCTCCTCAGCTTCCCTCCAATGGGTGGTTTGGATTGGTGGTTTGGTGGTTTAGGAGGGTTTCCCATCTGCCCTTTACAAGAAGCAGGGGTTCAAATCCAATTCCAAACCACCAATTCAAACCAATCAAGGGCAAGCTGACCCCCGCTATCCCTGCTACTTGGTTTCCTTGCTTTGCGGCTGGTTAGCCAACCCCCAGGCTTTTTCGCTAGCCTCGGACTTCAGCTCGATGATGCGGCACGCGGCGCCGGCTTCCACCAACACCTGGCGTCGAGCTTGCCGCTTTCGTTCGAACACAACTTCGAGGGGGAGGCCTTTCTTGACCCCGCAAAAAGAACGAAACAAGAAAAACATAGGCTGTGGCTCAAAAAACCGGAATTCCAAAATGGCTTCCCCTGGTAAGTGGAAACATGGACCAAAACCTTCGGTTTGCCCCCTGCTGATTAATTTTGAGCCACACTATATGGTTTGGACTCTTCAGATTTACTGAGCCAAGAAATTCATTGAGATTCTGATTCATGGTCACTTATCCAGAAAACATCCTCGAGACCTGTGTGAGGCATTGCATCACATGGCCGAAGCCGAACCCGATGTGGAGGTGTTCCGATGCCAGCGGCACCGGTAGCTCGATCGCCGTCGGGTTTCGCAGTCGAACAAAGTCGAACCACCTACCAACTGGCCAACAGGGGCGGCCAACGCCGCCGCTCAAGATTGAAGGACCCCTTGCGCAGCTAAAAAATGTTGCCGTGCCGCGTGCCAGTCCGAGTTGATCGTGCAATTGGTCCCCAACAGCAACTACCTGGAGTCTCCATGACCATTTAAAAATGGGGTCATTACCCAAAATAATAGTGTCATGGACCCATTTTTAAAGGGTCAGAAGGAGACTCCAGGTACATTTGACATAAGCTCTGGAAGGCCAGCCCGGTCTTTGAAAGCCTCTCTCAGGGGACCATTCTGAGACTGCCGGAGGGTACGGGGCACTCCGACCATAAAAAGGAAGGGGACAGTACCTGACAGGACAAACCAACTCTTCTGCCCCTTCACTTGCATGTGGAGCGATCCGAATCGAATATCCATAATCCAGCGGGACACCAGAGGGAATCCCTCTATCCGGCACAAGGATTTCGCATCAACTTTGACTTGCTGGATCGATAGCCAGGGACTAAGAAACGGAATACTGCCCATAATTAATTAATAAACCATCCCCGATTTCATTTAAGGGAATCCCCCAAAACCGGTTCATTCCCAACACCCAGAACGGTCATTCCCTGATCACCAATCTGAACAGCCCAGCACTCACCGAATTGGGGCGCAGTTCACGTGCAACTCCCGCCAGGCCGGCGCGGCGTTCCTGAGGCGAGTGGCCAAAACACAGGCAATACAGGCCGGCCACGGAACAAAGGAGGCATACCTGGGCCCTCCGGGTGTGCACATTTTCCGCAGTTGAGCGAAAAAGCCCGCATCGAGCAACAGCGCTTCTTCAGTCAAAAAGCACGTTTTCTTGAAAGAGCACAACAAAGGCACACTTTGCAGGATCCAGGTATTCTACTTAAGCATGTCAATACCTGACATAAGGGACCCCGGGGTTCAAGCAACCGTCAAAAAAAACAACCACCACCATTTTTTACCTAAGGATGGTCCTCATCGCAATTGGGTGAACCATTCTGTTGATGGGGATTGAAATCCAAGAGGATCAAGTAAAGGACCATCATCGTGGTGAGCTCGTTTTACCTCCCATCCTGAGCTCGAACCCCACAACAAATATGCAGAATCTAGCCGCGTGTGTTCTTTAGAGAAAACTGCACGGGTTTTCTCAAAAGGATCCGGGCAATCCCCCCTTGCCTCTGTGCCCCAACTCTGACGCAGTCAGGGCGCAATGGCTAGTAGTGTCATGTACATACAGGGGACTAGTAGCCCGCTCCAAAGCGACGCAGGGGATCCCCCCTAATTATGCTAAAACACCACCGGAGACTCCGGCGCGGCACTCCGCGGCTTTCAACCAGCGTGGCTTCACTCCAATTTTGCATAAGAAGCTCCCATTTGGGAAAGCCCGCGACGTGGCCCCGAAAGCCGCGAGAATTGCCATTCGTTAGAATAAGGGTACCCGATTTGTGTTTCTGTAGTCTATTTTAGCAGGGGAACCCTCCCCCAAAAAAGAAACGGTAAAAGGGCACTGGAAAACCTAGATGCGGAGCTTCTATGTTCGCTGGTTTCGCTGGTTTTCCAGGCCCACAGAAACAACAAAAAGGTGCCCTCCAAAAAAGACACATGGATGTGTCTTCTTTCAAGGCTAGCCTTTTTGGGCTGGTTTCAATGGGAACGCAAACAGAAACCCATCATTTTCGCTTGTTTGTTTTTTTGGAAAGGGCTCAAACATATGTTGTGACATTTTGGGACACCCTTTTTGGAGTGTTGTTTCAAGGACAACCTCCATTTGCTTAAGTCCCCTGCGGAAAAAAAAAAAAAAAACAATATTTCCAGTAGTGATAGATGCCCTTTAAAACCAACAGGAAAAAAAGAAATGGAAGACCAAATGGAAGACCAAACAATCTTAACTAAATGAAAGACCACCAAAGGGACACCGCTCAAATTGGCAGGGTGGGTCCATGTCAGCGGACCCAACCTGAGGGCTGCGCTGGGCTGGGGCTAACCTCGAAGTCCACCACGCGGCACACCCGGCCCTTCGCCTCAGCCGAGCGCCGTTAATCCATATCCTAGAACACATACCCATCTTGCATTTGCATAAGACTATGTTTTATGTTCACCTCTTGGTTTTAAAGGGAATCTACCTCTACTGGACATATGGCCATGGCTCAAAATCCAAAATTTCGTACCCCCAACATCAACCAATCCAAGCACCAAAATAGGTTCTGAAATGAGTGGTGAATTCACCTACCCCAAAATGGTACCATTGGTTTTGACCTTAAAGCCACATGGACCCCGGACCTGATATTTCTCCGTGTTCACCACTCCAAAAAGGGGCCAAACAAAACACAGACCCTTTGGAATGTCGAAATCTTGGATGTCCAGCTTGCCTAGTAAGTAGGTTCTAGCCATGGTAAGTTAGCGAACCCCGGTTATCCCACTTGTAGACATGATGTAACAAACTGGCTGAATAGGTTGAACATCCAGGTGGCTCCCTTCAGGCGCATCGTAGGCGGCTCTATGGTCCAAAAAGGGGAGCCATATGTTTGATATCCTTGGGATTGCCCAGACGCACATTCCAAGGTCAACACAGGCGCACAAGGTTGAACAACAGGTGCCCGCTCCATGATACCAGGCATTATTTACGTGGCTTCAATCTTCGCTCTTCAAAAAATGCGCAGCCATGTGCATGCAAGTGACTTGCATCACGTTGCTTCGAAACCTGCGACAGCCCTGGTGCCGTCACAGCTGTTGAAAACGAAATAAACAAGACGCCTGAGTGCAGTCTTCAGGTTTGAGACTGTGGGATCCATCATTTAAACCTCTCTAAGAAATTCCACGCATACGAAGACCAAGGCTGTGGCAAGGCTCCATTGTCAACTGAGCTTGCTGTGCAATGTTCGGAATATTAGAAGCCAAGCAGGGAACTCTTGGCTGGTTGAAATGGATACTTCATGAACACCAAAACAGCCAAAAGGTACGCTCCTTGGGTCTAAGTGCCTCTTGAGGATGGATTCTGGGGGGTAAAAAGGGGTCTATGTACCTCGTTAGAAGGTACTTGGACCCTCTGGGGTAAGCCAATCTGGAAATGACCAAGGGTATCCCTCGCTTTGTCCATTGTGAAGGGCTTGCCAGCTTGATGGGGCGCTGGAGACTCTCCCATGACTGGAGCGTGAGCTTAACGTTTGCCTCATGCTCAGCCAAAGTGCATGGGTTCAATCCTGCAACAGCATCATGGGAGTACTCGGCATACAGCTTCACATTGTTGAAGTCGTCCTTGTGAGCCTCCGCAACTGCAACGCATTTCATCACATTGAAAAGCGACCACAACCACTCCACCGTCGTCTTTCGATTCTCGATGGAGTCCATCATGTGGTAGTTGTCGAGCCTGTCCTGTCGTGACACCAAAAACAGCAGCCCGTTGCCTGCGCGTTCCCTGGTTGAAGGAGCGTACGCATTCTCGATTTGTTTCGGTTCTCAGTGGGAGTCTCCTGCAAAGGGCTCAAGTACCTTTTGACGAACTTGAACCCTGTTATACCCCGTAAAGTACAACCTGAACAAGTACTTGGACCCTCTGGGCAATGAATAATTCCGAATGGTTTTAACCATACGACAAGCGCAAATGAGCCCTGCTAAGGCAACCCAATCCAGCGTGCTCTTCAAGTTTGGCAAACTCATGCATTCAATCCAAGATCTTAAGGATTCCAACAATCACGTGGACAGAACACCAAAGACTCAGTTGCCCAAAGGACCTGGAAACAAAAGGTTGACCCTTTGGGGCCATGACTAAAAACGGACCAAAACGGGAAAACCAAAAGGTCAAAAGGTCGGCTTTGGGCAACTAAGAAGATGACATCTTGCGGACCAACCTTCGGGGGGGGTTTGCCCTGTTCTGAGTGTCCGACACCCACTTCGAAGTCCGTCGGCCTCGGTCCGAAGGCCCAAGAACATCTGCCTTCGAGCAATCCGGACAACGGATTTCTACCCTTCACAAAAAGAAGCCACCCCATAATTTCAAACAACCTCGCTTTTTTGTGTATTTTCTGCAGGTCCACAAAAGTGGGTAGGGTTTGAAGATCATGAGCGTTCTCTTCAAAAGGCGCCATGAGTCTTTCCACATGTGGGCCCTAAAATGCCGTTGAGTCGTGGAAAGAGGGCGTGAGGTGCGCATAGACCTGGGCGTGGGGCTTAACTTCCAATCGGTGCGATAGGTGGGGAGTGACCTTTCCGGGTGTTGGGAATGAATTCCGTTTGGGGATTCCCGAATAAAAGAAACTACCAGTACCCTCCAAGGGCGGTCCATTTGTACCAGCCATTTTGGGTACCAATGGGCAACCCTTGGAGGGTGCTGGTACAAGGGATTGTTGATAGGTAAGAACGCAAGCGTTGGCCTGCTTCCTCCAGATGTGTTCCGCTTGCTGGCCGCCTTAATTGAACCGCGGCAGGCTCCATGGGGGCTGTCTTTTTGTTGGTTGGTTTTGAAAGAAAACCAAAAGCAAAACCATGATTTTGTTTGGGCGGGGGCCCCCAAAACAGACCCCAAAATTGTGCTCCTCTTTTGTTCTGTCATGCTGATAGACGGTCAAACAACAGCATGTACATTGTTCAAATGGGGGGGGTTTAGTTTCACAGTTGACTTTTGTAGTACATCCATGAAGCTTTGCACAGGGATTGCGAATCTGGCGGTGTCTTTTCCTTCGAGCACCTTATCTGTTGTCCTTTCTTCTTTCTTTTTTCTGTGGGGGGGGTCCCTGGTTTTAAACCAAACCTGCTCCACCTGAGACATCCTGATACATACGGAACACCAACCAACTGTGCAGGATGTGGTTCCACAGTATTGATAGCATGTCCCTAGAGTCTCATGGGGGCATTACCCAAAATAAAGGCGTCATGGACCTCTTTTTACAGGGTCATGGTCATGCATACTCCATGTCGCCCCGATAGCTCTTTGCCCGGGGCCTCGAATTCCGAGATCCCGGGCTGAAGAACCACTGCGAAGCCTGGGGCAAAACTGCTGCTTTTTCGAGCGGCGTCAAGCGAGTCACGTTTCCCCTTGAAGTCTGTGTTTGGACCCCAAAGCGAACTGAGAAACAATGGCAACTATAGGCATAATTCACAAAACATTATTCACTTAACTCAAGGGCAAAACGCAGAGCTCTGCCAATCCTTGTTGAGCGTGTAGATGTCAAGAACCTCTTTTGCCATGTTTTGCCGTGAACATCTACCTGAACACTCAAACTGGCCTTGAACATAGGATGTTGCCCCAACAGTATGGATTATGTCCTATTTTTGAAGGGAGGGGGGTTGGTTTCCACGATGTAAGTGTTTCCAAAGCCTGAATTGTTTCCAGCGCTTCCTTCTTTTGAACATTTTGCCTGCAACAATAAATGCAGTTGCGTGCCGCATGGGAATGCTGGCATGTGAACTACCAGAATGTCACCAAGTATCAGGCAGGTAATTACCTACTCTTGGACGAAATCCTGCACCGTAAAACCGTGGGTGAAACCATGGTTGGTTGGTACTTACAGGGGAATCATCATTTCGTTCTGTGCCAAATTCGTCATTTGCTGGAGCAAGAAACCAGGGTGTTCGAACGAGGCGAAATGGAGTTCGCAATCATGTCGAGCTTGTCTAGGGTCTAGGGTCTAGGGATTAGGGTCTAGGGTCTCGTTTGGGGATTTGAACCCCCGGTTTTCCGGTGGAAGCTAAATGGGAAGCCACCCCTTTAAAGCACCGGGCTCCAAACCACCCTTTTCGAGGGAAGCTGAAAAAACCATTCCCCAACATCCCTATTCCCCAACCCCCCTCCCTCCAAATCCAAGCCACCATTTTGTAGGGGTAACTTCCCCATTCTTTCCAGGGATCCTTCTTTCTAGAAAACCACCAAAAACCTGGTTTTTGAAAAGAACGATGGCTGAAAAACCATGGAAAAGGAATCTGTTCCTAGAATTTTGAGGGAAGCTGAAGAACCATTCCCCAACACCCTTCCCCCCCAAACCAAACCACCCCTTTCGAGGGAAGCTGATAAACCTCCAACATCCCCATTGCCCCCCGCTTTTTGAGGGAAGCCGATGATTGCGGTGACCTCAGGTGCCTCTTGGAGGCTTCTGCCACGGTGAGCCACACGGACGCCCAGGGTTCAGGGTCCAGGATCTAGGGTCGAGCGTGTCTAGGGTCTAGGGTCCAGGGTCTAGGTTTAGGGTTTAGGCTTTGACAAAGAGTGCTTGCCGCAAAAGCTCTGGCCTGCGGACTGGCGCATATCGCTGAGGAGCCGGCAACCACCCTTGCTTCTGGACCACTGCAACCTCGGGGCCGATACTAGTCCTTCCAACACCACCATTCCATTTATACAAAACAGAAGGGGGGCCTCTAGAATCCCATGCAATCCATGTGTGCAATATTCTACTCACATTTACCCTCCAAATGGGTATGTTGGTATTTTGTTTACCATGGACTGTCTGGGAATGGTTGGACCCCCTTTTGGTTTGTACAATCCACCTCTGGAGGACCAGTAGATTGAGAAGCACCATATTCTAGCCTTGGACCCTTGCTGAACGCGCGCCGTGGATCGCCGGGAAACTGAAAGTTCAACAGCTCTCTGATGGATTCTGGCTGGAAACTGGTACGTCTGAATGCCCGTAGGTTGAGCTATTCGCCAGAGAATCCGACAGCTCAATCAGTTGCAGTTCACCTCCGCCTTGCGTGGAGAACCAGACGGACAAAAGTTGTTTGGGAGGGTCCCGGTTTTGGGGCTCCGATTTCAGGGGAGACCAATCCTTTGGTCCCTGACGTTTCAAAGAAATCCAGCCATGGGCAAACATCCGGGCTTCACCACTGCCCCGGGGTTGTGACGGATCAAGGGATCAGGGGTTGATCCAACCACTGTGATAACTTCGGGAATCTCCCCCTCAAACAAGGGGGGGTAGTGTTCGGGGTTCGGCCAACTTTCTGTACAGAAGTGGATTCCATTTTCACCACAGCCCTGCTCCCAATTTTCCCGAACATGCAACGAAGAACCAAACAGCTTCGTCACCTGTTTGCTTGAGCAAGTGGCTGCTGTTTAAACTCGGTCTCTTTCTGCTCCCCTGCTGAAAGTTTCACTTTCAGTGCTTTAATGGAAACCCAAGAGTTAGCAAAGAGTTAAAGTCCTAACATCCAAGCAAGATGCAGCAAAGATCCATTAGTGCCATCATTTGTTTTCTACTCGGGGGCCCCACCCCCCCCCCCCCCCCAAAGTAAGCTGGTTTCACCCCCGTCCCATTTCGTCGAACGCCGTGGGGGATTCTCCCAGGCGCCGGCAGCTCGTCGTACTTGGAACCCATGAGCACCTGCCGTGAAGCTCGGCGGGGTGGTGCTCAAAGTGAGGCACCCCCCGTTCCGGTGTTGGTTTTTGTTTGGTGGTTTTCCCCCCAAAACAACACTTGTTCACAAGAAACTCTTGTTCAAAAAGCTGTTTTGAGAAACACCCACTTTCACTTGGACCCGAGTCGGATGCAACTGATCTGGACAGAAGGCTGAATGCATTGTATGCCGAAAGGAGACACTCGACTTCAATAGTTGCCCCAGGTGTCACTTTGAAGGGTGCCCATTTTTGGATTGCCCCAACGTAGACACAACCACCCAGTGGTTGATTTCCCCAAAGGCAAACCAAGTGCTAGGATACGTCTTCGGGTAGCCAACAAATGAGCCGTGCCGACTCTTGTGTAAAAAGCGGTACTCTGAACTTGCTTTCGCGATCAGCTTTCGCCATGCTTTTGCGACCCCATGTTTTGCTCTTGCGGGCTTTGCTTTCTTTAGAATCGCTTTCGCGGGTCTTTCGCGGCGGGACCTTCTTTAGTTACTTTCGCGATCAGCTTTCGCAAGCCTTCGCGAGCGGCCTGCGTTTTGGCTTTCGCGGGGATTCTATAGGACACCCGCCCCCCTTTACAACTTTGAATCAGGGTTTGTGGCGCTGCTCAAATGGAACCGTGCCTGGGAATATGGGGAGTCGAACTTGAATTGGAGACAAGTTGCTGGACATAATTACCTGGGGATTTCTTTGAACACAACAGCAACCAATTTCAAGATTTTGCCCCAATCACGTCTCATGGTCATACCTGAGAAGCACAGGCGAACGCACAACTAAGCACATAGATATGAAAGTATGTATTTATCGAGGAGCTTGAGCTTAAAAGTCACCAAAACCAAACATGCAGCATCCACTCAGCAGATTTGGGTCGGCTGGGTATCAAACTGTCACATATGCTGCGAGAAATCTAAGGACGTCTGAAAGCATGAATCGGCAAAAGCCTTCATCGTGCGCTTCACCCCAGCAAGCTCCCAAAGCCTCTGAGACCCGATGCAGAGTGACTTTGGCCGCTGAGCTCATCTATCCGGATGGGGGTGCAGGGTTTGGAGCAGCCCTGATATCCCCTGCCCTCAGTGCAAAAAGTATAAGGAGCCAAAGTATTGGACTGGGATTGCCGGGACTTCTGAAACATAACATGTGATGATTATAGGAGTAAGCTATTGATAGTATGAGCCGCGCCGCAGGCATTTGCCATGAAGGCATACCCTCTGACTTTACAGTAACCACTCAGTGGGATAGATGTCCTCACTTGATTGTATGGTGGCTGTGTCAAAGCGATTTTGCCCCATGAAATATGTTGAAGGGGCGCTTTCCAGTTGGGTTTAGGAAGGTGTTTCTGAACATGAGGTTCCCAAAACCTGATTACTATCCTTTGCCTTCCCCTTTTTGAATCATTCAAAGCTCCTAGCCGTCAAGATGCTCCAACCTTATATGGGTGCCGGTGTGTCGTAAAATAGGGACCCCCCCCATTTTTGGGGGGTTCTGTTTTCCCCGTGTTTCTCCGTTTCTCCCAACATGTTTTTTTCGCCTCTTGAGGGGCCATGCCCGGCATCGCAACATGCCTCCTGCTGCGAGCCCAGGCGAAGACGCTGCCATACCTTCACGCGGGTTCCGGAGAAGGAGTGTATGTCTGGCTGCGTGTTGTGCTTGACGCGAAGGGTACGGAACCCTTCGGTTTTAGGTGAAACCAAAAAAAAACTAATTATCTGATTGTTTGGCGGCTCAAAAGAAGGCACGCTTGCTCGGAAGGGAATGGCGGAGTGTGCAGCTGGGAAACTTGGTAGCTGGAACAATTGCTCCATCCTGTTGTTGTCAGCTCCTTTACTTGCCCGCATAAAGGGAATTATGCTAGCTACTTTCACCCTGGCGTACATCGCATCCTCAGTAACTTAGGGGTCAACGAATCTGTTCAAAGGGGGATCAGTCCCTTAGCAGCCCAAGAGACGAGAATCATTTGAGGGATTTTGGCAAAGAACCAGAAGGGGATCTCTCAAAAGGAAAAAAACATCACATACAAATCATCCCCTCCTTCCCTACCAAGGCCCAGCAAGAACAGGCGGTTGTGTCATGACACTCCCCTTATGATGGGTGGCAGTGGAGAGTTATACATTGTGGGCGTTTGGACAAATCAGACCAAATCAACCCTCCGTGTATTTTTGCTGTTCGGGAAGCCAAACAAACACCATCCATCATTTTTGTTCGAAGCCGTGTGCCAGGGGCGTTCAGCCACTCTCGATATGTCCTGAAACACCCCGAGGAAAATCAGGCGAAGAGTGGCAACCGAAAGGTGACGTCTCAGATGAATTGGCCGTACCTGCGAAGCCCTTGAGCTTTTTCGGGTCGTTAACTCCCGTCACGCAGGGGTTTCCAAGCCAGTCCCCTTTTTGGAACCTCCATGTTGTGGCGATCGCTTCAACGGAAACCACCAGCAGATTGATCAACTTTAGATTGGGGAAATCCAGTGACCCCTGTCACGCGGCAGTAAAAGGCCTGACATGGGACCAGTAGGCGGATCCGGATACCCCTCAGAACCAACTGAAGATAACTGAAGAGAGTTCTTGGAAAATGGCATGGGTAAGGCTCTATACCTGAACCCTCAAAGTACACTTAAAATTGGACATAGCCCCAAACTTATGGGGCGATTCCCTATTTTTAAGGGTAGTTTGAGAGTCCAGGTAATGGGAACCAAACTGTTTGTGCCAACTCTGACCGCTGGGTTTTTTCAGGGTGGCAAGCCCATGGTTACCCACGAAACTATAGGGAAATGGATCCACTGGGTAAGATTGTCAATGGGACCGAAGAGCTACTTTTCGGATGTCTTCGAGGCGATCGCTTGCAATTGCAGTTCCCCAAATCAAAAGTTGATCAATAAGCTGGCGGCGTCCATTGAAACGATCGCCAAGAAATGGAGGTTGCACAAAGTGGGACATGGGCCATGTCACCCTGTGTGATGGGAGTAACGACCAGGATTCGCCTCCAGAAGTGTCACAGCCCCGCGCGCCTCTCCGTGCCCAGCGACTAAAGGCAAGGGCCCACCAAGACCTGCCAAAAGGCTCAAAGGCGAGTTGAGTTTCGGTACCTGGAGGTTGAAAGGGCCCCGTTTTTCTGTCTGTGACCCGAACAAAAAGGGGTACAAAGGCAGAAACAGGGGTCCTTTTGGGGGTCCAGGTAACCAAACAATTCTATGGCTAATCTGACTGGTCCTGGTTTGGACGATTATCCTTTGAAGAACCTCTGGTAGGATCCAAATTAGATAGGAGGGTAACCAACGGAACCGTTCAATGGAATGGTAGGTAGGACAAATGCAAAGAACACCTTGCAGAGAGATTCAGTGATCAAGAACTTGCCAACCTATCAAAAGAACGATGGATCGAAGGGTTACCTGCGACTGGAAGCTGGGTTCACTGTGTGTGCATGGCATGAAGGGGGAACCTATCTTGTTCGACCCATCTGTCTTTTCGGGCCCGCAAATCCAAAGACAACATTGTGGAGGCGTTAAAGACAGCTTAGGGTTGGAACAACAAGCTACCCCCCCTGCTAGAATCGCTCCGGAATGGTTCTGATGCAAGAATGGAAATACTTCTGTATGGGTACAGTACAAATGGGTATATGCCAAAATCTAGGGACAAAGGCACATCCCTTCTTTTGTTAGCCAGCTGTATTCCCCCGCTCTGGTTTGTAGCTCTCGTGCATCTCGTCTTTCTATGAACTCAAATCAACTTCAACTCATGCCAAGACCACCGGGCATTCCCCTTCGCATCTCGCGATGTTCACCGGATCGGTTCTCTCTTATCTCTCTCCAGGAATGCCCACATCTCTTGGTATATCCCCACAGCCATTTTACTAGGGTATGATGGACAAATCCTGGGAAACTTCCATCTCCAAGTAAACAGAAATGTGTGAAAAAACAAGTTTTGGCTTTCAATCCAGAGGTCTTCAACAGATTCAACCGCCGGGCATTTGAGGGGCAGCTTGCCATTGGAATGTGTATGATTTAAGCTTCACTAAAGTATGGATCAGAATCCAACACACACATGTTTGGTTGGGGGGCAAAGCTGAAGTAACCAAGATGACACAATATGTATCCTGCTCTCCCCACCCTCCACGGCCTCCCCCACTCCCCCGCCCGACAGGTTCTCAAAACCCCTGATCTTCACAAAGTGGGTTGTTCCACCCGACAAACGCTAGTAGGAATCACCATGAATCGGAAGGGTATCCCCCAAAGGGCCAGCAAGCTTGTGAGAGAATCCCCACATTCACAACCATAAACGATTGGTTATTTTCCTTTGGGCCTCCCTGGACCCTCAAACTGTCCTGAACAAATAGAGTCGTGCCCGCAAAGTAAGAGTAATTTCCACACATGGCAAGCTTCTCCTAAATCCATTCTGAGAGGAATGCTGGTTGTCCTTTTGGTTGCCCTTCCAAACCACAGGAAAAGGTACCCTCAAAAAAAAAAAACAACAAAAACAGGAACCTCAAATAAAACCAAGGGGATGAACCAGGGATTCCCTTGAACAAGTGATGAACTCCCTCTCAAAGCGGACACCCCCCAGTCAAAATCAACCAGTTCTGCTTAACCCAGCGTTTCCAATTAAATGGAAACACACAAAATCAATGAGCCCAGCCTTGACCCACCCCAAACCCAACCACCCAGGCTTCCCCTTTGTTCCCTATGGAACCACTGGCTGCACCACCTTCCCACCGAAAACCCCGGCGCCCCAAAACCAGGAGGGTCTTCTTGCCACCTTTCGTGAGAAAATTGGCGACCCCCCTCAAAAAGGAATCCTTCAATACAAGGGGGTCGATCATTCTTCCACCAAAGGTGAATGTACAAACACACTGACTTGTTTGCTTTTGGGGCCTTCTCCTTCTTTCCCTCCCCCAATAAATCGCTGCGTCGAACAGACACTGTGCGCTACCGCAAAGGCAATTGCAAAGGTGGCAAAAAGCGGCCCCCCTGCCCCGCAACGACGGAAGTGTTTCAGGTGCCACTCTCAGGATTCAGCAGGACGGAAAGTGTCCGAAAGTGACACCAAAAACAAACAAGTCAGTATGTCTGTACATGCACCTGTGAAAAAATTGAGCGACCCCCTTGTATTGAAGGATTCCTCCCAACACCCCAAATCCCTAAACCACCCAAAAGCCAGGCCGCCCAGGCTTCCCTTTCATTCCCTTTGGTTCACACCAGAAAACCCCAACACCCCAAAGCCCCCCCAGCCGCCCCGAAGCTCCGACGCTCCGAAGCCCAAAGCTCCGAAGCCTTTGGGCGCCCGCGCCTCCCGCGGCATCCAGCTCCGCCGCCTGCGCCCAGGTCTCCCTCCGCTGAAACTCGTAGGCGGAGTAGCCCACCACCTGGGAGAGACGAGGAGCTTTCCTTAGTTGACGTTGGAAGGGGAGCAAAAATTTCAGTTTTTGCAGGTAAGTGGGGATTTCCCACTAAACCACAACGAGCAAAAATGCAAAATGCTTCCCAACAACAACCATGCTTTCGACTGTCGTCCCTGAAAATTTGGGCGGTTGTGTTGCCCATTTACCAAGCAAACTTATTGATCTAAGAAACCAGCTACAGGAAAGTCTACAGGAAGCCCCCGATTTTGGTGGGTAGTTGGCTAACTTCCTGTAGAATTTCCTGTAGCCGGTTTCTATTTGGCGTCCAAGCAGACCGTCTTGGAAAATCCTAGAAGCTTCTGCTTGGACACATTCTGGCGGTTGTGTTACCAAGCAAACTCTCCAACTCTTGCTGCGATCTCCGCAGAGGGCCCTGAGACATGGAATGACCCTGAGACATGGACCATCCAACTGGCTTCCATTTTCGGGAATCTCGTTTCGGTTCATTCCCATATTCCCTGGTCTCTGGCATTCATGTTGCCAAGTTAAAGGCCAAAACCCAGCAGATCACAGCCAAGCCACGGAAATGAACTGGGCTGTCCGTTTTCAGATCTGCTAAAATTGACGAACTTGTGGGTTGAATGGAAACCCAACCACTAAACTGTAACCTCAAAACCTAAGGAACCGGACGGCTGGGAACCACCCAAAATACCAAGCAAACGGGTTCCACCATTTGGGTGGCTCGTCTGTTTTCTTTCGAGTTGGTCCCCGCCTTTTTGTTTGGTGGGTTTTGGCGTCTCTGGAAATACATACCAACCAATACCCGCACGCACCCAACAACTGCTTTGTGGTTGCCGTACTTGGGAATTTGGCCAATTGCAAAAGCAGCTGGGAACCTCCCATTGGTAAGGAACTGAGGGAGGTTCACCAGTGCTTGGGGCGGCGAGTGCCTTTGCTGGTTCCCTTTTAGGAGGCTTTTGTTGAAGGCAGGGCTCTGTTTGGAGCTTCGGGTAAACACAACCCCCGGGAGCAAATCCATATGAGAAACGCACGAAAACGCAACCCATAGAGGATGGTATTCTCAAAAGATACCCTTGGGGTGGCTTTAAAGGGAGCCAAAAGGACAACCACAATCTTGGAGGACCCCTAGGTCCTCCAGTAGAGATAGAATAAGGGTACCAACTGTTTTTGTGGTCTATTTTAGTAGGGAACCCTCCCAACCAAAAAAGAAACGGTGAGAAGGGGCACCAATTGCTGGACCTGAGGACCCGGAACTTGACACGAACCGGAGGCTTGGAGCCGTGGAATTTGGCTCTGGAAGGAAGGAGTTTACTTTGGACCTGGAAACCAGGTGATCACCCTTTGGGACCCTTTCTACAAGTGGTTGCCAAAAAGGGAAACCACGAGTTAAAGGCCAAAAGGTCTGGTTTGGATAAAAACTTTTCCGAAAACAAAAGAAAGAAAGAGAGGACTGGGGTGCCACTAGGGGTCTGGGCTCATCGTTTTGGCATCTCGCTTTTGAAGGAACCCCAGGAAATCGGGCAAACCACCACAAGTAAATTTCTTCAAATGGCGATTTGTGTTTTGCGGAAAGCCAACAGGGAGCCGAACCATGCTAGATAAGATCCCAATTTAACGATTCACCCCCCCTCTCCAGACAAGAATCATGAGAAGTAGCCCCAAAAGGCTCACTTTCATTAATGGAGCCGCGCGTTCTTGCGGTCCAGTTCCTTTGAGAGCCACCTCAAGCGACCTACTTTCCATGCGACGGCCCCGAAAACACTCGCTCAAGCCTTCCGCACACTGGAGGCGTGGATGGTGCTGACCTGCGCTTAGACACCATGGCCGTTGATCCAGGCTTCCGGTCGTGGAAGCCAAAGGAGGTCTCATGAGTTTACACAAGGTCTAGCCCTGTCGGAAGGGGGGGGTGCTGATCATCTTCTCCGGGGAAAAAGGGGGTCCTAAGTGGACCATGGGTCAAAATCCCGGTTACCCCCCAGTGAACATCCCAATCCACACTAAAATAGACTAACATGGGTACCTACCCCAAAATGGTACCATTGGTTTTGACCCACAGCCAAGTCGAGTTGTGGTTGCGTGCTCTGGGGGGAGTGCGTCCTGTCATCGCATCCGCACGCCCACATGCTAAATAAAGCTGAACCTGTGGAAGTTGAGCGCGGATCAGTACGTCCAAACACTGGGTCTTGGTTACGGGACGCAACCCTTTGCCGAAATACCCAATTGGGCAACACCTAGAACTACTTGGCATGATTCAAGATTCAAGGGCATTCCCCTCCCTACCGCCAAACAATGCAGCAAACGTAGTTCGTGAGGCTTTGTTCCGTTAGATGTAACGCCAGGTCCTCTTCTGTTCTGTCAGTTTATTCAAACGTGAAACCAGTCGCCCTTGCCTCAAGCGGTGAAGTTAAAATAATTAGGACCCTCATAATACCCTTAAAATGGGATATTGCTGCAAACTTTTGAGTGATTTCCATTTTTTTTCGGGTAGCTTCAGGGTCCATGTTGCTTTCTTGATCCCCTCCACAGCCGGCAGCGGCAATGTTCTGCTTTGCCGATGTTTCAACCCAAAGTTGTTCAGCATCCCAGAGGGGTAATCCCTCAAATCACCTACCAGCACCCTCCAAGGGTGGTCCATTTGTACCTGAAGTGCCTTGGCGTAAGCCATTTTGGGTACCAATGGACAAACCTTGGAGGGTGCTGGTACCCACTATGGGTACGTATTGATTGTACCCTGTGGGGGGGAAGTTTTTGCAAATTGAAATCCAAGCCAGTGAATCAGCAGCCACGGAGAACAGACTCCAGGTTCCTGTGCAAAGCCTCTGAATAGCAGTTTTCTGGACCCTAGTTCCAACAGGAAAACTTTGATATGCTTATGTATTTATTTTTTTGAGGGGGTCCCTAATTTAAAATACGACCATTTGGGTTTGTCTCAAAATAGACAAACCCCGAATATGGCTGGTTCCTTTTGGATTCCCTTTAAAACCAACCAAAGGGGACTAAAACAAGACAGGTCTATATGAGTGGGACCTTGCCTGAAGCTCGGAAGCTTGCCGCACTTGGCCCGCAGGGGCCTCGAACCAAGCGGTTTAAGCTGCGCAGCCCGTTGACTTCTTAACTCGGTTGCGAAATCTGCTCCCCTGCTAAAAGTGACTAACTTTTAGTGGCTTAATGGAAACCCCATTAGTTGGCAAAAAGCTAAACTCCTCACATCCAAGCAAAATGCACCTCTGCCAAGACGGTGATGATGGTTTGTTGGCTCTACTTATGGTCATGAATTTGGAGGGCGGAACCACCTTATTTGCGGTGGGCATGAATCTCCAGCGAATTCTGATTTCATGCCCATACCGGTGTGTGTGTGTGTGTGTCGCAATAGGCGGACTCCCAAAAAACGGCGGCGTTCCCCTTGCTTTCCTGTCTGAAACCAAGGGTGACAGGGCCATTCTGAAAACAACTCTCACCCTCTGCCTGGCAAGAGGCGTTTTTTGTCCTCCCGCAAGGCTGGGGACGAGCAAGAGGATCCCTCAAACATCAATGACGAGTCGCCCGTTTGGCCAAAAAATCGAAGGACAGTTCGATCGCGGATTTCGCGTTTGTACTTCCTTGTCTTTAGCAACATCGCCTTGTGGGGGTGTTGGCAAACCAAAACCCAGACACGTAAATTGCTACCTCCGTAGCATTTTCAAAGAAGAGACAGCTTGCAAAGCCTGAAAGAACAAGCCACCACACCTGGACGTATGCAGATTGCAGAATCATCCTTCAACCCAGGGCGATTGATATGGGCAACTGACTCATTGCAAACTCAGTTGTTCAGTGACCCTGGAAAAAAAGGGAACCCTTTCTGGGGAAGACCATTTTTAGTGGGGCAGCCACCAAAAAAAAGGAAAAAGGGTGCCACTGAACAACTGAGATTATGCAACTAAACCAAAACATCTAATCCAGCCAACAGATCCTTCATTTGGGTTTGTCAGGCGCAACACAAAACTGTGGGATCTCTGTTAAACATATCCTTTAGTTACATTTCGAGGTTCACGAAGCATAGCCAAATTCAATATTTGTGTTTGTGCGTGGGATCAAAAGCGGAGGTAAATCACACTACCTTAGACTACAAATGCAAGTAATCCGGCGTTGTTAGCTTTCCTGTTGGTGTGCTCAAGGGTTCCCAAAGGAGGTTGGAAATAAACATTGAACGGGTTCCCAAAAATTAGAAATTGGTTAGGGTGAACCTCAAAAATTGGTTTGCTCATTGGAAATAAAAGGTGAACCCTGGCCATGAAACCAATTTTTGACACCAAAAGGTCAACAGGTCGACCAGGCTGGTGCTCACTCGGCTCCGCACGCGGCAGAGTGGGCACACCGGCTTCGGGCGCCGGCGGGTGCGCAGCGCGCAGATCTGAGAAGGCGCGCTTCTTGGGATTGCCCTACTTGGATCTTCAAACTGCTTCACAAGTGGGGTGGCTCAAAATTTAACAGGCATTACGCAGGCTTTGGTCCATGTTTCCACTTCCCAGGGTTGATTTTGGTGCCGGTCTTTTGAGCCACAGCCAAGTGATATACCCTCCCTCCCACGTTGCCATGGCAACTGACAGGGATCCGGTCCCTTCAAAAGGAATTTGAGCTTCCAGGTACCTCCCCACAGTTGCCATGTTGGTTGGAGGAAGCATCTATATAGAACCCTTCTTATTACTGGATAACCGGGCTCGGCTTGATCATGGCAATAACCCGCTTCCGGAGTAGGGTTAGAAATCCAACGGGTACTGGCTCCGCAGACCTGGTGCTCAAAAAAACCAGCGATACTGAGGGCCCATCTTCCTAGAAGGCTATGGAAGACCCGGTGCCTGAGCACCCCGTGCAGCTTTGGTGTCCAGAACAGCTTGGGACCCCTTCCATCAAGATCCTTGAGCTATGCTTCAGCAACCTGAATTGAGGGAGCCGGAAGGGACCTTCATGAGTTAGAATTGGTGGATCCCAGCCCGTTGCCATGAGTATCAACAATCGTTCCTTTACCGCGTTTGGCCATCTCCTAAAAAGAAGGATCCCTAGAAACCATGAGACAAACACGGCTACAACAATGGTTTGGCTGCAAAAGGGCAACCTGGATAAGTTAATTGCTGAATTGCTTCATGGGTCCCTAAAATGATTAGCCCCCGCCAATGACACACATCCCTTGAAAGAACAACGAAACCAAGCGTCTGGGTTCCAGTGTTTTCACGGCTCTCCAAGAAATGGCTCTCCCGTTTGGGCACATCGGAATGTTCTGCGCAGAGAACCTGTAAAATGTTTCAGGGCATTCCTTCATGTCAGATTGAAATTCGAAGCAAACATTGCCCCAGTACATTTCGAAATTGCAACTTCTATCTTGCAGTTCTTCTGTTCGCCACTCCGGCTCTTCTGCTTTGACTGGCCGGGGAGAGTACCCTCCTCGCAAGCCTGCCCAGGGATCGAAGGGTTGATGTGCAGAGCCTCAACAAGCCTTGCAATGGCAACTTAAATTGCTTTGGGGAGACTCCTACTGATAGGGGGTGCGGGAAAAGAATGGTGTCATTCCAAAATCAGAGGTCGTGACCTCATGTAAAGGCTCCAGGTAGTCATTCGTAAGCAACCGAGATCAACATTCCGTTTCTTGATTGAAACAGATGGCCCAACCTCGGTTGCTTTCTGCTCCCCTGCTTTAAAAGTTTAACTTTTCGTGGTTTAATGCGGGGAAAATCCATTAGGTGGCAAAAAGTTTAAAGTCCTAACATCCCTTGGCAAGACGCACCAAAGCAACTTTGGTGTTACATTGACCTGGGCCCAAAAAAAAACATCGACTTCTGGACCCCTCCGTACCTTTTTGCGCGCGTTTTCAGGCCGAAGAAACCACGGGCCACCCTGGAGGACGCTATGGAGAAGATCCATGTCTTCCTCTGCTTGGCACTTGAGAACAAAGAAAACACGGTTTGTGCGTGAGGGTAGAATATTGGCAATTAAAAACAACCCTTACATTGGTTTGAGGCTGGGTCACCTTTCAAAGCAATCCCCTGGGGTTCAAACCACCATTAAGACCAACGGGGTTTCGTTTAACTGCCCTTGTTTACCCTTCAGGATTGCCATCATCCCATTTGGGTCCTGGGCCTTTCTTTTCACGGGGCCAAGTTCCCTCCCACAGGACAGAATCCTCTTCCAAAAAAAGAAAAAGCCCGTCACATCGGACCCAGCTTCCATTGACCCCTACCAAACCCCCCAAGAAACGCTCCCAGGACCGCCGAGCCCCGCTTCAACCACAAAGGCGAGCGTGAGCGAGCCCCTCTCCGAGCTCCCGGCCAGGCAGAAATGATGCGCGCAGTCAGGCCACGCCTCTCTCTGCCCCAAAAAAAAACATGTCCCTAAAAAAAGACGCCTCTGCCAACCAGTCAGGTGGTTGTGGGGGGGGGGTTGCGTGTGCCTTTAAAGGGGTGTGTGTGTGTGTGTGTGTCCCTTTAAACCAACCTGGAGTCTCCATGACCCTTCCAAAATGGGGTCACTACCCAAAAGAATGGGGCCATGAGCCCATTTTTTAAAGGGTCATGGAGACTCCAGGAACCCAGAAAAAGTGTCCCCCCGAAAAGACACCTGAAAAACACATGTTGGGTCGGGGAAGTGTTTTCGGTTGTTTGGGGCGTGTGTGTTGCTTTGCTTTTCCCAGTGGATCCCAGTTCCCTTTATAGTGGGTAACCAGACATTCTACTTTTGGATCCAAAACAATGGTTTTTGAAGGTTGTTTGGGGGTTGCGCGGCTCACTTCCGATTGGGTGGATTGGCGAAAACAAGTACCCAAATTGCTTATTTACTCAAATGATTCCCCAAAGGGAGAGTAGTCTTCCGAACCCCTCCTGTCAGCTTCCATGATTGTTGGAGGGTAAACTGCAACAAGCTCCATCTGTACTCGACTAAATCTCTCCGATCTTCATTGGAAATCTGCCGCAAAGGGCGGAAGCCATGCCCCAATCATTCCCTGAGGAGATCAAAGGGAGCAAATATGGGTTGCCCCTGCAAGGCAAATATGTGTGGCTCGTCTGTTCTGAGGGGACCCCAAAATGGTTCGTGGTCTCTGAAGTGCTTTTCCCTTAACCAAAAAGGAATCGGCTACCCCCCAAACACGGGGCACCCATATAAATCAGACACGAGTCGCTTGGAGGCCTTTCTCTATTCACAAACCTAAAGGAAGGAAACGGTTCGTTGTAAGCTAAACCTTGAACGCGTGGGAGAATGGGAACCCCGGAATAAACCGGTGGCTGATTCTGAGAGATGGGGTGTCCCCTCGTCGGGGTTCATCACAAGTTCTCGAAGATGCTTTTCACATTTGGGTGTCTCTTTTCTTGGGAGGGTACTTCTTTTTGGGGCGCTAACCAAACGGAAACCATCGCGGGCTCATCCATTTGGACACTTCCGCCACCTTCACCCATCCGACCGAGGGACACCCCCTTCCAGAACCAGAACCTCCAATCCAAATCCAAACCACTCATTCAACCCACCTGAGGGGTAGCTGCAACGCATCAGTCAAATAGGAAGCACAGGCGATCCTCTTCTGAAAACCCCCAACTGGGACCGCGCGCCCCAAAAAATAGGGGGTTCTGCTCTTGGGGGAGCATCCGTGGATTCGAATCGAGTTTCAGCCAAAAAGCTGTTTGGGGCCGACGATCGGAAGACACCGAGTTGCCGACCACAGGTTCGCAAAGTAAACTCCAGCACACTGGGCATTGTTGATCCACGCCTGGCTGACTTTGCTTCCTTCCGAGAGTGGGGGAAGAATTAACATGCGAAGTGTTAACCATGCGCCGGGGTAAAACAACGCGAACCCACCCCCCTATATCCCCCTATCAAAGTAACCTTTGCAAATTAGATTGCAACGCCCTCTCTGAGGTCGCTATGAATTGCCCAGCAAGGTGCCACAGCACCAAAGAGACTTTGGAAACACTATTCAGCTGGCCATAACAGTCTATATCCCGTGATATCCCGTGTTGGAAGAGTCCAACTGGCTTTCACACATATGCACTGGACGCAACGGAACAAGGATCACACATGATCACACAATTATATGCCAGCACAAGATTGCAACGTGTAACGCAAGCTTGATCAAGGAAAGCATCAACATGGTTTTGGAGAATAGGCTGCTCTGTGATGCCAAAGCGATTGATGCTTAGGCCCATGACTACATCGCAAGGAGGATTTCCTTGGCCAAAGGGGTGACCGTGAACCCACATTTCCCACAGCCCTGTGATGTTCCACTGGATCCGGGCCTGTAGGGAACAGCCAGGGATTTCGCACCCCACTCCTGGAATCCAGCCCCCAGCAAACAGCGAGGGGGCTAAGCAGCCCCACTCCTTGCATGATTTCCAGTCTGGGAAAATGTTCGGGAGCTTCGCCCTCCCTTCCCTTACAGCCTGGAAGCACCATCGATCTATAGTCTTTCGGTGGCTAGGGCTTGTCTCAAAACGGGGAAGTCGCGAGCATGGGGAACCATGTAAAGAGGAGACCACCGTGACTTGGACATTGCCAAGCCACAAGCAAAACGATGGTACACATAGGGAAGTCTCTCGTGTCTGTGTGTCGGTTCCCTTTGAGTTGCCTACAGCAAGCCTCACATCACCCTCAAGAAAAAGCAAGGCAGTGGAACGTGGAACCCTCTCACCATTCTTTGCCTACGGATTGGAAGCGGACTCTGAAATTCCAAAGTGTCAAATGGTAGGTGGTTGATCTACGGGCACTGTTTATGAAATGCGCGCTTCAGAGGCACTAATTACACACTCGGAAGCTTCCATCTGTATCGCCTCAGTTCCTTTTGATGTCCCTTGAATTCCACCAAACAAGTTGGGCCCTCAAAAAAGACCCCCCTCAGCTCGACCGTGGCATCCACCATGCCTGCGTTTACATCCATGGCTCATTGCCAAGGTGCCAAAGGAAACGATCGGAAGTGGCGGATTAAACAAACGATGCTTGGAAAGATGCGAGTCCTTACTCTTTCTCTGGCGCCTTCAGCGAATCTTGGCGGAACATACTTGTCCATGCGCGTGAATCAAGCTGCTCAATTCCATGTGACAAACATAGTCAGACAAGAATCTTAGGTCCTCCCGAGTGTGGTTCATTGCATCAAACAATTTCAAATCATCCAACTGTGCGGAGGCGGGCCATATTCACTGTCCATTTCTATGCCTCCGCTTCGACTGCTCGACATTATGAGCCATCATAGCAAAGGAAGGCAGCACCAGATCTGCGGATCGATCCGCCAAGAAAAGGCAAGGTAATAAACATATATCTGCAATTCAGCACAGAGACAGCAAGGCCGCTGCATTAAGCAACTCACTTCCTAAGAGGATTAGCCCAGAGGCCAAACTGATTGTTCGCCACTAAAGTAGTGATCACGGGAAGTGAGAGAAACATTCTCTGTGAAGGGGAACTTGGTGGCTCATGTTGGTCTAGGGTGTCCTCAACTTACCCCTTAAAACTCCAAGCCCTGGGGAAGTCAATCATTTACAGACATATAGCCCATGTTACCCAACAAGTTACGAAAAGTGGTGTTTTTTTAAGAGGTGAGTCAAAACAAGTCGCCACATCGCCTTGTCTTGGGTGAACAACAGCCAGTGCTTCTTCGGCGCACATCGTCTTAGCCTTTTCGGGTTTGGGACCCGGATCCACGGGGTTGAGACTCTGACAGCCACGCCCCATTTGATGATGCAACTGGCATCGGACAGATGTGCATATTTTATCTACGCATGGCGAGCAAGGGTCAATGTTAATGCAACAAACAAAAAATAGCGAAGCGACCCATTTCCCAACGGTGAGTGGTTTGCGGAATGTCTTTGGCATTGCAACGGAACATGGTGGTAAGCATTGAGCGCTGCCAATTGCGCGTACCCGAGCTGATTTCGTACAAACATAAAGTGCCAATGACCTGCTCAATCTCAGGGGGGGGGGGTATTGGGAGGGGGGTTCTCCCGTATCCCGAAGGCTTATCCTTGGCTGGGCTTATTGCAGGGATAGTACCCCCCCTTGGAGGTTTGTGAGTGGTCAAGCCCGACCTGGTCGCAAGGTGCTTTCTTTCTAGCTCTCAGTCGGACCCTCGCTGCACCTCAAAGACCTCGGTTCAAGTGGGCAGTGTGACAGGTGCGGCGCCCTAACAGGGCGACCGCCCAAAATCTGAGGTGTTCAAATGGTGGATCCAGAATCTCCGGACCAAGGCGAAAGGATCTTCAGTCTGACATTGAACCCACCTGGAGTCTCCGGATCTGACCCGAATCAAAAATGGTTGGTCATTACCCAAAATCAATGGTTGGTCACCAATTTTTGATTCGGGTCAGATCCGGAGACTCCAGGCAATGGATCGCGCTTCCCAAGTTGAACTCCCGTTCAATCGCCAAAGCGGTGACCGACTGTGACTGCCGTCCAAGGTTTGAAGCTCCGGTCTAGGGTTCGATTCAAGAGACGAATGGGCGGATGGTGATCCATGGATTCAATGCCAACTTCCACCCCCGTTTGGACCTTCTACCCCTTTTGTATGAGTCAAAGGCAGAAAAAAAGGGGCTCTTTGGGGATCCCGGTTGCTGGGAGTGATTGAAAAGTTGGGCTCCAACGAAACTTTGGACAGCCCTTCGTCAATGAACAATTTGAACTTGTGCAATATGTGTTTGTTCATAGATTTGTAGACCCTAAGATGAAAGATCCTGATGAAACCATTCGAGGAACTATGAACGCTTCAGCCACAAACAGCTCGTCTTCCAGAACTGGGGATCAAACAAAATGGTGATCCTTTGCGCTAGGACCCCTTTGAAAGGCTCGAGCCACGGCGCCTCAATCATGGATGCTAGAAGGTGTTGGTGGTTCCACACACTCACACACACACACCAGCTGAAGCTGATCGATGAAGATATACTGCCCTTGTTTGATTGATCGTTCGGGGAGTCATAATCAAAACCTGGTAATAAACTGGTCTACCAAGAACCATACAAACATAGAACAGCAGCTGCGCACAATGCTGGTTGGGACTCTCCCTTACCAGCCTTAATCCCAGGTTTTGATTGGGGTGCAACCCACCGCCCCAACCCCACCGCCCCAACCCAACCCCCCCCCACCCCACCCCGCAAAGCTTCGGGGGGCGCTGCTCCAGTGCTTTCTGTTGCCCGGGCTCCCCCGCAGCATTCTGACCCGGGTGGTACCAGTGGCGCGGATGAAGAGCGCCTAAACGCGCGCGCGCGCGTGTGTTTGTTTTGTTGGTTGGGTACCTTCTGGTTTGGGGTGGCTGAAAAGGGCAACTTAAAAGGGGCAACCTAAAAAGGGCAACTGAAAAAGGGCAACTGAAAAAGGGGCAACTGAATGGTCTTGGGGTCTTCTTGCTTAAAAAGGCAACTGAAAAATCAAACGCAAGCGTACCATTTTGGGGTCTTTTGACACACACCCGGGTGCTCTTTTGAGGGTACCCTTTCTCGCGGTCGTTTTTCGCGGTGGCTTTTGTGGGCGGTTGCCCAATTTAGACACAAACCCAAAATTAGGGCTCAGGGCAGTTTGAGGTTCCAAGTTCACACCTTGAACCAGGTCGGGGGAAAGAGAACAAATTGTGTCTTGAGATTGAGACCCAGACATGTCACTATCTACGATCACGAGTTCATTGCCATTGCTAGCACCATTCTGATGATTTGATCTCTTGTAGATGCTTATGATTCCCAACTCTGGGACATTTGTGACTCACAATATGGTAATTAGTGGCCAACAAAGTAAGTTACCCTGAGTTCCCAAATGTTGTAGGTATTACTAGCGAGGGCCCAACAAGGAGGTGTCACAACATACATGTACATCGCCTTATAGCAACACTCATTCCAAAGGATCCCCCTTCAAAGGTTCGTTGGTTTCCGCCCATTAGGGGGGTGCAGTTGGTGGTTTCAGAGACCGCCATCTTCAGCTTCCCTGGGATTGGTTTGGTGTGTCTGGAGGCGTCTGCACAAAACCAGTCATAAAATCTCCGAACCGGAATCAGCTCGGCAGATAAGATCAAACGCCAATAAACAAGCAAATAATTTGTGTATGTTACAGAGGTCTGCAACGAGATCTGTAACGAATGTCCGCCGGGGCTCTGTTGCAGATCCCTCAAACAAATCACTGCTATATGAAAGGAAGCTTCAATATGGGTAAGTGCTCTTTTGGAGATTGATATAATTTTGCCTGCCTCTCGAAGGCGAGCGTGCGTTATGCCTTGAGACCATGGTGGTCCTCTGTAGGAGAACCAAACATGCTGATGCTGAAAATTTCCCAACAAACCTCCTCAAAATGGGCAAGGGCCTAAATAGTTCGACTGGGACGGGTACTTGTCATTTCAATCCCACATTTAGCCATTTTTTTTGCGGAAAACCTTAAAAGTTCCCTTGGAACCATCCTAACACAACGTTGATAGTCATGTCTCTTTGCGGAAAACCCCAGCTATTGGACTTGACTTAGCGCCGTTCATCTCTGGTGGTGCCTGCCTTGGCCAAGTCGAAGGGCACATTGGTGGTGTAGAAGTTTGCGGAGGTCGACTCCACCTGTCGATGCGATTCCCCGACGCACGCGACGAGAGCTGGGAGGCTGCGTTCGTTTGGGACGGGGTTCCCTCCCTGCGGGCGGAGCCGAGGGAAACCATATGTGGAAACAATCTCGTCTCACTTGCCCGGACCTGAAAATACAGACGTTCAGCTTTTGGAGCCTTCCTGGACCAAATCAGGGGAAACACTGGTGACGTTGTTCAAAGGTCGATTCGCGTTGGGAGCGTGAGTCTTGGGGATCGCATTTGTTAGGAACCCGTGCCTGCCTGTCGTTCCTTGCGTTGTTTGGGCAACATGGCAGCCTCGTGTGAACACCCGCGCTGGTGCAAGTGATGGACTGGGCAGAAGCTCAGGCTGCGGAATATTGAATTGCCCAAACCAAACTCACGTTCCCGGACCCCGCGCAGAGGGTTTTCAAAATTACTTTTGCGGATGGTTGACCAACTCCAAAACACATATGCCCACTTTGTGCAAAGTCCGCCGACCCCTGCTCCTGAAAGGGGGAGGCGCACGGGAAGGGTGCTGCGGATGCGTTGCCACGATGATAGTTATCATCACCATTGGAGATGCAGAGGATGCTACAATGATAGTTATCATCATCATCATCATCATCTGCAATCTTTTTCATATCATTATCATTATCATCATCATCATCATCAGCACCACCATCATCATCATCATCATCATCATCATCATGCGTGGACATGATTATCATGAGGACTGCTGGTGATGCTGATACGTAGTCGTCACCATGTCTTTGTATAGTATACATTTCAAGTGTGGCGTTAGAGCCCATTGGTGATGCAAAAGATGCGTGGTATCATGATGATGGAATTGGAGATGCAGAGGGTGCGTAGTCATCGTTATCATCATGACTGTTGGTGATGCAGAGGATGCACGATGATGGTTATCATCGATGATGATAACGGTGATGTTATCATCATCGATGATAATCATCATCGTGCACTCTCTGCATCACCAACAGTCATGATGAAATCTCGTCATAACCGTTATCATCATCGATGATAACCATCATCGTGCATCCTCTGCATCACCAACAGTCATGATGATAATGATGGATCGTCATCATAGCCGTCGCCCATCATCGTCATCATCACCATTATCATCATCGATGATAACCATCATCGTGCATTTCTGCATCACCAACAGTCATGATGATAATGATGACTACGCACCCTCTGCATCTCCAATCGGCTCTAATCATGGCCGTCGCCCATCATCGTCATCATCACCGTTATCATCATCGATGATAACCATCATCGTGCATCCTCTGCATCACCAACAGTCATGATGATAACGATGACTACGCACCCTCTGCATCTCCAATCTCATCATCATGATAATCATGTCCACGCATCTTTTGCATCACCAATGGGCTCTAACGCCACACTTGAAATGTATACTATACAAAGACATGGCGACGACTACGTATCAGCATCACCAGCAGTTCTCTTGATAATCATGTCCACGCATGATGATGATGATGATGATGATGGTGGTGCTGATGATGATGCTGATGATGATGATAATGATATGAAAAAGAGAAGGATCGTCATCATGGCCGTCGGCCATCATCGTCATCATCACCGTTATCATCATCGATGATAACCATCATCGTGCATCCTCTGCATCACCAACAGCCATGATGATAATGATGACTACGCATCCTCTGCGTCTCCAATCGGCTCTAATCATGGCGGTGATGATGACGAGGATGGGCGACGGCTATGATGACGATCCTTATCTTTTTCATATACGATTCAAAAGTGCCGTTAGAGCCGATTGGAGATGCAGAGGATGCGTAGTCATCGTTATCATCATGACTGTTGGTGATGCAGAGGATGCACGATGATGGTTATCATCAATGAGGATGCACGATGATGGTTATCATCGATGATGAGAACGGTGATGATGACGATGATGGGCGACGGCTGTGATGATAATCCTTATCTTTTTCATATACGATTCATCAGAGCCGATTGGAGATGCAGAGGATGCGTAGTCATCATTATCATCATGACTGTTGGTGATGCAGAGGATGCACGATGATGGTTATCATCGATGATGATAACGGTGATGATGAGATTGGAGATGCAGAGGGCGCGTAGTCATCATTATCATCATGAGGTGATGGCTATCATCGATGATGATAACGCTGATGATGACGGCTATGATGACGATCCTTATCTTTTTCATATACGATTCAAAAGTGCCGTTAGAGCCGATTGGAGATGCAGAGGATGCGTAGTCATCGTTATCATCATGACTGTTGGTGATGCAGAGGATGCACGATGATGGTTATCATCAATGAGGATGCACGATGATGGTTATCATCGATGATGATAACGGTGATGATGAGATTGGAGATGCAGAGGGTGCGTAGTCATCATTATCATCATGACTGTTGGTGATGCAGAGGATGCACGATGATGGTTATCATCGATGATGAGAACGGTGATGATGACGATGATGGGCGACGGCTATGATGACGATCCTTATCTTTTTCATATACGATTCAAAAGTGCCGTTAGAGCCGATTGGAGATGCAGAGGATGCGTAGTCATCATTATCATCATGACTGTTGGTGATGCAGAGGATGCACGATGATGGTTATCATCGAGGATGATAACGGTGATGATGAGATTGGAAATGCAGAGGGTGCGTAGTCATCATTATCATCATGACTGTTGGTGATGCAGAGCATGCACGATGAGGGTTATCATCGATGATGATAACGGTGATGCTGACGATGATGGGCGACGGCTATGATGACGATCCTTATCTTTTTCATATACGATTCAAAAGTGCTGTTAGAGCCGATTGGAGATGCAAAGCATTCACAGTCATCATTTTCATCATGATTGTTGGTGATGCAGAGGATGCATAATGATGGTTATCATCGATGATGATAACCGTGATGATGACGATGATGGGCCACGGCGCCCATCCAACTGAAGGGGTCGGCGGCACTGGGCGGCGGCCACCGGACGTGATCGGGCCGCCAAAGCCCGGTAGGGCTTACCTTCAGGTATAAGGCCGCGCGCCCCGTGCCGCCGACCATGCGCAGAACATGCGCATACGTTTTATGCTGGGCCCTCCCTTATAAGGGGCGAAGGATTTGCGGATTGGTTTAGGCGATTTCCGAGGATTTTTGTAGCATGTCCCCGCAGCGTCCAAAAACGAGTCCAAAAACAAGTATTTTTAGGGGGTGCCTAATACCGGACTACACCCCCAGCACTGCCAGCATCATTCCGGATGATGCGGATGATGCTGATGATGCTATGCATGCTGGCGATGCGAAACAAGGGGCGGAAAATTGGAAGCAGGCACGAATTTGAGGGGGGCATTGGAGAGAAGCCAAAATGCAGGCAAATGCAAGGTCAGACGAGGGGAACCGAAGAAGGAAACGAAAACAAATTGTAGAAATTATGGAAAACGAAGAGAAACTGCGAAATGAAGGGATGTGCAGGAAACTGACGTGGAATGGGAGGCGGACTGAAGTCACGGAAACTGAAAAGAACAGAGGGGAGGACTGCGACTGACACGGCGAAACTGTTGAAGATGCAGGAAACACGCGCAAAGGAAGTTCAAATCTCGGGAACTGATCGGAATTAACGGAAAGGGAAGTGACAGAACGGCCAGGTCAAGGTGCCCGGTGGCCGGCTGTGTCGCGTCAGCGTGTAAATCCGGCCACCGGACGTGATCGGGCCGCAGGCCAAGCCCGCAGGGCTTACCTTCAGGTATAAGGCCGTCCGCCCCATGCCGCCGACCATGCGCAGAACATGCTCCGACCATGCGCATACGTTTTGTACTGGGCCCACCCTATCCCACCCTTATAATGGGCGAAGGATTCGCGGATTGGCTTAGGCGATTTCCGAGGATTTTTGTAGCATCTCCTCGCAGCGTCCAAAAACGAGTATTTTAGGGGGTGCCTAATACCGGACTACACCCCCAGCATTGCCAGCATCATTCCGGATGATGCGGATGATGCTATGCATGCTGACGATGCGAAACAAGGGCTGAAGGGGAAATGCAAGGAAACAGGAGTGACTGGAAGTGAACGAAATGAAAGTCAAAGGAATTGCACGCAAATCAAGAGGGCACTGGAGAGAAACCGAGATGCAGGAAAATGCAAGGGCAGAACGTGAAGAACCGGACAGCGGGAACGAAAAGGGAAAGGAATGCGAATAAAGGAGTCTTCAAGCAAATGAAGGGAGCTGAAACGGCAGTGAAGTGGAAGGAAGCGAAGGGACATGCCAGGAAACTGTCAGGGAAGACATGCAAAGGAAGTAAAGTTCAAATCATCCCGAGAACTAACAGGACTTAGAGGGAATGGAAATGAAAGAACGGGAAGGGGTGCCCGGTGGCCGGCTGTGTCGCGTCAGCGTGTAAATATGTTCGTAGATCATGCAGTTCCTTCACATTCCGACCCTGCCTCACCCAGCGGACCGCCGTCCGGCCTAAACTTTTTGAAACTCGGCGACCGAATCGGCTCAGAACCTTCCAGTCGGCCACGAAGGTTCCGGGGGCGCATGTGCTGTTAGGGATATCACCTGAGCTTATGATAGTCTGAGGGCCACGGATGCCAAGTAAGAAATTAAGTTCGGTTCCTGCAACAGGCCGAGGGCTCGGCTTCCAGAACCTGGTGAAATTAACTTAAAGCCATCAAGGTCTTGGGGTGGGATTGATTTCGGCGAAGCAAAGGGCTGACATCCAAGCTGCTGTAGGGTTTGGGTTGAGTTGGAGTTGGTTGGGTGTGCTGAACCTTTCGGGTTGCTTTCGGGATGTGGTTGCGTGAGTTGTGGGCTAGTTTTGGTGATTTGCGGCAACACTCCACCTAAACGAGACCGAACCTCACGTAACCACATCCCTAAAGCAACCCTAAACGAACCGCTCCAACACAACCACCCCAAGAGCCCAAATCTTGAACCAGCCTCCAGAGCCAATACTAGGCAACCTCCGGGCCAAGTGCGGGGACAGCCAGCCAGCCAGCCAACCAACCAACGAACCAGCGGACAAATGTCTCATCCGACCCCCCCCACCGAAGAAAAGAAGTGTATGGTTTTCTGTTTGGCTCCCCATGCAAAACAAAAACACACAACTAACCCTGTTGGGCATGCCCCCTCCCAATAAAAGAAACAAGCCTTTTGGCCCCCCCCCAAAAGAAACAACACCAAAACCAACTAAATGTGTATGGTTTTCCTTTTGGCCCCCTCAAACGCCCCAAGCCTTCTTGGGGCCTCCCGCGTTCTTCCGAAGACCAAAAGAACTCTAGGGGTAGCTTCCCCATTCTGTCCAGGGATCCTTTTTTCTAGAAACCCACCGAAATAACCCAAGAATTTGGCTAAAACCCAGGAAACAATGGCTGGTTGTTGAAAATAACGATGGCTGAAAAGAAGAATAGACAAGCAATCAACCCCTAGAAGAACACGAAGACACCGCGCCCCGCGCCCGCGGATCCCCGGACTCAGCCCCGCGCCCCGGCTGCTGCTGCCAGCAGAGCTCTACAGACCGCTGGCGCCAGCAGAGCTCCGCCTCGAAGCGCAGGCGCAGCGGCAGGCTCCCCACGTCCTCCTGGGCCACCTGGCCGTGGGTCGTTAAACCAATGGGTTTGTCACTCGCGCCAGCCATGCGCTCAACGAGACGTGTGACAAGGAATTTCCTTGAACCTGCAGCGTCATCGAGGCCAGAGTGTGGGGCAAACATAGTGGCTGTGGGTCAACACCAATGGGATCCCATTTTGGTTGGTAGGTGCACCACCCATTTTAGAACCTATTTTAGTGGGGATTGGGATGTTCACCGGGGGTACGGGGTGTTGACCAATAGCCACCTGAGCCGAAGCAGTCGATGGGTGTTTGTCGTGTTTTTTTTGGGTGCTAAGCCCGGAACCCTCAAAAGTCTACCCCAAACCGGGGCTGTCCTCAGATCCCCTGCTAAAAGCGAATAGGTCTTAGTGGGTCTGGAGCACCCGAGGACATAAAATGGTGAACCCAGAATCATGTAAGGAGTTGAAAAGGCGGAGACCAGTGCCCATGTATGGCTGGGATTGTCCCCTTAAGCTTCATTTACCCCGTGTTTTGGAGGGGAGCTCTCTTGTTTGGTGGTTTTGAACGGGAACTCCTGGAGGGAGCCCTTTTTTGGGGGGCTTTTAAAGGAAAACCAGCTGTTTGGGGATTGTTGTTTTTTTGTTCATGGGGGCCTTTTTGTTGGTGGTTTTGAAGTGGAGCCAAAAGGAAAATCGCCAGTTTGGGGGAGGGGCACCCCAGAGCCATACTCCAAACCTGGTATTGAAATGGTCCACCCAATACTCATAATACCTCAAGGAAAGCGGCCGCACCTCTGCTTGGGATGGTCCCTTCACCTTAAATTAGCCTGGTGTTGATTCTGGCTCAGAGGAAGGCTGTGGCTCATCAACATGCACTCTCAAGCTGCAAACCTCAGGCATTGTACCGCATAGGCTGGACTAGGAGGGGGTGTTTGTCTGGACCCTCAAACTACCTGGACAATTTTGGGGTGTCTCAAGACATGGGCAATGTCCAGTGTTTAAGGGTAGTTTGAGGATCCATGTGGCGGGCGTGTGTTGGGTACGGTTCAAGTGGGTGGCGAATCTTGGTCATGAGTTGCAAGATCACGATTACTAGCAGTAAGTGATTATCATGCTTGCAATGGACGAAGGTATCATTGACTGTGGGAACAAGGGTGCTGGGTAGTCTACTTCCATACTGGAGGATCTACCTATGTACCCATTTATCTGTCTATTGATCCTTCTAGCGGACCTACCTAGCTATCTATCTACCCTATCTACCTGCCTGCCTGCCTGCCTGCCTGCCTGCCTGCCTGCTCCCTACCTAACAAACAAATATTGAAAGAGGAGTCTGCCCAAAGATTCTGTGGGCATGTCAAAACAGAGGGCACTCTCAACCGGGTGTTTCGCTTTCCCCAAAAAAGGGCTGCAAAGAATCAAAGGAGCGGGAAGTGGAAACCACACTTCTGATCGGCACAAAACCTAAACTTGAAACACCTGACACTGAGTGTGTCTTGGTTTGGGGGGGGTGTATTATTTTGGAGGACGGGTTCACCTGCAAGATCAATCCACCTGCCGGCTGCTGGGATTGTCAGAATGGTCTCATCTCTCCGATCTCCGAGATGGCTTGGAGCGTGCTACACGCTCCCCCAAACGGACCTTGAGGCCCTACCCCGATCCCAATAAAAACAACTCACCAAAACGGGGCCGAGGTGATGCCTCTAAAGCCACCACCAACGGAAAGATGGGAGGCTCGTCTGGTTTTGTGTCTCTACCCTTTTTGGGGGTTGGCTAGAAGAGAAACCAAATGGAAACCAAATCCATGTTTTGGGGTCCGTAATTTTGAGACACGCCGATATAGACCCCCCGGGGTCAAACTTCAAAGAGCGGGCGCCTGCCCGTTGAGGTTGAGAGCAATCGGCTTTGGCCTCACCAAACACTGGAGACCATTGCTGCCTCAAATTTGTTTCCCCTTCAAGAAGTCGATGTCCTTTTGCATGGCTCCCTATATTTCCCTTTAAAGCATCACCCTCACCAAGAGACACTCACCTTTCATGGGCCAAAAAGGTGATGTCTAAAATCACCAAAAATGGAAATATAGGGACCCCTGTTTTGGCTTGCGCTTGCCATCCCAAAAAGAAAAAGAGGACCCCTATTTTGAGAAACACGTTTGGTGTCACAACCCTCCCGGACTTTCAGATTGAGTTCACGTTAGGCCCTGTTCAACCAGGTGCAAAGGATCTAGCTGGGTGTCTCCTTTTTGAGGGTACCCCTTGGTGGCGTTGAAAGGAAACCAAAAGGAAAAGCCGCCATAAGGTAGCCGTGCACTGAAAAAATGAACCACACCCAACTAGCTTTCACACGAGTCTCCTTCTGACCCTTAACAACAATGGTTGGTCATTACCCAAAATCATGGTTGGTCATCAGCCCATTTTTGATTCGGGTCAGAAGGAGACTCCAGGTTAAAAAAAAAAAAAACCTTTGTTCCATTGCTTGACAAAGTCTATGAACGACCCAAAGATGCAATCTGGAGATGATATACTAGTCCCAATCATGAAACGCATGATATGGCTGTGGCTCAAAAACCCGGAATTCCAAAATGGCGCATGCCCTGGTAAGTGGAAACATGGACCAAAACCCGCGGTTTGCCCCTCCTGTTTAATTTTGAGCCACACCCATATACTAGTTTTACGTTGGAAGTCTGTGAACTTCATGACGGACTGGGCTCCTGGAAGTCCGCTCGCCGGGTTCCATGGGAGGGTTGAGCCGTTCTCCAATCACTTCCCATACCTTGGTTGACGTTGGAAGGGGAGCATGTTTTCAATTTTAGCAGTGGACTTGGACTTCAACCACTAAACCACAATAAGCGAAAATGTAAAATGTGTCCCAACAACAACCATGATACGGTGGATTGGCCAGAAAAAGCTGAACACCTTGACACACTAGTTTTCACCACTGATATGGCTTTCACCAAACAAACATAAAGTGCAGGAACTCGGGGAGTGAGTTCTACGGCATTCTTGGCTTCCCTTCACACCAATTGTAGAAAGGGTGCCATCAAAAGACACCTGAATATCAAGCGGGGTCTGGGGAAACTTGACAAGTACCCATCCCCCGCCTCTTTGGCTCACTTCCGATCGAGTGGATTTGCCAAGAAAAAAAACAAGCTTTCTTTTTGCCACTTGTTTTTTCTTCCCATAAAGTGACTAAAGTCCAGGAACTCAGAAAAAGAGTTGGCAAAGCAGTTCCCTTGACCAGTTCCCTCGACCAGTACCCCCCATATAACTTGGCTGCTGTTGACCCCTCTGCATAAGGTTTCACTTGTGGGTCCAATTCAGAACATCCCACCTGTTCCTCCATTGGCTCAAGTCCCCTGGAAAAAATATAAAACACATATCTCCAGCAGTGATAGATTCCCCTTAAAACCTACAGGGGACAATGATAAAAAAAAAGAAGAGAAAAACCATCTGAACCAAATGGACCTGTTCCAAAACGTTAAAGTCACAAGATCCATTTCCAAATCTGGCTGGTGCTCAACATGATCCAGGGTATTGTGAACGAACCCAAGGATGACAGGACACCACAGTCGGATTGTTCAAATTGGGGTCATTCCATTTCATCTCTCGCCACTCACTTTTTGCCCTTCCCCCAAAAAAAGGTTGGACAAATCCACTGGTTGCAAGTGGGGCCAAGCCAAAAACTCGTCCAAGCCCCAGCCCCGAGGCTCCAACTTCTCAGGCTCCTCTGGAGGATCACCTGACATGTGGTGGTCAAGACCGTTGAACGGGGCCCCATTTTGGGCGGCTTTCGGTGAATTCACCACCCATCTTAGGTCTCCTATTTTAGTGGTTGGATTGGTGGATGTTCCGGGGTTCGATTTGGATTTCCCATCGCCAGGTGGAACCCGGGTGAGAGGTTCACAAGCGCCTGGACAAATATGGCTGTGGCTCAAATACGTGGAGACCAACATGGCACCTTGGTAAATGGAACCAAAGACTAGAACCTGCGTAACCCTGGCTGTTGAATTTTGAGCCACACCCATATTATGTACACGAATAGGGTAAAAAACACAAACCAACTGACAAACACAAACATGCCCGCCCTATTTATTGTCTTCCTTGTGCGAGAATGTTCACAACTTTTGGCTCTTTTGCCAAATTTGGCTCTTTTGCCACAGCGTGAAAGATCTGCGGCGGCCAAATCTATGTAGGCCGTTGCTTAAAGGATGAGATTCACCACGCATAAACACTGGGGGACCTTGCTTGTCAACAGTTGGGGGACGTTGTCAGGACCAACAGTGTCTGAAGCCTGGCTGATCACCCTTGCAGCAAGACAAACGCTTGCCGCTTGTGAAAATAAAGACCAAGGTCCAACCAAAGGGGTCTGCCGACAGTAAGTCTTGTTTGGACCGAGGAAAACCAGAAGACTCTCTCCCCTTTTCCCTTTTTGGAGGCCCAAAGCGCCGCGCTTCTCTTCCGGCTATTTCTGAGCAATGCGAGCGAGTCCTTGCCCTTCACCTGCACTGAATTATGCTTTGGGGGTTGATCAATATTCCGTTCAGCCCACAATGACCACGGGGCCATTTATCCCATGTGGTGAAAGTCATGTGTTGAGTAGTTTCGCTCATGGTCACCCATTTAAAGGACCGTTCGATCAACTCCATTTTGTTTAGAAATTCTGAGCAATACTAAATTAAGGTCACCGAAACCTCCACGGGTCCCCCCAAATTGTTCCCACTTTACACATGTCACATCACCCCACCGGCCCCAAAAGGTGACGTTCAAACCAACCAAAACGGCAAATCTAGAGAACCCTGTTGTCACTGGCACATCTCGCGACCATCGGCCGAATGGCAACTCGATCATGCGGTCGTCATCGGAAAGGTTTTCCTGGGCTGCTCAAAGCCCGCAAAAGGTCGAAGATCTTTTGTAGGTTTCATGGAAAGGCATTTAGTTTCCAACACGTCTAAAGCAGGGATCCTTACATGATACACCTGAACATTGCCCTGTAAATGGTGGTTTCCCATTATTTTGGTGGAAAAAGCCATGCTTCAAATGGGCAAACTGTATCTTTCAAGGAGCCCTGTAAAGTCAAGGGCATTTCCAGGTATGGGTTTTTGCAGGTGTTGATGATGACAATACCCCCAATAAGATAAAAGCTTGCACCGCGGAAGCTCTAACTACTAATCACCTGAAATCAGCCGGCGTGTCTCACCTTGCCAAACCCCACCTGAAGACGCATAAAACTGGGCTGTCCTCAGACCCCCCGCAAGAAGTGGCTAACTTTTCGGGGGTCCAATGGAAATCCAACCTCCAAAAACTAAGAAGCTAAAAAGGCACCTAAGCAACCGGATGTCGGAGAACCACCCAGCTAAAACAACGGGCGGTTCATCTGGTCCAAGTTGAGAGCCAAGCTTCATGCAGGCCTGGTTGCAGATTAGATTGAAGATCGGCCTGAGCGCTGCCCGGACCACCCATGAGGCATCTTGCAGCCTGGAGTCGGATTCGATCGGGGCCCTGCAAAAAGTGATGTCACTTTTGTTGGTTGAAACGGAAAAACACAATGAAACCAAACGGGCAGAAGCGGAAACGGGTAAAAAGAGTCTGGCAATGCTTTGATGCTTGGTTTCCGACAAGTCAACGTGCGCCCGCAAAATTCGGGAACGAGAAAGAGCAAAACAGCAAAGCGGTGAGTTAAGCCTGGCCATGCAGCATGGTCATTAGTGTATCAAGAAGCGCAGGACACACAGTGGCTTTGCAACCGCAACGGGTGTCCACTTCCGCCCCCTGGATCTTTTGCGCCCCCTCGAAGGCTTTGGAACATGTCTCTGGGCAATGAAGCTTTGCGTAGGCTCCTTCCGGATCATCCTTCACGTTCTCCTCGATCGCTGTGTGCACTGCCTGGCAAATCTTGTCACAAAAGCTGGTCACATTGATAGTGCTTCGGTTCTTCGGCGGCTGGGGGTCGTCTTGAATCCAAGCTAGCATCCCAGAGGAATTGAATGGACTTGTCAGGTTTTTGACTTGTTCCAGCAGCGGGGCGAACGTCGCCACGGTCTCCTTGATCTTTATGTCGCGGGTATCATCAAAATCTTTCTGGCTGCAAAGTGGCCAGGGACCAAGCAATCCCTTCCTGGATTCTGGCTGCTCGCACAAGTGGAAAGAGTCCTTCTGTTCGTTGGGGTAATGGGTCATCTCGAAGGTCGCACAACCTGTCACGCAGCTCACATCTGCATCATCCCACATTGCATCTCCCAAGGTTGCTGCATTAGGGCAAGGTGCAGGCGGAGGAGGCGGGTTGCAGCCGGGCAGGTAGGGGTAGGGGCAGAAAGGCGGCTGGTGGAATGGATTGATTGGAGAAATCCTTGATAGGATCTCTGCAAAAGTGGCAGATATTGCTTGGCCTTTCTTTGAAGGCGGTCCAGCTCGTTCTTCTTTGCGTTCACATCATCCGAGAAAGCAGCCATTTGAGCCACAATGTTCAGATATACCAGTACAAATTGAAATTGAGGAATAAAAGCGCCCGAGGCCCAGAATTGAAGGCATGTTTCAGGCGGGTTGACCACAGGCTGACCATCAGATTGAATACAACCCACCGAAAACCCGAAGAGGTTACTGTTGGACACATCCATCTGCACTCGGTAGTCAAAGAGCACATGGTAGTAATATTGGTGCTTGCAGTGGGTGGATGCATTGGGAGACACGTGGAGGAAATCCGCGGGCATCTCCTGCAACATGTTCATGATATCCGAAAGCCTCGCTTTGGCCGCGGTGATGGCGTTTTGGACTTGCTGCTCTTTCAGGAGCTGCTTTACCTCAGGGCTGTGGGACATGATTTTCCACTCCAGTGATACGATCACCCCAAAGAGGAACCCCGTAAGGAGGAGATGTCCCGAAGATCGCACACCCAGGGCCCAAGTACCCTCTAAGGAGGTACTGAACGACCCCTTTCTACCCCCAGCCATCCTCAGGACTTGGTTGACGTTGGAAGGGGAGCAAAAGTTCTCAAACTTTAGCTGTTCAGTGGTTGGATTTCAACGACGAAACCACAAGAAGCTAAAAAAAAAACAAAATGCTTCCCAACAACAACCATGAGGAGGTACTCAGACCGACCCTCTGTTGGATCACTTCGAGTCCCTTGCCTCGTTCATCTTCACGTAAAGCTCTTTCAAGGCCTATGACCTCACAGGATCGAAGGGGAGTAGATGTGCCCCCAGATGAATAAACCCCTGCTTATTAATGTGGGGCGTGTCCGATTTTTTTTGATTTTTGGTGGGAAGAAGATGAGTCAACTGTATATTCATGTGGGGGTGTCCGATTCTGGTTTTAGTGGGGATTATCGCTTTTGGTTTTGGAAGACCCCGTATTAATAGGCAGGGGTTTGTTAATCCGGGGTCAACATTAGAAGTGGGGAAATGTCGTCTATATATGGCAAGTTGTGTTTCACTTGAGAATGCTAATAATGGACTTGCCAGTATAGTTGCGCTACTGGGCCCGTTGCGGGAGGGAATTACACGGCAGCCAACATTGTCTGTCGCAAAACCTCATGTTAAATGTTACAGCACAAGTGCCTACAGACTGGAATAGGTACCCAAATTTGGGTTACCCTGGTAAATGGGGAAACATGAAACATGGACCAAAACCTGCGGTCCATATCCCGGTTCATGTTTGATGCCTTCCGAATGGAATGGATCCAATTTCCGCCCCTCGACTCGCCCAGGGGCTCGACCCCTCGTCCAATGGCCTTGCCCATGCTGGGACCTCCGAAGAGCGACAAGGCAAAGGTGATCACCATGCCCAGGATGGGGCCAGCCAGGCCTTTGCTGGAACTAGACCAGCTGTCAAAAAACCCTCCCCACCCCAAAAACAAACATGTTTTGGTGACCCCTGTTTTGGTCGTCTTTTCAGAGGACCCGGAACAAAAAAAACAAAAAAACGTGGGGTGGTCTCTGTTTTGCTAGAGCAAGGTCGTGTTATAAGGCTCAGATCCGGCCCGTTATAGTCGGGTACAGGTATGGGCGCCAAGAACACCAACATGACCCGAATATCAGCGACAAGCTCCATACATGCTCCATACCTCCAAACCCCCCCAAGTACCAGATTGAAACGATTTGCCAACATGCCGGCCTTTTCGCTTGATGCAAAAGGCCATAGTTATCACACCTTTCCAACCTTAGGCACTTTTGGGCGATCTGTTCCCACCAAAGACCTGCCATATATGCACAAAATGCACATATTGGGGCCAGGGTATCCACTTGACACCGGGGTCTCGCAGTCGCTGGCCTCCGATGCCAGTGACGGCGGAGGCAAAAATGGTGCCCATGCCCTTGGTAAAGCAGACCCAGTCGGCCTGCGTCGGGTGGAACATGGAGGAGGGCCAAAGGTGTGATGCCGATGGTTACCCAGCTGGTGCGTCTTATAGGGGACCCTTACAATTGGTGGCTGTCCATGTGTTTCCCGTTCAAACCGACGAGCGAAAGGGCACCATCAACAAAAAGACAGACCCATGCAGGTGTCCTTTTGGTTGCAAATAAATGGATTTCCCTGGTAGAATATGAAACAACCAGGCCAGGTCAACCAGGAATCGCCATCTATGTTCGACCAAAACAACCAAAAAGGAACCCTATGGATGGTTAGTCTGTGCAGAATCCTCAGTTTAACATTGGTTTGTTCCAGGGTTTCACCATGTTTCACCCTAATTCAATAGGATACTGTCCATCAATACCAACATTATTCCCTTGACATCGTTATCACGACGCCCCTTTAAATCACGGAAGGCAAAATCCGTGCCTTGCCATCGATGAGGCCATCGACAAAGGCGATAGTGTAAAGGAGGCCGTTCACCATTGCACCACCGTATGCAAAGTCCTTGGAAGGCTTTCCATTTTTGTCCAGCGGGCCCCACTGAATCTTGTTTCACTCCACATTCCTAGAGACCAATAACAGTTGAAGACGAGCTACAAAAAACTCATATACAAACACAACTGGTAGTTTCAAACAGGCCTTGGTGTTTTGATGGTCGTCCCATGAATTTTCCCTTAAGAATTGCTTACCACAAGGCACCATTCAGGGTGAACACAGAAGGAAAACTGCTGGAGTCATCCAGCCCGCATTTTGTGTGAAGAGACCTCACTGAAAAACAAAAACGATGATGATGATAAAAGAAACGCGACGCACAGCTTTACATCTTCCAGCACGAGCTTCATCATCCCATCCGCAATGTCCTTCCAAGAGTTCCATGCTGCATCCTGTCTAAGTCGAGCAGCCTCAAGAGCCCTGGAAGACTTGCACACCGGGAAAAACTCAGCATCCTCAGCGGACTTCCAAGTTTGCCCGTTGGAGACTCCGGCCTGGTATATCACCTCGAACTTGCGACGGCGGGTCCTGCGGTCCCATTCTTCTGGGGAAATGCAGAAATCATCGGAGGCGTCGAGGTCGCAATCATTGGAAGGGCCGCCTGAGGGCCAACTGGCTTCTGGCTACATCGCACAAAGAACTTCCTTTGAACCCCCCTTTGAGGGTACGTGGGGCTGGCGTGCTGTGAAACAATTGGGTACGTGCCAAAATAGGGACCGCACGCAAACAAGAGGCTGTTCTTCCTTTGGTGTCCCTTTAAAGCCATCCCAAAAAAGGGTACCTCCACCGAAACACACATACACATATATATATATATATGGCTGTGGGTCAAAACCAATGGTACCATTTTGGTTGGTAGGTGAATTCACCACCCATTTTAGGCTTCCTATTTTAGTGGATTGGATTGGTTGATGTAACCACTGGGGGCGAACCGATTTTTGGAGTTTGAGCAGCCCTCTGGCCTCGGTGCTGCAGCTTCAAGGACAGAAAGCTGTCTGAGTCACCCAGCCCGAATTCATTGCACGTCTCGTTGAGCGCATGGCTGGCACTGCGAGTCACCAACCCCACTGCGAGGAGGAAGCGCCTCATTGGGTCGCCTCCATCTTTCTTCTGCCCATGTCCTTGTACCAATATGGCTCCAGAAATAATTGGTTGAACCCTATAATATAAATCAACCCGTCCAAAAACAGAGGCGGGTGCTCCCTCCAAAAGAAACGGATTGCCTCTAAACATCGGGTGTTCCCTCCAAAAGTATATAACCGATCGCCCCCAAAAAAGGGGACTTGCAGCTGTTCATCCGCCACAGGTTCTACCTGGAGTCTCCTTCTGACCCTTGAAAAATGGGTCCCTGACCAACCATTCTTTTGGGTAATGACCAACCATTTTCCTTCCAACATGGGGTCATTCCCCAAAATCATGGGGTCATTGACCCCATTTTTCAAGGGTCAGATCCGGACACTCCAGGTACTTCGATCTGCGGATGCGCAAACGCCCTGCGCCCGTGCCTGGCTCCCGCGGCAGCTTTGGTTCCGGACGGGGGCGCCGCAGCGTCACCGCCTATGGCGGATGGGACGTGGCCTTTCCGGGCCCTTCGCGGGGCAGGTCGCGGGAGTTTCTCAGGAAAACCAGCTTTGGTGTTTGGGGCTTCCTGTAGATTTCCCTGTAGCCTTTGAAGATTCCAACATCCACAAATATATGAGGTACCATAATGCCGGGCTTCGTAATATAGAAATTGTTTCTGTTCAACACACCGACCGACGCACTAACCGATCAACTGACCAAACCCACCAGCCAACCAAGCCCTACCAACTGAGCGAGAGCCAGCCAACCCCACCCCACCCCAGCCCAAACCTGCCTGCCCAAAAAAAAAATCAAAGAAATTGCTCACCTCTTGCGGGCAGCGAAAAACTTGAGGGCCTAAGAGTCGTCCATCGATTTCCGGTGGATTCGCTGGTCCAGGCTCCGAGGCCGCTGCCAAGAGCACCGCCTCTTCCAGATCTTCGTCAAAGGCTAGGCCCACCTGAAAAAACGGACGAGAAGGAGTTTCTTGTTGCATCCAAGGAACCAAAAGAGATAAGGGCAAAGGGGAAACCAAGGGCCATGAAAACTTGTAGCCAGGAATGGTCAGCAGGACTCACGTGCGAGAGGCACCGCTGGCAAGTGAAGTCGTAAGGTGCGACAGCTGCGGCGCAGCTAAACCAAAGGAAAACCCTCCACTTTACTTCCAAAAAAGACGGGGCGTCTTGTTTCACCTTGGTTTATATCAAAGGCGGGCTAGGGTCCCCAAATTTGAGAAACCTAAGGGAACCCTCTACTTTAGAAGTTCAAAAACAGGGTGTGTCTTGTTTGATCGTACCTTACGGCAAGTTCGAGGGTCCCCGAATTTTGGCGGCAAACGCAAAGTTGAGCGTTTGGAGGGCCATGGGTCAACCAATGAAAGGCCCCAGGCCAGTCGAGGCTGAGAAACTCCTCAATCCACTGAACGAAGGCCAGCAAGGTTCAGAAAGTGGCAAAACAAAAAGTGGCGATCCTCAAAACGCTCCTAAAGGAATTGGGGGTCTGAGGGTTTGAGGGATGAACCAAAAAAAGACGCCCCCTTAGGGATTCACTAAAAATAGGACGTTGCTCAAGAAATAGGTGCTTTTTCTCGTTTGGAGGGTCTAGGTAGACTTAGATTTCAAGACACTGTCTTCCCTATAGTTGGTGCATGCACGGGGGGGGGGCTGGCCTAGCCATCCAGCCACAACTCGCAAACAGAAACCAACTAAAAAACATGGTAGCATCTGTAGCCACCAAACACAAAAAAAACAGTGTCCAACTTTGGTTCCCTTTCAATTCAACCCCCCGGAACTTCGGTCTACACCACCTCCCCAAACACGGGCAGAACCACCAAACAATTGCCGCGCGTCCCTCGTCCCTCGTCGCGGCTCGGTCGCGTCGCGTCACGTCGACGTCGCGTCGATTGGCTTCAGTCCCGGACGGTGAAGGTGCCATTGGAGTCCAAGTCCAAGGCCTCACCTTGAGCGGTGGCATCCATCACCCAACCCGCGCGAGCGCGGATCCGTCCAAGGAAAACTGGACCCGGCGCAGGCCCAGAGGGTTCAAGTGCCCTCAAGGACCCCTTTTTACCCCCAAAAGCCATCCTGAGGAGGTACTTGGACCCCTTTTTACCCCCGAGAAGCAATCCTCAAAAACATACTTGGCCCAGAAGCCATCTTGAAGAGGTACTTGGACCCCTTTTTACCCCCCAGAAGAAGCCATCCTCAGCAGATACTTGGACCCCTTTTTACCCCCAGAAGCCATCCTCAGGAGGTACTTGGACCCCCCCTTTTTACCCCCAGAAGCCATCCTCAAAAGGTACTTCCTTTTTACCCCCCAGAAGCCATCCTCAGGAGGTACTTGGACCCTTTTTACCCCCCAGAAGCCATTGTCAGGAGGTACTTGGACCCCTTTTTACTTACCCCCCAGAAGCCATCTTCAGGAGGAACTTGCTTGGACCCCTTTTTGCCCCCCAGAAGCCATCCTCAGGAGGTCCTTTTTACCCCCAGAAGCAATCAGGAGGTACTTTTTACGCTCAGAAGCCATCCTCAGCAGGTATGGACCCTCAGGGACCCTCTGGGAGTGGACAGATCGGGCGGCTCAGCTGGCGCTTCGTGGATTCGAGCAAAAAGGAAAAACACGTTGTTTTTTGAGACACCAACACCCTCCAAACCACAACCTTTGAATGCGGGCGAACATGTGGAGGATCCCAACACAGTCCCTGGAGTTCTCCGGGCGAGAAGTCAATGGAGTTACTCCACATGTCATGCCACGAGTTGCTCCACATGCCACTCATCACAGGAATATGGATGTATCTAGAAAGCGTGTGTGTCCCTTTAAGGCAACCCCACAAAAGTACCACTCCAAAAACTGACATCCAGATCGTGACTGTCCCATCCTTTGTCCCTGCAGCATCCTTTGAACCTGCAGGACAAATCGCTGAGGCGATCACAGACAAGCTCCATACTGAGGTGTGTGACCTGCCAAGCGAGATGGGCGGAAAAATGCAAGAGACATGCCCATAGGTGGCCTCTTGGGAAAAATAGATGGCCCTGGTAAATGGAAGAAACCCCACCGAAACCAGTGCCATCTATGTTAAAATCAAACGAACCGAAAAAGGACACCTATGGACATGCCACGTCACAAAAATGGAACGACTCACAAGCCAACTTGATATGGGTTCTCCATAGGCTTACGGGACCCCAACGGTGGCTGTCCTTTTGGCTTCTTAAAACCCAACCAAAAGGGGGGACGTGAAACAGAAAGGACAATCCTGTGTCCGGCCAAAAGCCGTTTCTGCGGAAAAGAGGAAGAAGCAAGCGCAACTCCCTGCCTGCGTTCCTTTGCCCTCCTGCAAACGGTGCCTCGGTCTTCAGTGAAACGGGGTCCTGAAAAGAAGTCGGGTTGCACCATTGGACCTGAACAATGTCTAATTACATAGTGAATGGGGCCCGGAAAGGAGTCACAAATCCGCCGACCCCTTTGCAAAAGCCAAGTTAGTCTCTGCAAAGGGGCGAGGCGTGTTCTAAGTGGTGGTTAGGGGGAGTCTGAGGGGGGGAGGGGGGGTCCCGCGGCGGATTTTTGACACGCCTAACCTCTAACCCTAACCTCTAACCCTAACCTCTAACCCTAACGTCTAACCCTAACCTCAAACTCTAACCTCTAACCCTAACCTCTAACCCTACCCTCTAACCCTAACCTCTAACCCTAACCCTAACCTCTAACCCTAACCTCTAACCCTAACCTCTAACCCTAACCTCTAACCCTAACCTCTAACCCTAAAGATGACGGAAGAGTACGGGAAGATGACAGAAGACTGCGGGAAGATGACAGAAGACTACGGGAAGATTAGAGGTCATCTCCTCTAACCCTATCCTCTAACCCTCACCTCTAGCCCTGACCTCAAACCCTAACCCTTAGCCCTCACCTCTAACCTCTACGGGAAGATGGCGGAAGACTACGGGAAGATGACGGAAGACTGCGGGAAGACTATGGGAAGAGGACGGAAGACTATATGGGAAGCTGACGGAAGACTACGGGAAGCTGATGGGAAGATGACGGAAGACTGCGGGAAGATGACGATGATGATGATGAAGATGATGATGATGATTATGATGATGATGCTGATGATGATGAAGAGTGATGATGATGGTGATGCCGATGATGATGATGATGATGATGATGATGATGATGATGATGACGCCGCTGATGATGATGACGATGATGATGATGGTGACGATGATCAGGAGGATGATGAGGATGATGCTGGAGACTGAGGATGATGATGCTTCTGAGAGGCTGAGGATATGGTGGATGATGATGATGATGATGATGATGATGATGATGATGATGATGCATCGTCCTCATTCATCATCATCAGCAGCATCATCATCAGCATCCTCCTCATCATCATTATCATCAGCGGCGCCATCGTCGTCCTCGTCATCCAGCATCATCATCAGCCTCATCATCCCCGCATATCCGGTCCTTGTTGCCGCTGAGAAAGCCCGGCTCTTCTCTAAAAAGCAGCTCCCGCATCCCCAGCATGCCAGGCATCACCCCAGACAACTGCAGGATGATGCTGGTGAAGCGGGGGATGCAAAAGCTGCCTTTTTTCCCGACATTTGAAGACCAAAAAGGCAGCTCCTGCATCCCCAGCATGCAAAGCATCACCCTAAAAACCTGCAGGATGATGCTGGTGAAGCGGGGGCTGCCTTTTTTCCCAACATTCGAAGACCAAAAAGGCAGCTCCTGCATCCCCAGCATGCAAAGCCACCTGCAGGATGATGCTCGGCCCCCCAGGCGGCGCCTGGAGGGTGCGCACGATGTTAGTGACAGCATTAAAGGTCACGAGAGTGGGTCCACGCAGAAAGGCATCTGCGAGCGCACGTCCGCTCTTGCTGCGATTGATGAGTTCCTGCAACGTGATGCCCGAGGCGCGACATGAAAGCTGTCAACTGACGGCCCGATCAAGCGCAGGTGGGGTGGCAAGTGCTGCCGAGCGCTGCGAGGACACGCTGTTTCTCCAACGTGTGTGATGCTGTTACGGGGGTCGGCGGCAGCAGGCGCCCACAGGCGAGCCCATGGGTTTCCCGGAGGCCTCTAACCGAAGGTTATAAGGCTTGCGCCCCCTGCCGCCGACCCACTCTAGGTTCACTCTAGGTTCACTCCACGTTCACTCCGTGTCGAACGGAGGCTGCATTCACTGCTAAGGAGCGAAGGATTTGTGAATTTGTTCAGGCGATTTTTGACGACTTGTTGAGCATATCACCTGCATCGTCAGCATCCATGGCGGACATTGATGCGGATAAGGCCGGTGATGCGGGGGATGCTGGGGATGTTGTCCCCTGAGTCGGGCCAATTTTGCCGAGAACGTGCAAAAACAAAGTGTTTTTGAAGGTTTTTGGCGGGCGATAACGTGGAAAATATGGAAACCTGCTTAGCAGGCAGGCTTCAACGGTCCCGGCCAAACTCGATTTTTGGTAGGCTTTTCGGTGAACCGCAGAAAAAACTGTGTTTTCAATAGTTTTGTATGGATTCAAGGCCGGGCGCAAACGTGGAGAATGTGGAAACCTGCTTAGCAGGCAGGGCTCACCTCTCCCCGGCCGAACCCGCTTTCTGGCAGCGTTTTTGTTTTGCTGGTTTTGTATGGGTTCCAGGCTGCGCGGTTGCGAAAATCATGACAGCACGTGGAACACTGATGCTTTTCGGGGCGTGCGGCTGTCCTTAAATCCGGGCGCCCCGAGCCCGTGGTTCCCTCTAATCGAAGCTGCCGCCGACCCACTCTAGGTTCACTCTAGCCCCACTCTAGGTTCACTCCACGTTCACTCCGTGTCGAACGGAGGCTGTATTCACTGCTAAGGGGCGAAGGATTTGTGAATTTGTTCAGGCTATTTTTGACGACTTGTTGAGCATCCATGGCGGACATTGATGCGGATAAGGCCGGTGATGCGGGGGATGCTGGGGATGTTGTCCCCTGCGTCGGGCCCATTTTGCCGAGAACGTGCAAAAACAAAGTGTTTTTGCAGGTTTTTGGCGGGTGCAAACGTGGAAAATTTGGAAACCTGCTTAGCTGGCAGGCTTCAACGGTCCCGCCCGAACTCGATTTTTGGTAGGCTTTTCGGCGAACCGCAGAAAAAACACTGTGTTTTCAATAGTTTTGTATGGATTCAAGGCCGGGCGCAAACGTGGAAAATGTGAACCTGCTTAGCAGGCAGGGCTCACCTCTCCCCGGCCGAACCCGATTTCTGGCAGTCGAAAACCAAGTTTTTTTTGCTGGTTTTGTATGGGCACGTGGAAAACTGATGCTTTTCGGGGCGCCCGGCTGTCAGGCGTAAGCCCTTAAATCCGGCCACCGGACGTGATCGGGCCGCAGGCCAAGCCCGGGAGGGCTTACCTTCAGCCTTATAAGGCTGTGCGCCCCATGCCGCCGACCATGAGCGGACCATGAGCATACGTTTTGCGCTGGGCCCGCCCTTATAAGGGGCGAAGGATTTGCGGATTGGTTTAGGCGATTTTTGTAGCATCTCCCCGCGGCGTCCAAAAACGAGCGTTTTTTTTGGGTGCCTAATACTGGACAACACCCCCAGCATTGCCAGCATCACCCCGGATGATGCGGATGATGCTATGCGTGCTGGCGATGCGAAACAAGGGGCTGAAGGGGAAATGCAAGGAAGAACAGGAGTGACTGGAAGTGAACGAAATGCAAGTCAAAGGAATTGCACGAAAATGAAGAGCTGCAGGAAAATGCAAGGGACAGCGGGAACGAAAAGGGAAAGGAATGCGAATGAAGGAGTCTTCAAGGAAATGAAGGGAGCTGAAACGGCAGTGAAGTGGAAGGAAGTGAAGGGACATGCCAGGAAACTGTCAGGGAAGACATGCAAAGGAAGTAAAGTTCGAATCATCCCGAGAACTAGCAGAACTTAGAGGGAAAGGAGATGCAAGAACGGGAAGGGGTGCCCGGTGGCCGGCTGTGTCGCGTCAGCGTGTAAATAATACGATTGGACAACACCTGGGGGTCAACCTTGCGGGTCAAGCAACAGTGCAAAGAGTCATTAAGTAGTTAACCCGAAATCATATCACGAATCGAACACTCGCACGTAAGCGCCTATTTTTTGCTGTTGCTGGGACTGCAATGCGGCGGATTTGTGGTACAGTGCGGTTGTTCCCGCAAAGTACAGGATTGGTTTCAAAACGCCCCGTCTAAATCAACTTGTTTGATTAATCTGGGACCAACATTAGCTGGGCCAGTATCTTGTTGCTGGCTGAAGGAAAACATTAAAGCGAAACGTTAAACAAGGGCCCCCCCCCCGTACTCCAAATACCTTTTGCTTTCAGGGTACATGCAAACTCCTCACTAAACCTCTTTTGGCCAGGACTCAGCAAGTGAGCAGCGGGTACTCAGTTGCCCCAGAATTAAAGGTGATCATCTTTTGGGGCCATGAATAAAACTGGAAATGGGAAATCCAAAAGGCGAAAGGTTGTTTCGCTTTGGACAACTGAGTCATAATCAAAACCTGGAACAAAGAAGGTGAGCCCAAAACCATGTAAATAGCTGCCAGGACGGCCGCACCTGCTTCTGTTTGGAGTGTCCCTTACTAACCTTCACGTACCCTGGTTGTGAGGACGTGGACATGGGCTTAAGGTTGCCCCAATGGCCCCTATCCAACGATAACCTGGACCTTCCATTGATGCCTTTTTTTTTGCTCGCTTTTTTCTGCTCGAACACACAGTTTGTGCCCGAGTCTTCAAGTTCTGCCCGAGCAATGAAAAAGTGCCCCAGGTGCGTATTTCAAACGAGCACTTTTCCAAATTTGCGCTCGTTGCGGGTTTTTGCGCTCGTTTTGCGGGCCGTTGCGGGCGGCTTTGCACACCATTTCTGCTCGAGTAGGTCATGTTACGACCTGACAGCCGGCATGCCTCCAAAAACTGCTCGAGGTCCAAAAAAGAGGACAAGCCAAGAAAACAAGGTACGAATTGCTAAAACCAGACGATTGACAGGGGAGGCAGAAATTTCAGGTACGTTTGAAGGTCCAGGAAGCTAAGTCCGGGCACTTGGGGCAAAGCTTCTTGGCTTCCGGCACCAACTCCGACACCGCGGCAGAGCCGCCCTCAGTCACCATGACCTGCGCCCGGAGAAAAAAATGGGACTGCGAAGGCACGACCATGGTGGGTATGTTGAAACATGGAGAAAAAAAGCAACCTCAAAATGGTGGGCTTTTATGTTAAACACTTCTGAAATTAAAATGTGAGACCCTTTGGTGGACAGAATTCGGTGGAGATCCATGTCCACCAACCACTTTGGAGGGGGGTCCAACTCTTGAAACTCCCAGCCACGTGGGTTTCAAACTAATAATACTAACAATAATAATAATAATGAAACAAAAAACTAATAAACTCAAAAAGGCGGGGCTTCACCTTTCCGACTGCGGATGGCACTTTCAAGTTCCCTAGAAGCCAGCAGGATACATTCCAAATTTCAGGGTACAGGATGCATGCACCCGGGTTCCTTACAGGATACACCATTAATCATTACCAAGGCAGAAAGCCAATTTTCCAACCATTTTTCCAACAGCTGGCCTTTTTTAATATGTTAGACTAAAGTTCGGTCTTCTTCGATGGAGTACTCCTACAGGATTCCGCAGCTGCAACAAGAAAGGCTTCTGAACCCCGAAACAACAAACTAAACAAAAGGAATTAAACCATCATTTTGGGTTGCAATCGCAACCAGTTTTTCAGTTGGAATTTTGAGGTTTCAGGTCAATCGCCCCCACCTTCCATCGGGGGGAAAAAACAAAAAACATCCGTCTGCCGCTCCAGGGACCGGCTTTTCCCCATCTCGGGCGCCGGCGGCGCCGGGATCCGCCTCTTTCGCCTCCACATGTCTTTGGGCAGGTGTCTTAAGGAATGCCAGAAGAGGAAAACCACATTTTGTATACCAACTTGTTCTTTCTCTGTTGTTTTTCTTTTTGTTTTGGGGGGGGGGGGGTAGGTATACAAAGTTGTTCTGATCTTCTTTTTTTGGGGGGGTGTCCCCAATAAAAAGATACAGGTAGATGTCGTGCGGATTCAGGGCTCGCGCAAGACGTCCCGCCTTTCTACTTTTTCCCGAGGAAGTGGCAACCACTAAAGCCGATGCTTCAGCGGGCGGAAAAGGCAAATGATTTGGACCTCTGAGCCTGGGGGCAAGAGTCAGGTCGGGGTTTGTGACTGTTTGTTTCACATGAACCCCCAATAAAAAGGGGGGGGCCTGAACGGAAGAATCCTCTCAGTGGTTCGCTTGGCTCCGTATTGCTCTGCGGGATAAATGTGAGTCAATCAAAACCTGGTATTCAAGGCGACAGCACCTCGTTTTAGCTGGCTTCCATTTTCTTAAGCCCCCTGGCAAAAAAAAATGCCAGTAGCGCTGTAGTGAGAGATTCCTTGTAAAACCAACAGGGAAAATACAACATATTCATGTCAGTCACCGGAAGCACTGGCATTGTTTCTCGACAATGCCTACCTGGGTTTCAAGGACCCGGCGTTATCTCTCAGGCATTTCAACCTGGAGTCACCATGACCCTTAAAAAAATGGTTGGTCATACTCAAAGGAGAGGGAAACACAGTTTTGTCAACAACGGGGGAACCCGGGACCTTAAAAGGAACGAACCCCTCCGTGACTGCGACCTCTCCCTTAACCTTGTGGGTAGCGCGAGCAACGCGCTCTTTTCAGCACTTGAGCCAAATGACATGCGGACATGTCATCTGGGTCCTTGTCATGTTTGTACATCATGCAACTTGTTGTACCTCATGGGTACCTCTGGGCCATAAATGTCATCGTGATAATTGACTCCCCCCTCATTGACGGCACTGAGGGAGTGTCTTGGGCGCATTACCACGCCAACTTGAAGTCAAGTTTACATCACAACGACTGACGCAAGTTATTCAAGCATCGCCCAGTCACTTGCACACTTTTGGAAATTTTGCAGACATGCTGCAGCGCACTAGGCAGCTGCTTTAGCGGATCTACTTTCACGAACGTCTTCAAGCTTCTCTGGAAGGTCAACACGAATGCCGAGCAACCGGATGGCATGGTCCCACTTGTTGGGTGGAAGTGCTTTCGTGAAGATGTCTGCTGACTGCATGTCGGTTTGGACGTATTCTATCGAGATATGTTCGCTTTCAAGCTGCTCTGCGATGCACGCGAGGTTCACCTTGTGGGTGCGCTGGACACAGCGTAGCTTGGATGAGAAACCCTTCTTTGCTACGAGGATAGTCGCCTGGTTGTCCTCGTGGATCTTGAGATGGAATGGTCTGTCCAAGATCAGCTCCCATAAGCTGAGCGCAGGAAGCGCCTCCTGGTAAAGGGAGTATGCGAGAGATACGATCTCCGCCTCGGTTGTCGATCGGGAGACCGAGGTCTGCCTTTTAGACACCCACGCAAGGGGAAAATGCGTATGCGGACCACTCAACAAGAATCCTCCGGACGTTGATTTTGCGTCTCGTTCTCCAGCGAAATCGGCGTCCACATAGAGAGACAGATGCAACTCATCAGTCGAATCCTGAACTGTGCCGACTAGCGTGCTGTTGACCGTGCTGTTTATGTAGCAGACAAGCCTATGTAGCTGCTTCTCGCAGTTCCTAGACCATTTCTGAACAAATGAGGCAAGGTCGCCAATGGGCTTGACCAGGTCTGGGCGTGCCAAACGGCCGAGCCATAAGGCTTTCATTAACACGCGGCAAGCGGCGAAGCCGAGCTCACCCTCCAAGGCGTCATCTGCAGGATCAAGGGATCCAGCGGGACAGAATGGAGTGGTGGCATCACGCAACTTTCAGTTTTTAGCTGTGCAACCTCAAGATATAATGCAACCGTTTGACGGGCATAATCCCGCATGTCGAACGCCATGCCCCCTTTCAATCTGCCCATTGCGGCATTAAGATCGGGTTCAGTTGGGTCCTTTGGAGCATCTATCAAAAGGTGATTCCTGCCTAGCACCCGATATATCTTCTGGGGGTTCTATATCAACCAGTCTTGTTAACTTTTCCCAGAAGTCTTTATGAAGGTGGCTGGGGCCGGCCAACGTCAAGTCGTCGACGTATGTCGAGAGAAGTAACCCGGACTCCTTGAACCAGAAGTTTCCAGGAAACTCTGCAACCTCACGCCCTCCAAGTTCACTAATGAAACCTTTGAGGTGTGCCTCCCAGAGTCCGCCAGCGTCAGGATGCCCATAAAGAGCTTTAACGAGCAAAACCACAGGTTTCACGAACGCTCGCGCCACCACCTTGGCCGGAGCTCAGGTTTGGTACTTGGATTTCAGCAGTGCTTGCACATAAGCCTTTATAGCGTCCGCTGTTGTGGTGGAATTCCCTGGCAGGGATCCATAAGCGACACAGTTATTAAGACCTTGTACGCTCGTGGGATTTGCTCCCAACTCTTGGTAGACAGCTGCCGCGCCATGTTCGTCTTTCGCACAGTCTCCGCGATACACAATCCTACCTTTCATCTTCTGAAGGTGTTTCGCGAGTTCGGCGAACTTGACGGATGCTAGCGACATCAACTGCCCGAAATGGACTTTTATACTGGATCGTCGCGCCTCAGCAGCGACTTGATCATACTCTCGGACTGAATTTAGATCCCAAACACCGGCTTTCTCCAGGCCTGTGGCTTCAAGTCGAACGGCTTCAAGGGCTTCCGGGGAAGCCAACATTTCGGCACGTGACAAGAGTCTGGTCACCATTGCGGTGATCTCAGGATCCTTTTCTTCTTTGACTTGTCCTAGGGAATGTGCGATGAGATTTTCAACATCAAGAACTTGTTCAAGAATGTTGTGACACTTTTCATCGGACTCAACAGCAACACCTATGTCTTCCAAACCGGAGAGAGGGGATATGTGTTTTAGCTGCTGTTCACGTTCCCGGTGATCGAGAGGCAATGGCACTTGGACAGGCATCGCAGGCACCACGGGCTGAACTGTCGGATACAGCGCACGGGCAACTGTGAGACACATGCCTTCGGGGTAGAAAGCGGTCTTTGCGGTCTTGTTACCTGCTGCAAGCGAATGTTTATACCCTTTTTCGTGCGGACACTTGAATGCACCTAGCGCGGATGCGAGTGTGCTATTGCTGGTCATGACTTTCCATGGCTTCTTGATGGGATAACCATTGCTGTCCTTCAGACCTAGGGCGCAACCGTGGAAGGTCGCTGGGGTGAAGACTTGTGCGTATTCCCTAAAGAATGCAGAAACATCATCCCTAGCCCAGCTGTCGCAATCCCTTGGCCACTCAAACGAAACACTACCCCCCTGATGGAGGACAGTCTCTGCGTGACGTCTGAATCTGGAGAACAACTCTCTCGACTCTCTAACCTTTTGCTTCAGTTTCTTTTTGAACTGGCTTCCTAACTTGGCCTTATTAAGGCGTTGCCATGCTGAACCTGATGCGCAGGGAATTGCAGCCCAGAGATTGGGTTTGTCACAACCTTCAATCTGCGACTGCAACTGGATTTCTCCTTCATCTGTGCTAAGGTCGATAAACTCTTTAGCCAGCCTAACATGAGGTATACCAAGACCTTCAAACACGCGACCCATATTGGACTCTGGTGAACATGCGTATTCGAACATCACAGGCAACTGGTCAATGCGTGCCTGTCGCTTGCGGGCACGATGATTTCCTACCTCAAACTGCTTGGGCTGCGGAGCTTCAACCTCTGCCCTGCATGGCATGCCAAAAATTGGCAATGTGTCTGGACGACCGTTCTTTGACGCTTCGGTGAGAGGTGTCGGCGGCACGGAGTCTAACATCACGGCTGCACCTGTGGTGATCACGCAATCGGACTGAATGGGTTTTAACTTGAACACTGTGAACCCGGTCCATGCATCTCCAAGTGAGCGATTAGGTCGGCTACCAAACCAACCATCGTGGATGTTGTCTGCTTTGCCCCCCTGAAACACGGCACGAGTGGTGCGAGCTGCAGTAAATCTTTCTGGGGAAACGGGGCAATCCTCGACCTCTTTTGGGGTAAAAAGATTCGGCCTTGGCATGATATGGTATCGAACCAAACAGTTGGCATTTTCTTGGAACACCCAAAAATCTTCACCTTGCGATGTAGCGGCTGTCGCTGGCGCGGTATCGAAAAATGAGGCACCGGGTCTTGAGGGAGCGGGCTCCCCAGCTTCGGCTGCATCAAATTCATGCGCAACGTCTTCTGCACTAACTGCTATTTTAGGATCCTCCTCATGCTCGGATGCGTGGATTGCTCTGGCTAGCTCCTCATCCCCTTCAGTATGAACAATGGGAATGGGTTCCTTAGATTCAGTTTTGGCAGCGCTTTTTGCAGCTGCTTCAGCTCGATCTGCAGAAACAAGTTGGGAGAACCTCTTCTTGCATTCGGCACTGTGAATCTTGGAATGACCGGTGCATGCACGGCAACCTGGCGTTTCCTTGAACTTGATGATCCTCTCAACAGTTATGCACACGGATTTTGACTTGACAGCGGATGGAGTCGGTGGGGCCCCAAAGGGCGCCTCTCGCAGGGGCAAAGTTGGGGGATCTGACCCGTCTGTCTTGCCACCATGCAATGCTCTGTCTGCTGCTGCTGCGATCGGGAAGCTTGGGGGTCCGTCCTCAATGAACAATTCCGGTTCAGGAACATCGTGAACGGAAATGGAACCATCTTTACGGAAGGCTTCATAGTCCATGACTTTGACCACATTACGGTACCGCAACCCCGGATCGACCCTCCAACCCAAAAAGAGCGCTGGCGCCATGTTCGGATCGAGAGTGCGCTTGCCAGGAGTCTTGGTTCTGTACCAAACCAATTGCCCGAAACAGCATCTCTTCCCTTGGAACTTTTCCTTGGTGAGAGCTTCCCATTGGGTTTTACCGGGGCTGAATGGA